TCTCTCCCAACCCCCTCTCCGGGGAAACTTTATCCCCTGTATCTCCTACCACGCCATGCGCCCAGAGCGTCTGGCTGTGTTCACCCCCAAGGCGTCATCCAACCCCACCATCATCCGCGCCCCCAAACTCATTCGTCGCTCCTTCTCAACCTCCCACTACCGCATCAACTCGAAAGAACAGGCCTATCGTTGTGCGCGCCATGTCAACGGGTAGGCTGGCGCGCGAGTTTGACCAAGACGGACGAGTGGTGTGCATGTCAAATCATTCGGACCGGGTGCTGCAGAACACTGCTGTCGTGATCACAGAGGGGCAAGAAAACCAACACGCCCAGACAGCTCCAAAGTTGCGGCGTGCACAGACGGAAAAGCCGGCTGCTCGCAAGAACCTTCCAGTTCCACCTCTCCCTGCTTCGACAGACAGGCTCCCCAGGAGTTCGAGCACGGCGGGTTTCGATTTGGCGGCGTTGCAGAAAGAGGCTGGGAATCTGGCAAGACCAAACGTATTGGCCAAGCGGGTGTCGTCGGGGTTCAGGAGGATTAGCTCGAGCCCGCAGAAGATCATGGCCTGATGTCTTGTAGATGTTAGGAAGGAATCGTTGTATAGCTGCTTTTGCTGTTGGAAAGCGCTTTTGGTGTGGTCGATATACCCTTGTCTTGTACATATATGACTGTCTCTCAATCATTAGCCTTGACGGTACCCATGCAGCCTTTCTTGTTGATGGATCTGGATTCATGACGCACGTCTGGCTTGAAGTGTTAAGAGCGCGGATCAAGACGATAAAAGTCGTTTCGGCGTCGTCACTCAACGTCAATGTAATGCAAGTAACAATCCCTTCGGCTGGCTATGGGCGAAGTGATCCACAAGGCACAGCCTCGGTAATGGCAATGTTTCATCACTTGTCAGCAGCATGGAGGGCATGGCTACATGACTACTAGTGCTGGTGCTGGTGCTGACGAGAAGTGCGCCACAGGGGCCAATAGGCGACACGACAGCTTCATTCTCGGCACACATGTACGTACTGAGTGAGGTGCTCTTGGCAGAATTTGATCTGGCCCAGAGATTGACGCGGAAGCACTCATGCAGGCAAGTACAGGCAGGCTTAAAGAGGTGACGACGATGCTCGGCTGATTGAGTAGTCCATCCTATGTCCGGTGGTCACCACAGTGCAGAATCTGCGCGTATACCCTGGCACATATGTTCAGTGCTTGTACTCTCGACAATGTCGCGATACGCATGAGCAGTCGAGAAGTCGAAGCCAGATGCATGCTGACACTGAACAATGATGTGATTGTGATGTATTATATTAAAAGTTACAATGCTCGTACTGCGTATTGAGCAACACGGTGAACATCACTGACCCTTTTCTAATGATGCTGTATGATTATATGCTGAGGACATGTCTACTCGAATTCCCGGAAATGATGCTTCTTGTGCTATTTCTCGCGACCTGCCGAGAACAATGGCGGTTCCAGCCCTCGCAAAGGCGCTCCCAGACCGACTTTGTCTTGGGCCAAACCAAGGCTCAAAGTCCCTCCCAGCCCTGTCCGTTCCCGCGGACCGGCTCCGACCGTCTTCGCCTCGAACCCGCCGTTCGCCACACTCGCCGCCGTCGTACTTGGAAGATCCGCTCTCATTCGCTTGTTCTCCCGAGGAGAAGAAAGCGAGGCGAATCCGGTCATTTCTGAAGAAACCTTGCCATCGGAGTATGATCGCTGAAGAGGGGGAGGGCGAACCCGGAAAGCGCGCTTCAGGGAAGGGGAAGACGAAGAAGCTTCCATGTTTGCTGAAATGGGAACAGAGTCCGTGGGGAAGAGCGACAGGCAGGCAAACTCGCGCGTGGGAGAGGTAAACGAAGACGCTTCGCGTACGGGTACACTAATGGATTGTGTTGGCGTATTACATTCCGACCCTAGAGGCGACTCGGCCTTGGCCGGCGGAAGATATACCCATGGGACGTCGCAGTCAGATTTGCTCGACACGGATGACGGCGGCGAAGAGTAAGGAACTGAAGCTGGACTAGTCACAGACCGATGCAGGTCTGGACGAGAGGATACCCGTGAAGACGTCGATGTGGCATCATCATCAAAGTCGATGGAAGCCATAGCCTGTTCGCGAGCGACGTCGGCAAGAGTAAAAGAACGCCCGCGTTGAAGAAGCGACGTTGGGCGCTTCAATAACCCGGAGGCGTCATTGCTCGATAACGAAGACGGCTTTGCACCAAGTAGGGGGGGGCAGACACCTATGATGGCTAGCTAGCGTCAGTATCATCTTGTTGACAGTAAAAGGGCTAATGCTCACGAGACGACAGTGCTCCGTCCGATGTTAGCATCGTTGTATCTCCGCCCGTCGTGGCAGTCGTCTGCAAACGATCGGACAACCTCAGAGCCTCCGATATTTCCCTCGGAGCATCGTCTCCCAAGAGACTGTCCATACTGTGGTTTTGGCGTCTGTTCATTTCCAATGATCCCCACGAGGTGATCCCATCGTTCACTCCTCGTAATTGGGGTATGATTGAATCTGATTTCAGCCGCCGGTGGCCACCGACTGCCTGTAAACTCTCTCTCCTCGCAATCGCAAACAGCCGCTGGCGAGTGGCATTCCAAGAATGCTTCCAAGGCGAGGAGTCGATTCGGGAATGGGTGGCGACTATCTGAGAGGTTATCACGTCAAGTGCAGCCGAAGGTAGAAGTACTGTAGGAGGGTATTTCAAGCCGAGAGGTTGAGGGGGATGGGCCAGATACTGATAATGACATCAGCGCTGTAGTCTCGAGCCTGGGTCAGGACGTACTCCTTGCAAGATCCCATCCTCATCCTCTGTCCATTCCTTTCCCATCTCAAAAATCCCTTCAGATGTTCTCTCATTATCACCGGTGGTGTTGCCTGTTGGTAAATCGTACACGCCTTCATCGGGAGTCATTGGGAGGCCACCCTACGTGACGTTGTCAGCGAAGTGACTTGATGGTGTCCACCACACTTACCTCTTCAAACGCGATGGGGGTAAATGGCGCTGGAGTACGGACGCTTCTCATACTATCGTCGTTTTCGTCACTATGATTCGGTTAGTACATGCGCGTTGAAAGATCAGCACCCAGCTTACAATACTTCCGACGGTAAGATGAGCACAGGAAAGTCCGGCCTCCTGTTCTTGAGAGGCATTGTCCTGCAAGTGAATTGCTTGTGCCGTGAATAGAGATGAATATCCGTAAACCGGCTACGGTTTCTGAGGTGTTCAAAGAACGGTCGCGAAGGAGATGCGGCGCTGAAAGTTCAGATTGAACGTGATCTGATCCGGTAGTTGCCAGTCGACACGTAGATGCTGAGATGGTAGTGGGGCTGTGGGCTAAGAGAGTAGAAGAGGAGGTGTGATTGAAGGAGCGGACAGAATATATGTAGACAGCTCCGTCAATAAAAATATTTCTACTCCGAGAAGCCAGAAAGGATTGCGCACCTCAATATCGACGACTTCTATCGTCCAGGATTCCGAGACAGAGAGTATTGATATGGAACCTTCGACCTCCCCTCGTCCTTTGAGACAAGATAAGAGAGGGGCACGGGATGGTTTGAGCCAAGCTACTGAATGGTACCTGATTACCGGTTGTCCTGAGACCTGGGAAATTGTGTATGGCTGATAAGGCTGAAAGACACGCCAATGATATGGATACAATTCCAGTGGCTTGTAATTTCTTGTGGCTTTCGTGCTGATGCGGGCTGAGAGCTTTTGTGGGAATGGGACCTGACGAGTTTCTCCGTCTCCCGTGCTGTATAGGCCGTATAAGGGGAAGATAGGGTTGCGGTATGAGGACGTTCTGTCGCGAAGACCGAGAAGTCGACTGTCGGGGCGCGCGTGCAGGGTTCTGGCGCTGTAAACGGTGAACGGTGGAATGCATCTAAAGATGAAAATGGATTGAGCCGGGTTGCGTGTACACTCAAAAAATCCTCCCTTCCGTTGGGTGGCAATTTTCGTAGAGCGTAAATGACGAAATGAGCCATGACTGAGAGGTTCAGGAGTCAGGGATCACGCGTAAAGTTTATATTTTCTCCGCTCCTGACGCCTTCCCGTCCCGGCGGCCGGTGGCTACCTCTGCTCTCAAACATCTTTATCTCTGTTGCATTTGTACTTAGTTGCGCTCGATAAGCGGGTCTGCTCGGCCTACCCAGCCTTCAGAGAGTACCAGGTCTGACGATTTGCATTCGGAACCCACTTAATATTAATTACATGAATTCTTCTTTTCTGATTTCGTCAATCATCCATCTACTGTTTACGCATGGTAGTCCTTGAACTCTTTCCACTTGTCGTTTGCCAAGACCTGAGTCACGAACTGGTGGAAACCAGGGGCCTGCTGTACGCTACAAGCGCGATATAGAGGGACAACGGTTCGAAGAGTGCTTCGTTGCATCTCAGCTGTTCAGAGGATCAGCTGTGATCGAATTACTCCCCCAATGAACTTACCTTTCCTCTCCAGGTCCTGCTTGACAGTGTCGTCCTTGACCTCGACGTCCTTCATCATTACTTGGAATTCACCAACGACCTCGTCCAATCTCGGCTGCACCACTTCGGGGGAGGTTTGTCCGAGTCGCAAAAGGAGCATGAGACCCAAAACCTTGACCTCGTTCACGTCTGACAAGGAGGCAAGCACGCGGTCGGTGAACGTGGGGAGATCGATTTTGGAAAAGCAAGTGCCGAGCTGTGAACCCGTCAGCCAGGAGCATAAGTAAGTCTGTACAACATACAAGAGTATACATGGTTTCGAATGCAGTTTTCCTGTTCTCCAAACCGTCGTCCTCGATGACTGTTACGGATAGTCAGCATCTAACCAGAGCACTTCACAGGGCACATACCCTTCCAGGGGCCCATGATGACCTCTCTCTGGAGCTCCTTCCTGACAAATGTCTCTCCATAAAGTAAGGGTTGCAGGGCATCGAGTTTATCCACGATCAGATGAGGTTTGTTTTGGATAGCAGCATTGAAAGAAGCAAGCGACAGACGTCGAACAATCTGGAAATTGTTCTCAGTATGAGGCAGCGTTCAGGCCAGACCGACTCACCAGGTTCTCATCCTTCATCAAGGACAGGAAGTCCACAATGATAGGCGAGATCAACTCGTCGTAGCCATTGCTCGTGTCAATGAAAGTATACCTTACCGCAGCAGCGACCAAGGCCCTATTGGCAGGTGACGACTGCAGAAGCTGTTGCAATTGAGGCAAAAACTTGGTCGGGGCGGTGATTGTAAGCTTTCCGATACATGCTGCAGTGACATTTCTGATGCCGTCGTCACCGACGGTCTCGGCATTGTTGGCGACCGAAGTGGGAGTTGCAAAGAGCGGCTTCCAAAGGCGGTCGGCAATAGCCTCGAGCTGAGCGCTGGAGGAATGAAGAATCACTTCCTTCACGGCATGCAAAAGCAAAAGACGCTCAGACTCTTTCTCGGCAGATTCGACCTTGCTAATGATGATCGGAAGGAAGACATCAGGGGTCCCGACAGCGAGATTACCAGCAGCAAAAGCTGAAGCAGACCTGACTTCTTCACTTTCACTCTGGAAGTAGGACAATATCTTGACGAAGAGGTCTTGTCTAGAAGACAAGTTGGTGATACGCCCAATCTCGCCAACACACAAGAGGGCAAGGTAGGCATCGGCCTCATTAGCGGTGCCAGACTAGAACAGTTTTAGCTTGACGAATGCGTATATGCAGCCATCTTACCTGGACCACCTGTTCGAACGACTGCAAAGACTCTGCGGCAGCGGCTGGAACATTCTTGACAATCGCACCGACACCCTTGGCGGTGGTAGCCCAAGCGGCTGTTCCGCCGTGAGTCGCATCGGGCAACCCCTTTTCGCCATTCAAGTTGCCGATCAGCTGTTGTATGGCCTTGGTAGCCTGTCGGGAAGACCCATCAAGGGCCACAGCGTAGGCTGAGAAGAAGGAGACCAACGATTCGACAAGGTGAGGGTTGATAGAGCTCTTGAGAACCGCAAGAACTTTGGGATAAAGCTGTGTGTCGACAGCAGAGCGAGAGGCGGGCTGTTGTGTGAGGATGAGTGCCGCGGTCTGTAGGGCGGTGGGAGTGTCGATCAGAGGGCCAAGCTCGACAATGATACCTTCAGCGGTATCCTCAGGCAAACTTGAACCGATACGTTCGAGGATGCTGGCGAGACAGGCAAATTCTGTATTCTTGGACGCCCCCTTCTTGGCACGGCGAAGAGCCACCACGACCTGAGGGAGGGTCTCCGAAAGCCAATTCTCAAATTCGGGGCCCTTGACTAGTGGAGATGAAGCCACCTGCCCAATAACCGAGATGGCGGTGGGGGCACTACTTTCCACAGCGAGCCTCTTGGAGATCAAGTCCAGACATTCCGAGTATACGGAGGTGAACAAGTCTCCAGTGTGAATGAGGACGTTGCCCAGCGTGGACAGGGCCTTTTCACGGACATCGCCGTCAACGGTGTTGTCTCCGAGGATGTCGATGGTGGCTTCAAAGATTTGCCGGACTGCGTTTTCGAGTTCCGGGGCGATACTAGCGGTCGATCCAAGGGGACGAGCAGAGTTGGCAAGAGCCGAGGCAGTATCGAAAGCTTCAAAGCTGATCCTCTGCAATTTGTCCCTTTGGCATCTGACAATAGCAGGGACCAGATCTTTCAAATGAGCAGCAAATACTCTGGCAGGGTGGTTGTCAAAGAAGACCGCCAAGAAAGACAAAGTGGCAATGGCCAAAGAAGAGGAGGTGGCCGAGTCGACAGTTCGGAGGGCCGATGCAGCGGCAGTGCAGATTGGGTCAACCGAATCGGCCAAACCTCCTTCAAGAGCTTGAACCATCTGTCGCAAGAGGACGAAGCATTGTTGTCGGGTAGGCACCGACTTGGAAGAGAGCTGAGTAAGAGTAGCTTTACTCAACTGAGGAAGCAAGGAACGAAGAGCGGGGATGGGGCCGTCGTCACTAGCATAATCCTCGTCCATACCCTCGCTCCTCTTTCGTTTGCTCCTACTACCAGTCACGATATCAGATTTCCTGACCGCCGTGGTTTGCTTCAACAAGACTTCAAACGCAGCGAGCACTTCCAGTCGAACGCTCTCTTCACGCTCACTGAAGCGGGAGATGAGGACGGGAGCAGAACTACCGTAAATCTCCGAAAGGAGGTCGGGGCGGGTGGAGATGATAGCCAAAAGGAGTCGGGCAGCCGAGCGTCTAATCTTCCAAGAGTCGTCGTCGTCGTCCGAGTAGCTAACACAGTCAGCAGGGGAAGAAACGATGGGCGATAGACGTACTCTGCGCCCTCATACTCGTCATCTTCTTCATCCTCTTCTCCGTCACTCGCCATATCAACATCGTCATCGTCTCCATTGTCGACGTAGTTCTGCTAGGCATTAGACGAGTCTTTCGGGAGCCAATCAAGCGTACAGGATCGTATCTCAACAAAGACAAGGATTTTTGGGTAATGGCGGAGATGTAGACTCCCATCTCGGTGGGGCACCTGAGGACAAGAGCTTCTAAAGCCTTTTCAACCATCAGTCAGGTCCACTTGCGCGTTCGTAGTCTACTCACAGTCAAAGCAGCTTCCACAGTCTCGACGTCTTCCGGATTCTTGGTCTGCTGCAAAATGATTTCGGCCAGCTTCTTCTCCGCCGCTAGCTTTCCAACATTCCCAACGATCCGACCCTTGGCCAAGCTCGCCACGACACCCAGCCACACTCTTCCGCTATCTCCGCTTTGTGACACACCCGCCGTGATCTCCTTTTGCAAAGTGTCGTTGAAGAGCGCAGGGCTAGCAGCAACAAGGGAGGCCAAAGTCGGGATTGCACGCTTGCGGATTGCGGGTCGGGCGGTTGAGAGAATCTTGATGAGCGCAGAGAGAGAAGAGTTGCTGACGGTGGTTGAAGTGGATACGTTGGCCGAAAAGCGCGTAAAGAGGTCGGTGAGGGTTTGAAGGAGCTCTGAAGCTATTTGAGGGTGAAGATCGGTCTGAAAAGTCAATGAAAGGCTGCGCGTCGTTACAACCGCTTACCGTGTTGAACAGTTCAAGGACGCGGGAAGAGATGCGTTCAAGGTCGGCCGATACCTGAGAACCGGAGGATGGCATCTCGAGAACAACACTCTTGAGAGCTATACGCAGTCAGAAATAGAGCGCACAAATCAATGAGCCTTACCTAAAGTGGAAGTATCTCTGCGCTCTTCATTACCAGACACTACATCTTCAAGTAGGGACGAGATGATCTTGGACAGCGAGGTTGGTCTTGCTTTCTTCACGACCAACGCAATGCTATACACAGGTCAGCAGAGGCACGATGACACATGCAACAACAAACTTTGTGACAGCATTCGACTTGACTTCCTGGTTGGAGTCCGCCAGGAGTTTCAGGACCATGTCTACCAACTGTCCTTCGGTGTAGTCGTCGGTGAAGTGCGGGTCCGTGCGACGATTTGATGTCACAGCATTGGCGGCGAAGTTTTTCTCCAGCTCCTTTTTGAGATCCACAAGAGCCATCACCCTGCTCTGGTCAGCAAGCCTTGCGGAACAGCAGACGGGCATACCGGTAGTCCGGGTCGACGTTCTTCATCTGCGGCGGCTTGTCAGCGGGAGCCAGCGGGGGGACTGGCACGCACCTTCTCGAGCAGACCCGGGAGCTGTGAGCTGAGGGGGACGGGCTTGGACATGGCGGCGGGGTGTGGTGAGACGAGACAGGTGTCCAGTCAACTACGTACCTCTCTCTCACACGAGGCGCCCAGACTCCACGTCACGACTTTACCGCGGCGGAAGCAAACCTCCTCCCTGCCACACACCCCTTTTCCCCGTATTCCCCGTACGCGTCTATCATATCGGACGCGACTTTCTCTCCCTCCAAGCAAACGCCATGGCCAAGGGCATCTTCCCTCGCCAGCGCATAGTCGCCATCGCGGGCCTCTCCCTCACCGTCCTCTTCCTCCTCCACTTCCTCTTCTCCTCCCCCGACCGTCTGCTCGCGACCACACGATGGACAACCGCCTCTTCGTCTGTCATCCGGTCCAAGTTTCTCAGAGAAAAGGCCTTGGCCCCAAAACCCCCAATCCGCCATCCCATTCCCAAGCTCATGGCCGATGCCAAGGATGCCCACGAGCGCAAATTGAAAAAGCAAAGCAAGACCTTGCCGGAAGCCGTCGCAGAGTACAAGCGGCGGTACGGAAAGAATCCCCCAAAGGGCTTTGACGAGTGGTTCAAATTCGCCAAGGACAACAATGCGATCATTTACGATGAATACGACCAGCTCGACAGGGACCTGACGCCCTTCTGGCTGTTCAGCGGCGAGGAGCTCCGGAGACGGTGCATCCAAGTCGGATTCTTGCCTTCTGTCGATCTCGTCAGAGTTGAAAACGGTCAGACCAGGACTATCGATGTCTCTCAAGGATTCTCCGACTCTGAAGTCGGTGCCCGTGCCAAGGGTTTCCGAGTCATGCTCGAGAAGTTTCAGGACAAACTGCCCGATATGGACTTTCCTATCAATGAAAAGGCTGAGGGTCGTATCCTTGTCCCTTGGGAGGAAAACTTGTACTCTAATCTGACTGCCGATTCCTCTTGTAAGTTTACTTATCTCCCGATCTGCGGTGCTGACTCTGTGTAGTGGGTATTGAGCATGTCTTGGGAGGTGAATTCATTCCCGATTGGAGAGGTGACGGAAATGTTTGGGAAGCCTACCGCAGGACTTGTGACCCTTCTTCGCAAGCCAGACGCTTGTTTGGCTCCCTTCGTGCCAACCTGAAGGAAGGTCAGGCTCCCATCTCCAGACTTGCCGCAGCTGGTGTCACCTCTGGCGCTCCCTCGGACGACTTTGTATTTCCCGAAGGCGTTGACGACAAGTTTGACTTTTGCGCCCATCCATGGGCTCACTACAACCAGGGTCACTTCTTCTCTGATTGGAGGACCATTCATGCCCTCTACCCTATGTTTTCCCCTGCCAAGGGAAAGGGCTATTCCGACATTCTTATCCCATCCCACTACTACTTTTCGTCCACCAAGCGATACACCTATGGTTGGGACCCGGTCAACATGGTCATCAAAGACGTCGATGACATGGAGACTCCCTGGGAGGAAAAGTCTGATGACATATTCTGGCGTGGTGCGACTACCGGTGGTGGTTCTTCCCCTCCTGGTTTCCTTGCGCAATACCAGCGTCACCGTTTCATCAAGATGACCTCTGACCAGTCAGACTCCAACAAGACTGTTGTCTTTGCCGACCCTCCTGGCACCAACAACTATGTTTCTGCTCCAGTACCGATTGGCGAGCTCAACAAGGACATCATGGATGTAGCTTTCACCAAGGCGGTCGGATGTACCCAGTATCCTGGCGGATGTGATGGTATGAGGAAGGACCACCGATTTGCCGATGCCGTGCCTCTCGGTGAGAACTGGAGGCACAAGTACTTGATCGATGTGGACGGTATGGGCTACTCAGCTCGTCTCTTTGCTTTGGTGAGTCTATCGACGTTCGTCTTTGGGTCCCATGCTCATCTTCTTTTCAGCTGAAATCAGAATCTGCTGTTGTCAAATCTACCGTCTACACCGAATTCATGTCGGAGTGGCTGCAGCCTTGGCTCCATTACATTCCTGTTTCGCAGATGTACCAGGAGATCTACAACATTCACGCATTCTTCTCGGGTCCCTCCAACGCCATGCTGAATGCCGCCAATGCTACTGCTGGGACGTACCAGCAGGCGGGGGCTCATACCAAAAAGTTTGACGGGGATGCCGAGCTCAGGAAGATTGCCAAGGCGGGGAGGGAATGGATGTTTACTGCCGGGAGAAAGATCGACATGGAGAGTGAGTGATTCATGCGCAGATTCTGGCATATGCTAACGCGTTGGTAGTCTACGTGTACAGATTATGTCTCGAATGGGCTCGTCTGACTGCCGACGACAGAGAAGCGATGACATACAAGGAGTAGGGGATCTTTCTTATAGATGTATAGTGTTTTCTTGGTATTGCATGCATGTTTTTTTCGATCTAGTACGTACGCACGGGAGACGCCTGTGAATCTTGATTGAGTTAGATCTGTCTTCGCCGGGAGTCCAACAACCGACAATGAAGCAAGGCTTTGGATGGGGCCGGCATCCCATCAGGACCCAAAACAATCCGGAACCCAACAGTCAGGCTTCTGCTTTTTATTTCTGCTCCCGGTTGGCACTACGTCATTGATCCGGCCCGACGCGCGGATAGCTGACCGCTGACTTTTCGTTACAAAAGCTGGCTCCCTTACTGGCTCATTTGTTCCGCTGCTGCTGCTACAATAATATCCTACAACCTACACTCCACAAGACACTTGAAGCAATGACAAACTCGTCGCTGCTCCAGACAGCTCTCCAAAACCTCCACGTTTCGCAACAGATCCACCAGCAATCCCATACCCCTAACCCACCCTCTTCTCCCGGCTCTACCTCCTCTCGTCTCTCATCAGGCGCCAACACACCGCCGTTCTCAGACTACGACACGGATGAAGACGAGCTGGTGGGTGTCGGAAAGGGCACACGCCCGGTAACACCGACTGGTGGGAAATCTGGCGGGAGACTGCCTAGTTTGTTGGGCGGCAAATCAAGAGATCCTGTAAGCGGGACAGTGCTATGCATATGGCGCATTGCTGATCAATCAAATGCTTGCCCACTTTCGTCTTTCAGCTTCGAGTACTGCCCACGCATCTATCTGTCCGGATTTTCTTGATGTTGGACATTCGAGCTTTGGCCAGATGTGACAGAGTCTGCAAGAGATGGCACAAGTCGTCCACACTCAACTATGGTAAGCCCGCTAGCGCTTGCAAATCGTAATGTGTCTAAATTTCATTGGCAGTATGGTTCTTACAGAACCGTAACCTGCTTCTCCCTCGCATCAGCGCGCCCGAGGGCGACAAGGGCGGCAAGACTCGTAAAGTCGACGACGAGATTGAGTTCTTTGACCCATACGACAAATCTCCCCGCCTGTCTTCTCTTCTTCCCCCTCCCATTCCATCGTCGGCGCAGCCACAATGGACCAAGATAGAGAGCAAGAAGGAATGGAAAAAAGCTTTCAAGCATACGTTCAAGAGGACAGATCCCACGGCAGAGCCCGAGCCTGAGAGGGGCAGAGTTGACATTGCGAGCTTGCATTCGTCTGGCTACTCTACCCCTACAGGTGGTCATGGGTACGCTGGCATGGGCAGTGGGGGCGCCTCAAGGTGGGAGCCTGTTGCTGGAGAGGCACCGTCGTCCACGGAAAGAAAGTTGGCGGCGAGAGTCGCTTATAAAGCGATGGGCGGGAGGAAGAGCAGAGCAAAGAGAAAGATGGGCGGGGACATGGGCTCAAGGGATAAGGGAGGGGCTTTGGACGACGGCAGATTCGATGCTCCTTGGTAGTGAGGTCTCCATGCATTTATGACCAGAAAGTGACCGCCCAACACATTGCACGCTTGTTGCACGCACACAGGATCCTTAAGATCCGCCCAAACAAAGCCAATCCATAGGATATGTCTGGTTTGAACACTCCGTTCCTCGCTTCTGTGTCTCCTGTGGTGCATGTCAGAAGTATGCGGTTTCACGATATGTCAACGTTGGTGAGTTGACTTGTCCAGGGCTTGTCGGCGATGTCCGCTTGTTGCAGTTGACGCGACTGCTCGACGCGTCCGATATTAATTCCTGCTCTTATTTCTCATTTCTTCGTAACCTGTCCATTCTCTTCTTGGACTGTCTTGGGATCCTGTTGAGACAACCCGCCATCACATCGAAATGGCAGGGGAGATCATAGCGGACGTCAGTCCACCGAAAGGCTCCAGGAGAACCTCGCTCAGGGCCTCGGCATCTATCAGCAACGTCCTTCCCTCCCCTTCTCGCTCCACCAAAGCCTGCGCAAGACAGTCAACCTCTCGCGCAGAACAATCACCCCGCAAGCCTGTCGCGATGGAAAAACGAAAACGCGTGAGTATTACCCTTTTTCACGAAACAATGTTAACGCGACGCGTTGTCACTCCAGGTCGAGACCCCTTCGCCTGCTCCTTCCAGCGACGATAGCGACAAAGAATACGAAGTAGACTATATTGTCGACGCTCGTATTGTCAAGAAGCGACGCGTACCCAAGCTGGAATATCTCGTCCACTGGACAGGTTATCCTGTATACGAGAGGACTTGGGAGCCTGAAGAGAACGTGGGCGACCAGAACTGTGTCCTTGTCAAAGCGTTCTACAGAAAGAATCCTCTCAAACCTCGTCTTCAGAGAGCTGCGTCTCCCACGTCCGAAGCGCCTTTGGAAGAGGCAGACAGTGAATCCATCGTCGATCTTGGCGAATCAGTCGAACCCGACGGCGGATTGATTGAAGCTGCCCTCCATCTGCCTCCCAATGAAGAGAAATCTCCCTTCAAACAGGAGGCCTCTCCTATTTCAGTGAAGCATTCGCCCTCCTTCGCGGACCGCAAACAATTTCTAGTGACTGCCGAGGTTGTCGAGGAGGCAATGTCCTCGAATAAGCGACCCGCTCGTGCATCGGCTCGAAAGTCTGCTCCAATCTACGATGATGGTGAGAGTGATGGATCAGGAGCACCGAAAAGACCGCCAAAACGCCCCACCAGAGGCCCGACCAAGAAGGACGATGCGGTCAGCAGCAAGCAGCCTCCCAAAAAGAAGCGCAGGGTGAATGATGACGATGAGAGCGATTTTGTCATGAATGAGGACGTCGATGAGGATGAAGGGGAGGATGATGTGATTTTCTCCGATGAGCAGGAGCAGGAGCAAGGGGAAGAGTCCGCAGATGAGGCGGAAGATGCGGAGGAGAGCGAAGAGGGTATGTCGTCTTGAAGAGCATTGTATAGGATCTGACAAATACCCTGCAGAAACCAAGACATCAATGACGAGTAAAGCCCGAGCTTCCCTGTTAAAGGCGAAAGCAAAACCCCGCAAATATGCAGCCTTGTGAGTCATGTATGGTGTCTAGCATGAGAAATGATTCTGATCCCATACAGGGCCAATTTTGAAACTGGTGTCATGCCTTTGGGGCAAAATATTGACATCAAGTTGGCTGTAAAAGACATGAGCGAAGATCTGCCTCCGATGAGCAACGTGGAGGCCATGTTTGACCATCTGGTTTCAAGGGTAAGACTCTATGCGATCGCCATTTGGCTTGGGGCTGACGACCATGCTAGATGCCAGACATCGTCCAGCTTATAAAGCAGCTGAATGGGCGGAAACTGCGCGTGGCGACCATGTGCTCGTACGAAATCACACTTCTTCCTGAGACTTGCTGACCTTATGGCAGAGGCACAGAATCACCCCTCTTGGCACTTGACATGATTGCCCAAGCCATCAAATCCCAGCACGACTTGACCCTTTCGTTTGATCATGTCTTCTCATGCGAGATTGAGCCTTTCAAGCAAGCTTATATCGAGAGGAACTTTGCACCCCCGATATTGTTCAGAGACGTTACAGAACTGGGAAAAAGAAGGGCTCATACAGCTTATGGAAGTCTCGTTGAGGTTCCAGGCGACGTTGATGTGAGTTCTTTGTCTTGATTATTGCCGATCGCAATCTACGCTAAACATCCATGGAAGATTCTCATTGCGGGTACTTCTTGCGTCGATTACTCCAATCTCAACAATGTCCAGCAAGACATTGACGCAAATGGAGAATCCGGTCGGACGTTCAGGGGCATGTTGCAGTGGGTCAACAAGCACAAGCCACCCATCGTCATATTAGAGAATGTCTGCAGCGCCCCTTGGGCCAAGGTCGTTGAATACTTTGCCGAGATCGACTATGATGCGGATTTCACACGGTGAGTGATACGCAAACATGAATAAACCGAGTTGACGTAGCGACACAGTCTGGATACAAAGGAGTTCTATATTCCTCACACTCGCACTAGAGTTTACCTCTTTGCCACACCATCCACCGAATCTGGGGATCTGCCCGAAAAATGGCAGCAGACTGTGAAGGACCTACGACGTCCTTGGTCATCCCCCTTTGAAGCATTCTTGCTTCATACCGACGACCCCAACATTCACCGCGCGCGCCTCGATCTGGCCTCTGCCAAAGCACAGACGGAAGGAACATCAAGAAAGCCTACTGACTGGACCAGATGCGAGTCTCGACATCATCGGGCGCGAGAAGAAGAGGAGCTCGGTCTTCAAAGACCACTCACTTCGTGGCAAGAGGCTGGTGTCTGCAAAGGTCTCGATTGGACTTGGAACGACTGGCTTCTGACGCAGACTGAAAGGGTTGTCGACTTGCTAGAGATTTCAACTCTTCGAATGGCCAAAGATGGTGTTGACTCGGGTCACAAGGCTTGTATCTGGAACGTCAGTCAGAATGTTGATCGTCAAACGGGCTCGGCAAAAACCGCTTTAGCCCCTTGCCTGACCCCCAATATGATCCCCTGGGTTACCATACGGGGAGGTCCTGTTACGGGTCGGGAAGCTTTGGCGCTACAGGGAATTCCTGTGCGAGAGCTCCTACTGACAAGCGAGACTGAAGATCAGCTGGCCGATCTGGCTGGCAATGCCATGTCGACGACTGTTGTGGGTTCAGCAATGTTGTCTGCTCTCCGAGTGGCCTGTCACAGGCTAAAAGCTGGCGCCAACCCCGACCAAGACGCCACGAGTCTCATACAGGAAGCTGCGGTCATCGATGAGCAAATCGCTGGCCGTATCGTGGGTGAAGAGCGTCTCGAGCGCCATGACCTTGACTTGGCTAAAGTGGCTCAATCCAACCTTGGCATTCTCTTGGACCTTGCCCATCGCAGTTCTCGTCATTGTCAGTGCGAAGGACAATCCGGCACCGTCGACAACATCCTCGAATGTGTTGAATGCCATTATAGGGCGTGCAAGTCTTGCGGGGGAAGGCCAGAGCATGTCTACAGCAATTGTGCCAATCTTCGAGTTCAACCAGTTGAATTCGAAAAGCGTCTCAAAGACCTTTTGCCTATGCGCGTCGAAATTGCCGGCCTGGGCACCGAATCCCTGGCAAAAGCCAAAACGAAAGCTCAAGAGCGCGCAAAAACACTCGTTGATGAAGGTGATTGGAGGCTTTGGAGTGACGCCGTTTCAGAAGCGGTCACAGGCGCAGAATTCAGATTTCGCCACCTCAAAAGGCAAGGTGTATGGACCGCTGTTTACGAGGCGCCCGGTGCTTCTCTCAACCTCGTCCTCGACAAGCAAATGCCCGAATGGCGACTCACAATCAAATCATCCGCTTCTGAGCCGAACGACAGTCGCTTACGGGCACTCCTCCTTCACCCCGTAGCCCGGTTGCAGATCGATACCACCGGTCAAGATGTGCTTTGCGGCCTTTGGAATCTTTGCATTCCATCCAGAAGCACTATAGACGTCACGATCATTGGACGCGGTGACAAAGTGCCCTCTTGGGAAGCATCATTGGGTTTGGAGGGCATTTTTGCTGGCAAAAAACGCTGGTCTGAATTGGAAGTGCAAGTCGATAGCGCGGGCGAAGAGATACTAGACCGTAAAATCTCGGGCATCTACAAACTACTACCCAATTGTGGACAGGCCATGGCTTCTCTTCATAAAAAAGTCCTTTCTTCTGAGGATAAATCGCTTCCCCAACTGTACTTTTTCTTCGACCCCACTCGATGTGGAGACTCTTCCGACGACTCTTATGTCTTTTCGACCAGCATCGATAGACTCGACTACGGAACTGACCGCCCGGTTATAGCGCAGCTCCGATCAAGCTGGCGCGAAAACGATGAGGAATCTCAAGCGTCATCAGTGAGGGCTTCGGGAAGCTGGGTCACCTGCGAGGAGGCTCATCTTGCTGCTATGGGTGGCGGCGATATCGCTGTCGTCGGTGCTACTACTGATTCTGATATCGAACACGATGTCGCTACTTTCGCCGTGCCCAAATCAGCCTCCAGTATATCCGTATCTTTGGAAAACGACGCGTGTACGCATGCTTCCGCTATTCTATCGTGCCGGGTGCCACTCAATCCATCTCATTCTGAAAGCATGTGGCGAAATGGGGCCTGGGGCGAAGTGGACTTGTCTCATCAAGGAAACGCAGCATTTGCCAACCTAGCATGGATCACCGAGAGACTGCCGCCCATGAACGCGTTGGAACAATGGACTGTCATTGCAAACTCACACGTGAGCCTGCCGTTCTTCAAACACTCTCTTACTGACGGTCTCACAGAGCGCTGAGGATGTATGTGAACGGTGCGCTCCTCGGCCACCTCGAGTCCATTGGATCAAGAAGGCGGGCAAAGTGAACAAGAGGGGAGCAAAGACAAAGAGCACCATCATCGCCTATGAAGACAGATATGAAGCTGGTCTTTACGAGCATGTGGGTTTCTTGTCGTATTTCATAGTCATTATTGCTGACGTTGTGCACAAAAGGCTCTCAAAAGCCGCCCGTCTCCTTTCGTGCTCCAGCTTCGTTTAGATGACGGCTTCGGATCATTCCGTATAGGTCTCAATATTGTATCGCTGGCCCATCGTGCTCTTTCCCGACTTCCTCACGATGTTTCAAAGGGCAAGACAAAACTCTCATGGCGTCTTACGCCTGGGCCAATTGCCGAAAGTCCTCGACCGCCGAAAGTATTTGTGATTCCGAGCAACAAGCGCGATCCACAGCATGCGCAGCCTGCTAGCTTTAGATATCGCCTTCGGCCCGAGCAACTGCGCTCAGTCTGGTGGATGTTGGCGCAGGAAGAGGCTGCAGGTAAAACACATACCTTTGTCGAAGAGGAGATTGCCGAAGCCATCCTGCCCGCTGTGGGTTGGAGAGCCGAGGGAAAGGCTGAAAGGCCGGTCCTGGTCCGCGGAGGTGTCATTGCCGATCAAGTTGGTTACGGCAAGACCGTCATAACGATCGCACTCATCGCGGAGACTCGAGAAACACCTGCACCGGAACCAGCGCCCGTCGATCTGATAGATCTCAAAGCCACCTTGATCCTGGTTCCCGGCCACCTCAGCAAACAGTGGCCAAGCGAAATCGCTCGTTTTACTGGGAATATGTTTGAGGTCATGGTCATCCAGAACATGAGAGACCTGCAAGGCAAGACCATCGCGGAGCTCAGTAAAGCCGACATCATAGTCATGGCCACGGAAATCTTCGAGGCCGACCTGTACTGGGAACGATTCGAGTATCTTGCGGCTCACCCTGAAGGCTGGCTGAACGACGCTCAAGGAGGGAGGTTCTTCTGCGATCGTCTCGATTCAGCTCTGGCAACATTGAGATCCCAGACTCGTGTCTTGAAGGAGGAAGGGGCGGATGAAGCTATAAGAACCATGGCGAAGATCCAGGAGGACGCCAGAGGCGAGGTTGAAGGTGGGGCTGAAGTGCACAAGTCGATCAAGTTTGGCAAACGAATGAAGGGTCGAGCCTACCGTGATCGATATGATGGTGAAGCGAAAAAGAAGACTACCTTGGCCGAAATGGAGAATTGGGAGGCCTCTGATGATGACGATGATGTGAGTTTTTCCGTACATACCGTGCTCAAAGGCTGACCACTTGCTGGTTTGTTAGATTGACGAACTTGCTGATGTTCCGATGCCAACCTTCAGACAGGCGAAAGGATCTGAGGCCTTGACCAGCAGTGCGGTAAAACAAGATTTCAACAAGCTCTCCTGTCCGGTCATGCACATGTTCAGGTGAGTGCATGTATGTCTGCGCTATGACCAGTTGCCTGACCAGATGCCCTTGTCAGATTCCGACGTGTCGTCGCAGACGAGTTTACTTACCTGCAAAAGAAGAGTTTGCCGGCAATTTTAAGATTGACCTCTTCATATAAATGGATTCTCTCGGGTACACCACCCGTAGATGATTTTGCGGCTATCCGAAGGTATGGCCCCATCCCTCTGTCAATTCGAGCTAACGCTTTCGTAGCATTGCTTCCTTCATGGGGCTGCATTTGGGCATGGAAGATGACGGAGAAGCCTCTACTCAGTACCTAAAGATCCGAGTCAAGGAACAGACTCAAGCGGAAAAATTCCACGCCTTCCGGGAGGTCCATTCTCAAGTATGGCATCAACACAGGGACGATCTTGCTCAAACCTTCTTGGACAATTTTGTTCGCCAAAACATTGCCGAAATCGAGGAGATCCCCACCGTGGAGCATATACATACCTTCGTGCTGCCAGCTTCAGAAGGAGCCGTCTATCTTGAACTTGAACACCATCTTCAAGCATTGGAAATGCGCACGTACGTGAATCTCACTTGACTCACAGCTGCCAGCTAAATGTCATATAGGCGCAAGGAGACCAAGTACAAGAATGTCTCTCAAGGCGACAGACACGCGCGTCTAGAAGAGGCTCTGAGTGATTCAAAGACCGCTGAAGAGGCACTTCTCAAACGTTGTTGTCACTTTACGCTCGACCTCAATGACAAGACTCGTGACGTCGAATCAGCTCGCGAAGCTTGCCAGCACATCTCGGGCGCTCGGGCGCTTCAACTGACTGCCTGTCAGGCAGATTTTGCCGTTTCGGTCAATCAAGCTGTCACCTTTCATACGTGGATCAAGAAGAAGGGCTATTTCACCAAGAGTGACCCCTCCCCTCAGCCATTCACTCAATGGGTCACTTCTTCTTGGGATACCCGGAAGCATCAAGGGGATGCGGAGGCCGCTCGTCGCGTGACGAAGGTGTTGGAGAAAGAGTGCAATATCAAGGATGCTGTGATTCCCTCTTCGCCCGCAGGGAAAACCAACGCCGTCCCAAAAGGTGCCAAAGTTGATGACGTGAAGTGGCAATTGCGGGAGCAGACACATCTCCTGCGCAAGCTCTCAAAAGAGCTTGTCGGGAGAGTAAGATCTCTTCGATTTTTTGAAGTGATTCGGAAGCTTCAGCAAGGAGGCGAAGAAGCGCTGGAGGTCCTGGAGACGTCGGGATGTGAGCACAAACCCTCGACAGCCGCCTCTGCCGCAATGGCCATTCTATCCTGCTGTGGACATGTGGCCTGTCACGAGTGCCTGGTGAAGGCTGCCCATAGTCAGCGTTGCATCGAGTCGGAGCAGTGTACTGCGCCCGTGCGACAGACCAACATAGTCAAAGTCGGCACATTGGGCGTGGAGGGTCAGCTTTCATCTGGTCGCTATGGCGCTAAGCTCGCCAAGCTTGTCGATTTGATTCACACCATCCCCGAAGACGAGCGCGTCCTCGTCTTCCTTCAGTGGGAGGATCTCGCAAGCAAGGTCTCGGAAGCGTTGACGACAGGTGGCATTCCTCACCACACGCTTACTGGAGCCGTCAAAGCCCGGGCGAATACTCTTGATCGTTTCCAGTCCTCCGACGCGTCTTCGTCACGAGTTTTGCTCTTGAAGATGAACGATGCCAGTGCAGCGGGGTCAAACTTGACCACTGCCAACCATGCAATCTTCCTCGGCCCTCTGTTTACGCCGTCGCTTTACAATTATCGAGCGGTGGAGACACAGGCTATCGGACGAGTGCGAAGGTATGGCCAGCAGAAGGAGGTTCATGTTCATCGGTTGCTGGCTCTGGATACCATCGACATGACCATCTGGAACAGCCGACGCGCTGAGCTGAAGGAGAAGACAGATTGGGTAGAACTTCCTCAAGCCGAGTACACGGGGCAGCCGTCGGGCGCTGTACCCAATAGTGCAGATATCCCCAATGCGCTGCCAAAAAGACAGCAAGGCAAACGGGCCAGTCTGTCTGAAATCACGACGAATGGTGACAAGAGGGAAGCGGATTCCGAGCCTGAGAAGGTGTCGAAGAGAGTTGCGCGGGGAAAGCGGGACGCGGAGAATGGTGATTAGGTGCACATGTTATCCTTTTTTGGGTGTGGTCTTTCTGTATGTATGCATGTCTGTGATTTGTTGCATCTTGTACAACCTTCAAGTACTGTACATTTGCAATCGTGCTAATGGTGCGCCCAAAAGCTTTCTCTGAAGCAGACATCAGCAATCATTTTCCTTCATGACCATTGCTGACTTGCCCGTAGTTGAACAGAATTTCTTCGTTCCGCTTGATCGTTCGTACTGAGCTCATGTCAGCATATGTGATTACGCTCGCCCTATGCAGACCTACATGTCGTGAAAAGTATCCTTGTCTCGTGATCCACGGATCGCTCTTCGCTGCAGGTCAGCTCTATAAGTCACAGCGATGAGGCCAACGCACGCTCGGCCACGCAATTGACTTTGAGACCCGTGTCTGAATTGAAAAATCTCGTCAGATTGCCGTAGAACGCAGCATCGATGATGCTGTCGCCGTTGACCTGGAATTGGTAGCGTCGCTGGACGATATTCTACTTTATATCAGTATCCGATCAATGCGCAATCTTGGCCAGACGGACTTCTGTGGTGCTGTTGGTGGAAGGTAAGCTGTCTCGTCGGGCATTAACCTGACCAACTCACTTTCTCGCATTCCCCTCCATGTCCGTTATCAGCTCTCCAACATACTCTAACAAGTAAGTGTCAATTTGTGGTCACTGGGGGTAGATTCTCCGCTCACCGCCTATCATTGTATCCTTCGGAATATCCTGACCTGCGAACAATCCATACCCGGCAATGTCGCTGATCCCTACCCTCATCTTCTATAAGGTTGTCAATGTAGATCGGCACATCTGAAGAGTGACATACCGGAGTCATACCTTTCTGCAGCGCCACATTGCCGCAGGTAATGAATTTAGACTCGTGTAGATCATCTGACGCCTCCCAAACTCCATTCTGACCAAATGTCCCACCCGCTGCCCGTACATCTTGGGTTATTAGAAGCTCATCCCTGTCATAGCCTTGAGCGGGCTTAGCCTTTTAGATGTAACAAGACTCACGCTGCGCCACATGGACCACAGAGCTCTCTGTCACACTCTCGGTGACTCCTAATGCAAGGACATCTCGTAGGTGCGCAAGCTCGAGAAACATTCTTGCCCTCTCGTATGGCAATCTTGCAACAGTTGCAGCCGCGAAAGCGCCTAGTACAGGAGATAGGACACTGAATCAATGTCAGCGATCGTAATCCCGTTGCAAGATACCTTACAGAGCAGTGTCGGCCGCAAGGCCAATTTGTATTTGCGCATCTGCAAATGTCGGGTAAACATGGCCCATCATGGACGCATCTTTCAAAGTTCTGAAGCTTGTTGGTGATGGGGACTAGTGCGGGTCAGTCACCAGCCGAAGCAGCGCTCCAGACTCACTTGGGCGGTTCATCTTGACCTTGGCTTTGGGACCGTCCTCGTCCTCGTCATTGGCCTGCAGCTCTGGGTGGGCTCTAATGATGGCGACAACCTCCATCGCAACCTGACAGCCAAATGAGTGTGTTTACGGGAACTGAAGGTGAGGACTCACATCATCACAGGGTCTATCAAAAACATCTCTCAGTGCACAAAGACCGATGCCCGCGTTGGTCCACGCTTTGAGGATCTGGAAAAGCTGGGTACGATCCCACGGTGTCCAGGGCTTTCTTGGGTGACTCTGCCTCTCTCCTTCCGTCTCTGTCAACAGCTCCGATATGCGAAGGGAGTAGCAAGTACCCGAACAATTGTTGTTGAGGTTCAGAAGGATGTTCTGAAGACGAGGGAGTTTTCTGAGCTTGTCCTCTGCGAAAGTTATGTCATCTCCCGTCGTCCTTCTCATCATATTGTCGAAGAACAGCGCGCCTGTCATGTTTGTTAGCGCCGCCGGTATGGACAAGACTACACCTACTATGCCTGACGCACATGAAGTTTGTGCAGCTGGGGTTGTGGCAACACAATTCTTCAAATTCCAACGGGTCGGCCGAGTACTCTTCTTGTTTCACCTCCAGAGGTTCTTCCCACTTTCTTTTCGCCGGTGATACATCGCCCTTTCCTTCTTCAGCGATGCCGAGGTATGTTTCAGGAGACGATGGAAACGCCGGAAGGTCTCTCATGAGATCTAACATTTCAATATCCACGATATCCTTTGGTAATACTCTCGTCTTGTTGATATCTCTCGCCGAAAGTCCCTTGGCGCGACACCGTTTCGCCGTCTCACGAAGAATGATATCGGTGTCTCCGTTTCTCCCAGGTAATTCCCAGGCGCATAGAGGGAATTCCCTGGCGTACGCGTCGGCGTCGAATGGGACATCGTCGGTAAAAGTTGGGATGAAGGGTAAGATGACCACGTCGGGCGAGAGAAGACTACGCCTTATTGGCACGCAATAAAAGTATCTCGGAAGAGGCCTGACTTTGCCCCGCGAAACGTATTTCTGGGGAGGGGGTGGCGGGTTGGGTATAGAGTTGTTCCAAGATATAGGAGCTTTGGCGTGGCGTTTCGCATTGGCCAGTTTCTCGGCCCCTTCAAAGACGGGCTTTGTGACGGCTCCTCCGTCTACGACCCCGAGGGCCAGGGCCATCTTGCGCCCGAATTCCTTGTGCGCCTGCACTGTCTTTTTGTCTATACTCTCTATCTTTTTTTGTGCCCATCCAGTCTCCATGGGCAGGGTGGAGGGCGGCTTCCAAGAGTAAAAGTCGCGGTGGGTCTGATTGTAGACATGGCGCACGGTGGTACGTCGGGGATCGGGGGGAGAGGGGAGGAGGGACAGGGGGAAGGAGAGGGCAGAGAGGGGGAAGGCGGAACCGCTGCTGGGCATGACCCTGGCGCTGCGTTGTAGATGCGGATGGCCGGGAAGGACGCGTCTGACTTTGTCTGCTTTCGCCCAGGTGGAGGCTCACCACCTAGTAGGGCCTAGGGGTATGCAGCACGATGCACTGGGCAAGGGCTGCCAATCATCATCTCCAGGTTATATTAATGGTGCTCCAAGTCTGCCAATGTATGTTACTGCGTCGCGAGTTGAGAGGAGACCACTTCCAATATCAATCCTTGTCGTCTTCACCCTCTCCTCTGATCGAGTTTGCACTTTCTCGTAAAGCCGATAATCTACTTGTCTCTAGCTAGCTAGACAAAGGCGGCCATCCGACCCTGCATCCGGCCTATCCGGCAACTGACATTGTGACATTGAGTGATCATCAATGTCACGGCTGATGTTTGTGGCAGCAGTATTCCACTGTGGCGCGATGGCGGGACCCACCATCAGTCGACTCTGCGCTGGGAACTGCCAGCTGCAGCTGCGGTGCTAGCCGTACCTGCCTAGCTGCAATCTGCCATCTGCCACAAACCGCCATATGCATTTGTACATCTGGGCAATCGGGGCAATCGATACATGCATGCGGCCATGGGGAGCGCATGCCTCGGGTCTTGGCTGTTGAGCTTTGACATGAGTTGAGATTTGAGAGCCAACGGCCAACGGGACAGGCAATAAGTAACAGGTCCCAGACACCTAAGGACGTGCCGTGAGCCGTTGACGATCCTGATCCTGATGATCCACCCTCTCAGCCATCAGCCGCCAAAAGCTTATCCCCCCCAAACTCCACGATCTGTGCCAAGTTCCTATCTGAACTTTGTACTGATAAGCCCCACGCCCCTTTGCAGAGGCGTTCCTGCTTCTTTCGGCGTGGATATTGGATGCTTTGCGCTCTGTGCTCTTTATCATACGAGCTCAGGGCCCAGGGACAGGTATGTTCTTGGGGACGCTCGGAAACAAGTGCCAAAGAGCAGCATGCACTGCTTCATAATATGAACTGCGCTCACAGATCGTCCAGACCCGACCGCGGAGCTCTTCACGCGCTTGATGAGGTGGGCCGATAATGCCGTGGACAGGCGATAGCAAGTTGTAAGTAGGTTGATAGACAGCAACATAAACGTTCATCAACGGGACGGATCACCCAAGCTTGTCAGTGCCTTGCTGTGCGGCTTGCCTGATAAGATTCAAGATGCGTTTGATAATTGATTGTGTTTTGTTCTTACAAACTTACGGTTCTTATGATACAGTTTGTGAATTTTGAACTCTCTTTTTGTGCTTTTGTTCTTTGGCGTTTCTTTTTCCTTCTGACGTTTCTGTCAATCATTTTATTAGGCTCCCTTCCGCGACGGGCGGTGTGTTGAGCCTACACTTTATTGTACGATGATTATCTGTCAGCATGGGAGGGGAGTTTGAGGGGCGTTACGCTCTCCGATCGGTTCTCTTGTCGGTGGATGATGTTTTTGAATCGTCATGAGAGTCATCATCCTGGGCGACCTGGGCGACATATGCAGGCTTTGGATTTTGGATCACCCATGATATATAGAGCTGTTGGGCCTGGAAGAGCGACAAGAGCGCGAGGGGCGATAAACCACAGGATTGGCATACACTTCGCACTCCACTGTGACATCGTTCGGCATCATCAATGCCGGCCAGTACCACCGTTCCAGCCAACTTTCTTTATTATTATTATTTTTCGGCCTGCTTGATCTAATAGCTATCTCCATGATCCACAAAAAGGTTCGTTCCCGCCGGCGCCATACCCTGTCTCTGCTTCTGAGCCGCTTCCCAGGTCTGAGACAGGCCGGGATCGTCCATGATCGTCATTCCCATGCAGAGTCTATGCACAGGGAGGTGACGCCGTAATGTCATACTACGTACACAAAACATAGGCCGTAGAGCGGACTTGGTGCGCTTTTTCAGTGATATACTCTGCGCCTTCGCGCATTTCGCTCCACAAATCGTCACAGTCTGTCACACCCAGCTGCAACTCCTGTAACGCGCGATGACAAGATCCATAGAATTCAGAAGTGCTTGGGAACGTCAACTAACATGCATTTAGCCTCTTAGCCTCTGGCAGATCGCCCAGATCGCATGCTCAGTCGCTCCGGTAGTGTCTAGTTCCACAAATTCTGACTGGTTGGGACAGGGTCGAGGGTTACTCACCATGGCATTACTCCATGTGGCAGTGATCTAGTGAGATCACACGACACTGCCCCACCCCAACTTTCTTACAGTCTAGAAGACAACTGCCCCATCGTTCTGTTTTGCAGCAAACAAAATCAAGTAGGCATGTATAATTCATACTCTGCTCTCTGGTACTCTGCTATTCTTCTTCACTCCACGGAAACCGCTGATTGTATAACACACAAGATAATATGGGGAGGGGGAGATACTACTACAAATATATATGTCAAGAATGCGAATGATGAATTTGGGGGCGTGTGTACAACAGCTCAAGGAAATGGTCAAGGAGAAAAGTCTATAAACATCTATGCTCTGACAGGCGTCAAGAGCGGGGTCTGAACGCGGGGTCTGTATCGGAAAGGCCCATCTTCTACGACGCCGCCAATAGTCTGGACAGTCATCGTCGCCTCCTCCTCATCCTCGTCCGCCTCGGCCGACTGCGGTGCCCATTTGGGCAGCCAAAAGTCGTCCTTGCCTGACCGTCTCTGGCGCAGAGTCTGGCGCTGGATCTCCTTTTCCTTTGCCGCTCGCCTTGATTTGAGTGAGGGCGCAAAGAGGGGCGGGGCAGACGGGATGGGAGACGACGATCGTTTAGATCGGGAGTGAGACGGGTTGACGGCGAGGGGGTAGAGGGACAAGACGCCGGAACGGTCCATCCAATCCGCGATCGGCGCGAGCTCTTCCTCAACTTCCACCGAGACTCCCACTTCCACCGAGTGTGTCGGGGAATGCACAGAGCGCATGAGGATGCTAGCATCGTCATCGGGGGTTCGAAGGAAATTGGAGTGGGAAGAGTAGTCGGAGAACGGTTCGCTGTCTGTGGAGCTATTCTTCCTGGTCGACAACTCTGGGACCGCCTCGTCGGCGTCGAGACCGGGTTTTGGCACGCACATGTCGCACACTCTTGACTGAGCCAGGGACCGGGCGGAGCCAGCAGTGTGGATGAGGAGCGCTCGCTGGGAAGAGTGGTTGCCGCAAAAGAGCTGGCCGCACATGCGGCAGTGATGGCGGCGGGGGCCCAGAAAAAAGTAGGAAGACTGGGCAAAGTTGGCAGTGCACAGGGGGAAGGTGCAGAGAGCAGAGGAGGCGTCCGGCTGGGGCAACATCAGCACCACAAACATTTGAGGTCATAGGGAGTGTACGTACCTGCCACTTGTCTTTGCTCATAGCCTCGCCAATGGCAGGGACCTGCGCACTGGCCAGGAGGGAGGCGCAGCTTGCCTTGTTGTCCGCGGTGGGCGAGACGGGGGACGGTGCATCGGCGGTAGCATGGTCGGTGGACGGGCAAGCCAAAGGCTCCACGTTCAGGTAGCGAAGCCCGGTGGAGGAGGAGGCAATGGGCGGGAAGGTGGAGCTGATGGGGGAGGACGAGTAGGAGGCGGGTGCGAGGTCGACGTTGACTTCGAGGGCAAGGCCTGGGGGAGGTCAGCGATGCCACAGCAAGATATAAAGTACGCACAGTCGCCGCTCCGGGACTTGCAGAGCTGTTGTTGTGTGCGCTCGTGGGACTCGAGCCAGTGGGCCTGGGCGTGGGAGACGGCGACGGCGGGGTCTGGGAGCTGGGGGGGGAGGTCTGTGGGGCGGGCCTGCTGGAGAAGGGAGTTGCTGGAGGAGTGGGACATGGCGGGGGTAGAGATGAAGATGCAGCAGTGATGGTCTTTTGAATGAACGGCCCCTCGTTGGTGCACTCCATCGGACGACGACCCTGATTGCACCCTGAAATAGGGCCGTGCCTCTCTCCTCACACTTCGGATTCCGGCAATTGGAACGATCCCCGTCGCTTGCGGGCTTGCGGCAAATGGGGTGGAGGCAGGTACAAGTACGCATGCCGCACCGCCCATACAAGTCCCGTCTAAACGACCCGCTACTGAGCCCCGGGTCCGCCAGCTGGGGAGCTGGGGACTGGGGGCCGCCCCGATTAATCTACATGTGTGGTTCTATGCTCGGGCGCAGCGCAGGGTGTGTGCCATGCCGATCGGCCATCATTCACCACCTCGCCCCCTGCGTCTAGATTAGATACCCCCCACAGCAGGATGGCGACGCGATGGCAGCTGCGATGGACAGCTCCCTGCCAGCATCTCTCGTATGCAGTGATGAAGGAGCGCGAGCAGAGGTGCATACGTAACGATAACGCTTCCCCGCCGCAGCGATTCCAGAGAAACTCTAAATAAACCCTCTCTGGCCGGGAAAGGAGGGGCGATCTCGTGCCTGTGCCTCTCATTTATCAGAAACGCGTTGCTCGGTGCTCTGGCAACAACGATTGTCCATCATGAAACGGATGTGTTGTAGGGGGGACACGTCCAAGTACGTAGTGCAGTGTGGAAGTCACCGCTATTACTGCGTTGTTGCTAGCAGCCCCGTTATTGTCTTCATTTCCGCCGGCCAAGAAACCCTCTGGCCCCTGGGTGGAGCTCCCAAGTATCGATTACCCCCAGCTCCATGCAGGGTCCAAGTGGTCACTAGAATTGCCCCGTTGTCGGGTCTCATTGTTGATGGGGGGAGGCATTATTATACGCACAGGAGATAGGCACACCATAGCATCATTACCTCATTCTCAACTTGTTCTTGCGTACTATGTGGGACCAGATACGACCAGCCAGACAGTCTAGTCGGATACCAACTTGGTTCTTGTCCCACTTGACAGTCCAACCTGAGATTACTCGTATCCAGCGTTGCATCAATTTGTTCGCTCGAGATTAGCTGATGATATAAGACAGACGGATTCCAATTTGATAGATGCAAGGTTGATCTCCTTCACTTGATCTGGTGCTCGTTCTCTCATGTGGTCGAAAGAGTACTAGTATAGTCTATATAATGTACTCTCGATTGCGGACAGTAAAAAGGCGACAATGAAACATGAAGAGCCTATAAGCCTTCAGTCTCAATAGCTGCCAACAGATTGTCGGTCAAGGGTGACAACACATGGGAGACAACAAACAAGCACATGTGAAGCTGAGCTCATGTCACGAGGTCAGATATCTGTACCCGTACAGAGCTAGGACAGTTGGCATCGACTTGGACCTCAGTCAGTGACATTCTCAAACGAAATGACCAAGGTCATAAGCCACTGTACATAACCACCATGTGCGGATACGGCGCTCATCGCCGCTACGACGCGTCGCGTCGACACAAGTCTGCATTTCCATCCCTTCTCCCACTCCCTCACTACACAAAATGCAGTCCTCCGACCCCGGACACCTCTTCCAAACCTCCGCACAGCTGGCACAAGCTGCCACCCGCGAACGCAAGCTCAAAGCAGCCGAAAAAGTCGGCAACCCCATTACCTTGTCCAGCAAGATTATCGACCTCCAGATTCTTGAAAGTCATGCTTTCACTGCAGAGAGCGGATGGCAGGCTAGGCGGGTAGATCTTTGTGTGAGCTACACTATCATACCGTGGACTCGGGCTGATGGAATAGACGGGGAAAACGGTCAAGTTGTACAAGGGCCACCAAGGCCCTGTCACCAGTATTGCCTTGACCAAAGTCACCGGGTCTGATGGTATCCCCTGGACGGCGCTGTTTACCGGATCATGGGACAAGACCATCCGCGTCTGGAACGCCGACTCGGGCGAGCTCATACGTACCGTTCAAGGCCACAGCGACTTTATCAAATCCCTCACCCTCATTCCCACACCTTCGCCCTTGCTGCTCTCGACCTCGTCTGATCGGACGAGCCGGCTTTGGGATGTTGCTTCCTTGTTGAAGAGCGAGGCGGAGGGGAAACCAGAGACGAGGCAGATCATCAAAGATCATACCCGCCCTGTCGAGTGTGCTGCGTGGAAATACGAGCTCGACGCTGAGGGTCAGTCGACTGGCGTCTTGTCCGTCTGGACCGCCGACTCGCTAGGCGTCATCAAGCAGTGGATAGTCAAAGATGAAAGACTCGAATTCGTGCATGATGTCAAGGGTCATGAGACCAGCGTGGCGAGGCTGATACCGGTAGAAGATGGTCTATGGAGTGGTACGTATCTCTCGCAGGCCCGAGCGCAAGGCTGACAAATGTCAGCGTCCATGGACAAGACTGCCATATTCTACCCCACCACCTCGTCCCCGAAGACGACCATCCCTCACCCCTCCTACGTCAAATCCATCCTCCCCCTCACCGCTTTTCCTCTGCCCAATGCTGCTTCGCTCGTCTTGACGGGATCGGAAGATGAAGACATCCGGATATGGGATGTGGAGGCGAATCCTCCAAAACTCAGGGGGACGATCCAGGGTCATTGTGGAGAGGTGGCGGCGATGCAGAGCTGGATAAGAGAGACCAATGGGCAGGCAGAGTTGGTCGTAGTCAGCGCGGGGTTGGATGCGTCGATCCGGACATGGACTGTCAAGGGTGAGTCACGCCAATGTTGACTTTGCTGACAAACTGCAGACATCCTGAACCCTCCGCCACTAGTGTACGAAGTTGAGGAAAAGAAAGAGGCGTCGGGGATGACTGAAGAGGAGGAACGAGAGTTGGCAGAGCTCATGTCTGATGAGGAATAACGGCAGCCGGGGATGCATAATGGCAGAGCACATGTACCGTCGAATACGGATGCGTCGGACTGCACTTCGGGGTTGCCATTAGAAGACATTTTGAATATTTAGAAGCCAAGAGAAGCTCGCTAAACTTGGTTCACATAAATGAAAGAGGCGCCCGGCCCCCGTGATTTTTCCCGCGTCCATGCCCGAAAAACTAGACACCTTTTTTTTGCATCGACCTCTTTCGAGTATTCGGACATCCGACATGCTCTCGCCTGCGAACGTACGGCATCCTCTGCGCTGGGTGGTCCATGCCCAGCGCTATGCTGCCCGCGCAACGGCCTGCCCTTGTGGATGTGCCCAGTTTCACCCAGGCCTGTCTACCCGCCGACCCCTGGCCACGTCGGCTGCCCCCGTTGCCCCACGGCTGCCTCGAGTCCCTCGGGGATTCCGTCGCTATGCCACCGAGGCCAAGGGGGAATGGGCGACAGAGACGGAACAGGAGCAGGCAAAAATGGTCGAGGCTGCCAAAGTCAAGGTCGACCTCTACAAAAAGACCATGGAGGAAGTGCGTACACAACAGAGAGTCATGTATCATGTGCTGAAACGATAGTAGGAAGCGAATGCTATGGAGATTGATATCAAGGCGCAGATTGAGCGGGCCAGAATACAGAAAGAGCTGGCGCCTCTGTCAGAGGTGTGGGACAAGTACCTCGAACTTCGAAAGGCAAGTGCATGGCCGTCCCTGTTGCAGTCACTGACGATCAACAGTCCATCATAGATATGAAGGTGTTTTTAGACGACCCGGATCCAAGCGTGAAGGAAATGTTTGAAGCCGAACACGAGACCCTCTGCACCGAGCTGGACGATCTCCTCACATCAACCTTCCCCTCCGTCATCCTGCCTCCTCCGTCTACCTCTTCGCTCCCCGTCGTCATGTCTCTCAACGCCGGCGTCGGCGGTCTCGAGTCTGCTCTTTGTACTGAAGACCTCGCTCGGATGTATGTCCGTTTCGCCCAGGCGCGGGGCTGGAAGGTGGAAGAGATCAGTAGAGTGGATGGGACAGGAGGCAAGGGCGGTGGTGGGATCAGGGAGATGACTGTCAAGTTTGATGCGCCTGCCTATGGAGGAGGCGATGTGGAGATCTACGGAGCATTGCAGTGGGAGAAGGGGGTACATCGTATCCAGCGAGTACCGGCAAATGAGACGCAGGGGAGAATACACACTTCGACCGTGGCTGTCATTGTAAGTTGAAACTCTTTGTTGAAAGGCAAGAGCTAAAGTAGACCAGGTGCTTCCGATATATCCAGATACTGCCGAGGCGCCGTTGGTCGACCCCAAAGATGTCAGGACTGATGTGATGCGTGCCAGTGGTGCTGGTGGGCAGCACGTCAACAAGACCGAGTCTGCTGTCCGCATGACCCATGTGCCCACTGGCATCACCGTCTCGATGCAAGACTCGCGAAGTCAACATCAGGTATGTGGCTTCGACCCGTATATGATCACGCCTGACGACTTTGCAGAATCGAGCGTGGGCGTGGGAGATCTTGAAGGCGCGACTATCAGAAAAGAAGCACAATGAAGAAGTAGAAATGAAGAGGGCGAGCAGAAGAGATCAAGTCAAAGGGGCGGACAGGAGTGACAAGATCAGAACGTACAACTTCAACCAAGCAAGTCATCCCTGTTTCCTTTGACGCCCACTAACGCTTTCCTCAGGATCGATTGACAGACCACAGGTTTGGCTTTAGCATCATCGGCCTGCAAAACATCCTTGACGGCGAAGGCTTGGAAGAAGTGATCATGAAGATGAAGGACGACTTTAGAGAACGGCGTTTGGAAGCGCTGTTGAAGGGAGAAGAAGATTTGGATTATTGAGTAGCCATCACACATACCCCTCTCAGCTTGTAGCGAAATCATGCATCATCACCCATTTGAACCATGTCGCTCACTGCCCTCCGCCGCCAAAGAACTTTCGAATATCCTCCTGTTTGGCATCGTACCCCTGACTTCCGATGCCGCCCTTCTGCCTCACAACCCCGGACAGATGGCTCGTCACATCCGTACTGATAATTTTGATAGTCAGCGGCTCAAGAGCGAGGTCTTTGGCTTTGGCGGGAGGGGCTGCAGAAGGGTTGGAAGACGGATGGACAGGCTCGGAGGGGTTTGTGCTGATCTTGGGAGTGGTGGATGATCCGGACTCGTCCTGCAAGGTGTCAATCAATAGCTTGGAAGGTGCGGCTGACACTTACAGCGTACCCGACCTCGACCCTCGTCCAACCAGTCTGCGACCATCAGAATCAGACTCTATCGATCAAAAGTCACTCACATTGGTCATTCCTCTGTACTGCCATTCCAGGGGCGCATTCCCTTTCCTTCTAGCCATCAACGCTCCCAGGAACTCTGAATTGAAGATACCGTGCGCGACTACGGCCACATGCTTGTCTGAAGGCGGTTTCCCTCGGCTTTCTTGCAGGATCGGTTCGATATATTGCTCGATTCTGGCGACAGTCAGCCGATATACAAATGCCGAGATCTACGTACGCTTGCTTGGCTCTGTTGCGGACGTCCTCAAGCGTCTCGCCTCCTGGAAATGCAAAGGTTCGTCCAGGCTTGCGATACCACTTGCCATCACTGTTACCAAACGGCTGATGCTCGGCTATGCGACATGAGTCTGGATCCATGATCTTGATACGGCAGCTTACCTTCCCCGAAGCCCTGTTCCCGCAAGAGCTGAGTCGTGTCTAAAGGCGGTTGGGTAGCTTGGTTTGACTGTATCTGTTGAGCCTGAAAGACATGTCAGCCCTGAAACGTCGCGATGAGAGCAAGAGAAGGGGCTGACTGTCCAGTGAGCTCTCTTGAGATCGGAAGCCACAATGTAGTCGAATCGGGTATCCTTCAACGACTGTCCGAGTGCTTTGGCTTGCTACGCATCAAAGTCAGATGGAGGAATAGGGTAGGAGGTGGTCGGCGTACATTCATGCCTAGATGACGACATCAGCTCGTACTGGCAGTTGGAAGCAATGTTGTCGCATGCACGCACCATGGTTTGAGAGAGGGGCATCTGACCATCCAGCCCAGAGAGGTCTCAGGTTGTCTGTTTGTTGTCAGTAAGTGAAGCATGGGCGCAAGAACAGGGATCACCAGTCGATTCGCCGTGTCGTACCTGCAAGTGGGAGGTCAGCGTGGCCTTTGGTGAGACGGAAAGTGACAGACGATAGTCAGAGTGATCATATTGATGTACTGATGTTTGCTCGATGGCAAATCGAGTTGGGTATGAGCTGTATATGTACGATGGCGACTCTAAAGCATAAAGGCCGATATGCGGCAATGCAAGACGCGGGGATCCGCGGCGCACCACATCAGACCAATGGGACGTTGAAGCATCGTCTCCCCTTCTGTGAAAGGCTGACGAGAAGAATGACGCTGCGACGGGATGTGAGTGCATGACATAATTGCACAAGAGCCAGCCAGCAACTGCATGCAGTATACCACGGCAGTGATGCCCCGCTCTATAGACAAGGGACCAAACAAGACGCAAGCAAGAAGCTGGAGACACCTCCTGGAGCATGGGGTAAGCACTGACGAGGAGACCCCGAGCCCTTTCCCCACGCAAGCCACCAGAACATGCTTCAACACTCTTCAGCATGCAGAAGAACAGCAGTACTTCTTAAGCGCTTCTTGTACTAGAAGAGCCGATATGGTTACGTAACACGGCTGGGCACTGAAGGCAGCAACGGTCTCTTTCCTCTTTCTTCTTTCTTCTTTCTTCTTTCCCCACGCAAGCCACCAGAACATGCTTCAACACTCTTCAGCATGCAGAAGAACAGCAGTACTTCTTAAGCGCTTCTTGTACTAGAAGAGCCGATATGGTTACGTAACACGGCTGGGCACAGACCTCGTGTCGCCGGGGTGAAGGCAGCAACGGTCTCTTTCCTCTTTCTTCTTTCTTCTTTCTTCTTTCTTCTTTCTTCTTTCTTCACGCGGCCCTCCTCGCCGCCATCCTCGCCACAGCCTCCATCTCCCCGCCTCCGAGCAACCCTTGCGCCTGCGACTGCACTTGCGGTCGAAAGTACCGACTACCCGCTCAATACGCGTCAGACGCCAAATCTGCTGGAAATGAGCAGGCGCGTCATCCTGGGAGGGAGGAGGTGGCTGTGACGGGCGAAAAGGAAGCCGTGACGGGAGAAGAGAAAGCCGTGACGGGAGAAGGGGAAGCGGAGCAGCAGGTGGTGGCTGACGCTGCCGTCGCTATCTCGCCCTTGCAACCGTCCTTGTTGGAAGCCGACTCGGCACCTGTACCCATGCAATCATCCAACCCCCAGCCAGCCTCTCCAGAGATACATGCTCAACCTGCCATCTCACCCAAAGAACCCGAAGAGCTCACCAAGCTGCCCACACCCGTGTCTTCTGTCGACCAAACCAAGTTTGAGGATGGCGGGAGCAACCTAGAGGTCGACATGATTACTCCGACCACTTCTCCGGGACAACAGTCGAACAGAAGGGGTATTGATGATGATATGGGCAATGAGGTAAGGTTTCATGGTTTGATATAGGGGTGGCTGACGATGGCCGAAGCAGTATACCACCGTCGTCAAGCCCCGAAGTACTCGTGAAAATCCCAAGCTTGAAAAGCCCCAATCGGTATACCAAGGCAGACCACTCCCACCTCACCAAGTGCGCTCCTCCGAGGACACTACGGACCCGAACTATGATGTACGTGGAGATGGAGACTTGTTCGCTTTCGCTGATTCCTCGTAGTATCGATTCTCCCTACGTGATACCATGGGTGCCACTTCTCTCAAGAACAACAAGGCAGAGACGGTCTGTAGATCGTGCAACAAGCAGTTTAAAAGCCTCAGCGCACTGCAAATGGTGACTTATTACGTGGCGTACTCCTCTCAACGCTGATTGTTCTTCAGCACCATAAATCAGTTCACTCTTTACCTTCCAAACCTGTACAGCGCAGAATGTCAAACACTCCAGCCCGCGTCATCCAAACTCCTCCAATTGTCGCGCCTTTTGCGACAGAAAAGGCCATCTCTCTCGACGTGAGCATACTTCAAGTCAACTAGGAATCTGCTGATCGTGTGTCAGGACGGATTCGAGCCCCAGAATATGTGCGACGTGTGCCAGGCAGACTTTACGAACATCACTACCCTGCGCCAGGTATGATGATAGACTGTTTGAAGGAAACATGGCTGACTCAATTCCCCTAGCACAAACAGGAGAAGCACAGTTGGGCAGTATTGTGTCCCGAGTGCTTGATGTTCTTCAACCAAGCTCAAGAGGCCACCGACGTATGTATATAGATTTCCGGTTTATGTTTCTAATGCCCGACTTAGCACTACCAACTCATTCATGGCATCGCTCCTACAAGTCTGCTCAAGACTCAGCGCATGCTCGATACCCTCAAGAAACCTGCGCCTAACCCGGACCCTATCCGTTACCCGCCACTTGCGCCTGTGCCCCCGAAAAAGCGTGAATACCAGATTTTGGCGAGTTATGATAGCCATATCATAAGAAAGGAACACCATTGTTCTCAGTGCGAAATGGTATTCTCGGACGCCTCGGAACTGGATGAGGTGAGTCTTTACTGTTTCTTTTGCTAATTGAAGCTGACGAGACGTAGCATGCCAACAGCCCCTACTCGCACGGCGGCGTAAAGACTCACTCCTGACAACTTTCCTCCTCTCGGCTCCGATCGCGCCCGCATCGAACCTCTCTCCAACTCCAGCCTTCATTCTGATCTCAACGCTCAACCCAAGCCCTCATCTACCTACCCTGCCTACCCACAATCCGCTTGGGACTCGTCCATGCCGGCCTTCAGCCTCGCTTCGCGACTTGCCAACAGTCCACAGTCGGTGCATGGTGTTGTGGCTGAGGCCAAGCTCACCACGGAAGAAGATGAGGAGGTCTCGGGTGAATCTGTATCTGTGGCGATGTCTAAGCAATCGAGTATTGGGGAGAAGCCTTTCGAACATGACGTGCTCGAGGAAGCGCCCAAGATCCATCAAGTGGAGGCCGAGGTCGAGCAGGTCAACGTTCAGGCGGAGGCTGTGGAGGAGGGAGAGGCACAGAAAGAGCCATCTGGGGAGCAGGCTAAAGCTGTCTCGGAGCCGGGTTCCGAGCCCAACACACCCCTCTTCCAGTCTCAAGAGCCTTTCAGTCACGAAACTGAAGGATTCGACGAAGATTCCGAGACTTTCGACTCTTCTGTCACTGGCGCTCTATCCTCTGTCGATGGATCTTCTTCCGTTGCCTCACGCGACCTCTTGCCGACGGCTCCTATTCACCCCAAGCCTCTTGACACTCCCACCTCCATGTCTGTGACTTCCTCCCACTCTCAAGAAGAGCCTGCTGTTCCCTCCGTCTCCAAAGCGGCCAAACGACGCCTTCTCAAGAACCCACAGTTGTCCAAAGCTGAGAAGAAGGCGCTCGCCAGGGAAGTTTATAGAGGCGCCTCCCAGCCCAAGAAACCCAAGCAGCCCAAAGCTCAAAAGTTGGATGCCTTCTTCAGCTCTGACGAGGACTTTGATGAGGAACTCCCTTCGGACTGTGAGAAGCTCGTTGGAGATGTGGCGGACTATGGGGTGCAGGTACAAATTCTCAAGGAAAAGGCGCAGCAGCAAGCCAGCAGACAGGTGGAGGATGCCACTGTTCCAGAGATCAAAGCTCCCAATGGGCGTGGAGCCCTTCCAATGAGCTTGTATGCCGAGGCCCGATCCAACCTGCCAGCCAAAAGGTACGAAGTGGATAGCGACGACGAATTAGACGATTCAGCTGTGCAGAGCGAGAAAGAGCCTTCTTCAGATGCTGTTGAAGGAACCGTTGTCATCGAACCCCCTGCGCCGTCGGATTTGGAGCCGATCCAAGATGAAGAGGAGGTCATCGAAATCAGACGAGCGCCATACAAGTCGCACAGCCCTTACGACGACTGGTCGGACGAGGAGGAAGAGCCCGCTATCGACCCTGTCACTCTGTCCGAGTCTGTGGAGAAGGTTGACTTGCTCCCTACCCAGCTGGTGGAAGCTAGTGCCGAGTCGGCCATCGTCATCCCGTCTGATAGCCAAGAGCTCGCCACAACTCCAGTCCACACTTTGCCCGAAGGTGTGCAATTGCTCTTTGGCGACAAGGTGCGAGAGCCGGAAGACTATCCTCTCCCACCATCTCCTGTCTGGGAGGCGAGTGCGTATGACGGACCGATCGAAGACTTTGATGCCATTCGAGCTCCCATTCGTGCCGGACAGGCCTCTGTGTCGGAGCAAGACGCTTCTGCCGTGTCACTGGCCATCTCCGAGGGTCCCTCTGATAATTCCTCTCAGACAGGAACGGCATTGGAGGATGTGGGGGGTGGCGATGTCGACGCCGTGGCAGCTGCATCTGCCATCTTGGCGATAAGAGAGTCGCCCGTCGAGTCTCATGAGACTGAAGAGATCTCGCGAGACTTTAATCGAGAAGGTACCCCTGGACTCTCCAGTTCTCTGATCACTCCAAACACTCCTCTGTCGTCCAATTCCAGCCAGAACTACTCCGAGGACGAGCATACTTTCCAAAGAGAGGTTGACGGGCACTCCTCTGAAGACGATCGCTCAAGGGACCGCTATATGTTCAACTTGGCCCCGCCTGAGCTCGAAACCGCGTGGGCTCCGGCGAGGAGCACCGAGGAGTCCTGGGCCGACTTTGATCAGGATGAGGCTGAGATTGCCCGGCGCCTTGCCGAATTGGAGGCAGAACAGGCTGCTGTGGCTGCCAAGGAGTTTGATAATGGTCTTCCCGACTTGGATCAAGAGGCATTGATCGGCAACATTGAGTTCCAAGTGCCGTCTTTTGATTTCTCAGAGTCTGATACCATGACCGCGTCCGACACGCCTCCTCAGGAGTTGTCTGACAACGAGGTTGAGAACAAGGAGGTCATTGTGAGCCCGACGGAGCCTACACCAAGCCGTGCTATACCGGCTACTACCGGGCGGGGCGTTTGGGATGCCGCCCATGAAGTCACTCGCATTGCCATCGCTGCCAAGGCCGCTGCCCCACCGTTGGATCTCGCGCCTGTGCGACACCACTCCAACGAGTACGCGGGCCAGTGGACGAACAACCCTCCCAGGTATCAGAACCAAGCCAGGCGAGATGGTCCCAATAGGCACCACTCTACCCGCGGCCAAGGCTCTGATGTCTATCGCTCGAGAGGTAGCGGCCAGCAACCTGAAGCAGCCAGGAGAAACTCCCAAGGGGTCAGCGCTCTCGCCAAGATGCGTACCACCCGTCCTGAAGTACTCAAGGCTCGGTACGAGCTTGAAGACGGACGAGAGGCCGAGCAAGCCAATAGAGCAAACACAACTAGCGTGCGAAGCTCCAGTTTCGACGCGACGGACGACAATTCGGGGTGGTTCTCGCATGATGGCCGGGGCGAGAATGTGTATGACATGGACAGTGGGTGGAACCTGGACAGGCGAGAGTCCGTAGGAAGGGGAGGATCGGGGATCCCCAGGAGTGTGAAACCTTCTAAGGGGAGTGATGGAAGGCCTTCGTCGCCAATCAATACGAATGAGTGGGGAGCAATGCTGGAGTTGCAGGAGGACACCGCGGGTTGGTAGAAGAAGCGTAGGCGACAGACAATATAGCAGTCAGAGCACCACATACGACAAGTGTATACATAGTTTATCGAAGGTCAAGAGTGTTGAAAGCATGTAGAAAATGGTCCGTTGTTATCGTGTTGTGGAACTTGCTACAGTACAAAAAACAAACAATGTGAATCAGTGCCTATGAAGCACTCTTCTATGCTCATCCACCTGGTTCTAGGTTAGAGGTCAGCTCCAGCTTGCCCACATGACTGAACTTTTGACTCACATATAACTGAATCTCCAAAGAACTCTGCCCATAGAGGGCTCACCGGATCTCCCAGCCCGGTATCTTGTCCGCGCCCCGTCCCCCGATCATTGCCCAACCCTCCGATTGCCTCCTCCGTCAGCCAGTCAAGGACCGTCGTCGGTTGTGCTGACTGAGGAGCCGAGATACCTGGTGCATTCTCGGATGTGTATGCGTACTGATGGTACGACACAGTGTTGGAGTTGTTGAGAGTGGAGCGCTTGGAGGATAGAAAGTGGGTTTGTACCGAGCTTCCTGGCTCGGACGACGAAGCCTCGCCGCCCACCGTCAGGGCATCAAATCGCCTAGGCCAAACATCGTTGGCATATCCAAGTTGCCGTCCAGGTGAAGGAACGCAGGCCTCGGGCATGATCTTTTCACCCATCATGATTCTCAGCATATCGGTATACTTGCCCTGCAACCTCCAGGACAGCTCCATATCCTCACTCGCCTCTTCCAATACCCGTAGATATCCTAGCGACCGTTGCCGCTCCTGGAATGTCTGGCGGCTGCAATGGACATCAATGAGGATGATTATAGCAGAGCTCCAAACCCCCAAAGCCATCCCTATATCCAGCCTCGCCCCTTCTCTCACCCCCTGCCGCTCGCCCCTTTCCAACGACGTCTGAAGGATCTCGCACAACGCTCGGGCAGACACAAGCGAGCGGTAATAGCCAGACGCGGGGTCGGCTTTGCTAGCGGGTGTAGGGATGAGGTGGGTCCGGTTGACGAGGATGCGGGTGTAGTGGTAATGGGCGTGTAGAGCGGCAGTCTGGCGGAAGGAGGTATAGTCTGAGAGTGTATTCGTAGGGTCCCAGCAGAGCTCTGGGGGTACTTGGGTTTCCCAAAGATCAAGAGCAGTGTTCATCTCGGCGATGGAGCTGCGGTAGAGGTCTGGGTTGAATTTGGAGCCCAGGGGACGAGAGTAGATGGTTTGGAGGGTTGCGCCGAGAATGTGGTCGATTCTGAGCAAGAGGGTAAAGACTGATATGGTGGTCTGGTCGTTTATGGCAGAAGGGTAGTCGACATCTGTATCACTATCGTAGATGGCGACCGAGCGCCCGAGAGGCGCTGACGCTACCCGATCAAGATGATACAGACACCAGAACGCTCTCGTCAGAGCTTCCTTCTCCGCAGGAGCCACACGAGACAGGGTAGCCCGTCGATGTATACCCAGCTCTTGACAAGAGCGCAAGCCTTGACCCGCGATGATCCATACTTGATGTGGTTGCGCCGCACCGAGGAGGAACTGGCAGGTGAGGACTTGGATTTGGAGCTCATGGAGGGTTGGAATTTGGACGGTCTTTCTGCCCATGCGGACTAGGGCGCAAAAGTATCGCCATCCGGCAGAATGCCGGTGGAATGTGGGGTCGTCGACGCTCGACTGGGATTCGTCGGGCCAAAGGACGATGGGATCATCCACGAAGCGAGCACCGCAGGCAAATACGAGGAGACAGACACGAGCAAAGCCGTGGTCCTGCTTCCACCTTGCCAGATCGTGCTGCTGCTGGAATTCGCTGCGATCCAGCAGAGGCAGGTAGGTGCTGGCGTAACAAAAGTAGGCATTGATTAGCCGTTGTGCGAGGACTTGGTCGGGCCAAGAATCGAGGTCGACAGGGTGCAGACCCTCTTCGTTGGTCCTGATCTCCCATCTCGGCGCATCCCAGTATTTCTGCCGTTTGGCCCTCGCTATCTCGTCAGTCAGGTCGAATGTCTGACCGGATGTCTGCCCCGTGCAGTACAGCAGGCCGCTGAGATGACGCATAGTGTCAATGTCTGAGCCTTTGCCATAGTAGCGCCAGTGTTGGTCACGAGCGCCGACATGCTTGAGAGAGCTGACAAGGTAAGACTGGGCGCTGGATTCTGCGTCCATGTCCGTGTGGTGGCCTTGGGAGTGGAGACTCTTGTAGAAGCGGTCCAGATGCGGTGTACGCGCAAGGCTGGCAGTGGGCCCGATGTTGCTGCTGAGAGGCTTGTGCAAGGGATAACTCGGAATACCAGCGTCGTAAAGCTTCTGACGGTGGACTGACGCCTCAAACGTATCGAGGTCGAGCTGTGGTCCGGCGTAGGCAGCCAAGTCCAACTGTGGATCGAGCTTCACTGACAGTCAGCAGGGGTCATCGCTATGGGCCAGCGCCACAGACCTGCTGTATGATCTTTTCAAGACGCCCACACCTGTGCTCTAGAGCGTCTACATAGCTGCCCGACAGTGATCAGCATATGAGAGGGCGAGGAGCCATTCGTGCGTACCCTTTCGGCGGACCTCGCCTCTGAGCTTGCTCATTGTATGTGCATTCCAGCCCTCCTTCCTGGCAGTAGATACATTCTTGCTAGACATCAGTAGGCTGACTAACGCTGGATGTCACGCACTGTCGGTGTCAGTGTGTTTTGGACGGTTGCAGCGGATCTTTTTCCTCCTGCAGACGTCGCATGCTCTCTGTGTATGTAAGCGGGATACGTCCGATGGATGCTGCCCACCTCGAGCCTCCCGAGCCTGCGTTGATTTGCTGCGTCGGCCATTTGGGTGGCAAATCAGAAGCTAAGATATCTCGGATTCTCGGCGCCCGAGCGTGTGCCGAGTTGACACCCCGCGCGCGTTCTCGTCTTTCTCTGCAACTCGATGGCGGGTCTCTACTTTGGCCACGTGCTCGAGTTCCCGACCGTGCGCATCGACTCGTTCGGCCCCCGCCCCCCGCACGCCGCCCTCCACCACGTCCCCGTGTCCCCCGGCGGCCGTGTCTCGTGGTACTCCCCGCCGCCCGCCCAGCTGTTCCTCCTGAGCCACACCCACGCAGACCATGTCCTCGGCCTCCACTCCGACTGGACAGGCACCATCATCACCTCCCCGGACAGCAAGGGTATGCTCCTCAACCTCGTCCCGGAGAGAGAGCGCGAGTGGCTCTATAGAAACATCCGCCAGCGTCCACGGAGGAGGTTCGACGGCCTCAAGCCACGCGTCGGAGCCAGCGGAGCCATCGTAGACAGAATAGTAAGCCGTGTAGCCAAGACTCGAATCGAGCTGACACTCTATAGCAAACACTGCCGTATGGGGTGCCGAAAGAATACAACATCGCATATGACAATGGGAGTCCGGTATATGTCACCGTCACACTCTTAGATGCCAACCACTGCCCCGGGTCTGCCATGTAGGTGATACACTTGCATGTATGGCACTGACCAACTCGACCCAGGTTTCTCATCACCTCCCCGACCAAAGCCGTACTCCATACCGGTGATGTGCGAGCAGATTCTCGGTTCATCGAGTACCTCAAAAGGCACCCTGCGCTGCAAGAATTTCTTGCGCCCTCTTCCACCTATCGACATGCCAAGGATGGTGTGGGTGGGGGACGGCGAGTATTGGACAGGATCTACCTTGACACTGCCGCCATGTGAGTGTTTCACTGTGTCTCGTGCTATCGGCTGATGATGGTAGGCTCGGTACAGGGGATATGCCTGACAGGGAGCCAGTGCTACAGGAGATGGTCGAGATCATGGCCCGGTATCCTCAAGACACCATCTTCTTTCTCAACACTTGGTGTTTTGGGTGGGAGCAGGTCATCAAAGAAGTCGCGCGATTTTTCAACGACAAGGTATACCCTCTCTTTATAACTCTATACGAGTCAACTTACCATGACCCCAGGTCCATGTCGACTCGTACAAATCAGATATATACAAGTCCATCACCACCGACCCATTTCTATTCCGCTGCACCACTCAAGACCCCACCGCCACACGTTTCCACGCCTGCGAGCGCTTTGTCAAGTGCCCCGCTTGCAGGCGGTTCAACGAAGAGGGCGAGGCAGTGCACAACCTCGACAAGAGGATTGTGCATGTCAATATGGTAGAGGTCAAGATGGCCGAGTGGGATACGCGGAGGGGAGAGTTTATGCGCGTCCTGGATCGGGCTGCGATGGGCAAAGGGCACTGGCCTTACAACATTGTCAGTACCCGCTTATACTTTGGAGCAAACGCTGACGAGCGCCCTGCAGGACATTCCCATCCCCCGGCACAGCTCCCTCCCCGAACTCCAAGCCCTCGTCAAACTATTCAAACCCCTCAACCTCACCCCCAACACCGTCGCCTCCTACGCCCGCGGTCTCGACTACTACCTCCTCCCCGACCTCTTTTCAGAGTGTATCGCCCCAGGCGCATACGAGCGTATCGTCATCGAGCGGACGCATTACCTGGGGCAAAAGTATGGCGAGTGGTATGTGAAAGGCTTGGATTTGATGAGGGAGACGATGGGGCTGGGGCTGGTACCGGACTTGGAAGCTGTGGAGAGGGAAGATTATCATTATGCGCGGCAGGACTATATCCAAGAGTCTGAAGATGTCGCGCGGCAGATCCAGCCGCCGAGACCGGGTTCGAGGAAAGAGATCTCCATCGACCAAGTTTCCCGCGCTGGGGGACTGCCTTCCCTCGCGCCGGACGACATTTACGCGGCTGCCCGTGCCATCATGGGTCTGGACCCTGAAGAGGACGGCCAGAAGAAGAAGAGGGGAAAGCAGGTGATGACTGATCCAGAGTACGAGACGGATCGCGAGTCGTATGGGATGAGGTCGAGCCCTGGTCCGGCGCAGGATGATGCGGAGGTGAAGGAGGAGGTGGGGGAGGATTTGTTTTTGGGGGTGAAGGAAGAGGAGGGGACGCCAAAGGCTGTAAAGGTCGAGGCTGAACCGGGTCTAGAGATCAAAGAGAGAATACAACCCATTGTCAAATCAGAGCCCATCTCCCCACCGTCCATATCCACGCCTCAGCCATCCATTGCCCCCCCTGCCGGCCCTTCGATAATGCCAGAGCGAGTCAAAGTCAAGGAAGAGCCGCGTGAAAGGCTAACAGAGCCTCCTTCCATGGCGTCCGCCACAACTCGAAAGAGAAGGAAGGCAAGGAGGTCCTTGACTGCAGAAGAAAAGGAACAGATAAAACGAAGGCTGGCGGAAGGCGGCGGAGAGGGACTTGGTCGCAATGTCGTCAAGAAGGAAGTTGAGTGATTATCATGACCAATCGATTTGTTGCATCATCGTATCATCACCCATCGTGCTTTCGATGATTAGTTTGCAACATTCATACGAACTTTACGTGTACAAAGTCTACTGGTACGTATACTACACTACTGAATGGAGGATCCTTTGGAACTATAAAAGACAGATATTCTTTCACTAGATATCACGACCAATCTTGACGCAAATCATTAAAGTATCTCGTAATCCTCTGCATCACTCCCCGCTCGCCTCGCCTGTCGCTTGATCTTCCTGTCCCGCTTCTGCTTCCTGTCCTCATTCTCATCCTCTGCGTCCTCAACGGTGACTGGATGGTGGCTTGCAGAGGGCAAGGGAGAAGCATCGACTTGCTGAGGGGCTGACGCAGCGTCTTGCTCTGCCGGCACAGCCTCGGCCTGGGGCTCGATAGCAGAGGACTCGGGGGCAGACTCGGGGATAGGCGTCTGAGCGGAAGGCTCTTGGGATTGCTCAAGAGCGTGCTTAGCAGCATCGGCATAGGAAGGACTCTGAGGTTGCTCACGGTCTTCGGTAGGGGCAGAGGCAGAGGCAGGAATGGGGGTTTCGGTAGGGACTGAGTCTTCGGCAGGGGTAGAGTCTTCGGCGGGGGCAGGGGCGTCGGTAGGGACAGTGGCTTCAGCAGGGGTAGCGTCCTGGGCTTGGTTGTCGACCACCTCATATCCTTCAGTCTCACCAGAAGCTTCAGTCTGCTCAGGCTCGACAATCGTCTCTCCCTCCCCAACAGTGACCTCGTTCTTTACCGAATCAGTGTCGCTCCAAGACCTTTCCTGATCGGCATCGGGCTCACTCTCCTCGCCCCTCTCTCGCCTCTCCTTGACATCTTCCCACAGGTCGTCTCGCAACTGTTCGAGCCTCTCAATCTCGTCTTCGACCTTCTTGACAACCTCCTTGCGCTTCTGCCTTACTGCCTTCTCGCCACCAGAGTTGATGGAGTCGGTTTGAAGTAGGAGCTGCAGGAGCGCGTTGACCTGGGCGTGGTATGCAGAGTTGATGCGGTTGAAGAGGAGAGGAGGAGAGTGTGAGCCACGAGAGTCTCGGGCAAACGAGAGGTACTCGGGGAAGGTAAAGTTGGCCCGGAGAGACTCGAATTGGTGCTGGATGTCGTCGAGGGTAGAGAGGGAAGTTGTGGGGTTGGCGGCGGGTTCTGGCTCAGCCTCCCTCAAGACAGGGTTCTTTTCACCTTCTGCAACGCCCTTGCCCTTGGCCTGTCCCGAAGCCTTCTGGCATCCACTAGCACACTGCTGGTCGCATGGCCCGGTGCATCCTGCCTTGCCCGCTCGAGTTCTCTGCTTGACCTCCTCGGTCACAGCAACCTCGACATTCCTGAGTATGTCGGCAACAGCAGGGTGGACATTGGTAAATTCTCCGAGCAAGGAGGTGAAAGGAGTAGCCAGCTTGGGCGGCTGGGGAGAGGGAGCGGTCTGGGGTGCAGTGGGCTTGGACTGAGTAGCAGAGTCGACAGCGCTGGGATGTGCGGCGTTGTCCGGTTGAGCAGAGTGGCTAGGACCCGGCTTGGTTTCGGTCTCCGTTTCGGGCTCAAAGACCAAGCCAAACTGAGACAGGAGCTCGTTAAGGCCTGCGGGAACGCCGTTGCCTTTTGCATTCTTCACAGAAGGAGCAGAGTCTTGAGAAGCCACGGGGTCGATGTGAAGACCGAGGTATCGGTGAAGTATGTCGTTGACCTCAGCGGGGAGTCCACTCTGAGAGGGGCGCTGAGCAGAGCTGGTGGTCGCAGATGGGGTGGAAGAAGCCGTAGGAGCTTGTGAATTGGTACACCTGCGTTTTGGTCAGCCTTGCTTTTATAGGCAATGAGCAGCAGACTTACTGTTCAGAACAAGTGGGACCGGACACGTCATCTTCAATAAGGCCGATAGAGCGAAGAAGATCAGTCAAACTGAATACGTCGTGCTCAGACTTTGGCTGCTGGGACTTTTGCTCGCGACCTTGTCCAGCAGAAGCACAGGCACGAGCAGCAGAGCTGGAGCGGGCCTCGAGAGAGTTGGCGGAAGACCTGGGAGCAAAGCAGTTGTCATACTGGGGCTCTTGGGCAGGCTTGATACCAAAGAGAGATCCGAGTACGTTGCTGACATCATCGTGGCCAAAGGCCGAGTTGGGTGCAAGATCCCTGGACCTGTAAGAGAATGTCAGCAGAATATTCCGAGGACACGACAGATGCGCTACTGACCTGGTCTGATACTGGGCAGCCTTCTGACGTTCAGCCGCACGAGCAGCCTTGAGCTCTTGCCTCTGCCTCTGAATAGCCTCTCTGTACTGTCTCTTCCTCAACTCCTCCTCTTCATATCGAGCGCGCAATGCTTGCTGCTTGGCGAGCTCCTTGCTGATCAGTGCCTGAACCTCGGCCTCCTTCTGAGCTTGAGCGCGAGCAGCAGAGGCAGCCTCGTGAGCTCGAGAAGCCTCAAGCTCCTGGCGGCGTCGCTTGATAGCCTGGAGGTGAGTCAAGGCAGCTGCCTCTTCCTCGTCGAGACTAGGTCCCGCAGTGGCGGGGTGGTGGCCAGAAGGAGGAGCTACAAAGGAAGGCTGATAGTGGTGAGGTGGGAAGGCCTGCTGGTGGGCAGCATGGTGAGGAGGGGCAGTCGGCGGAGCAAAGAAAGGAGGGGGCGAGGGGGCGGTGTGAATGGTGACGGGGGAGGGGGCTGGGTAGCCGTAGTAGTAGGGGGCTGGGTAGTAGTAAGCCATGATGAGGATGTAATAAAGTAGTAGTTGGAGGGAACAGGAAATGGAGATAGAAATGGGACCCTTTATACAAATTGCCACCCGGCCCAGCCAGCGGTGAGTCAGCGTCTCTCAACCTTCGAGAACCTCGGAGAACCGACGCGGCGATCGCCGCCGAACCAAATAAAACTCTGGAATGTTCTCCCCGACGGCTGACGATGGTTCCTTGACCTTCCCTCGGTTTCTCCCCGCCGGTCGTATTCGTCATGGCAGATGCCGAGAGATCCTCGTAGAATCCAAAGAAGCTATCTGCATGCGAATCTATGACCTTTCCTCGGTCAGCTCGAAGTCGTAAGCTCCTTCTCGCGTATTACGGCCTCTGATCCCTCGCCAACTCTCTACAGCTGCCCCGTACGCCCACGTCGCTTTCGTTCTGGCCCACTCCAGGCTTTCCTCCAGTATGAACTCTAGTCCATTTCCAGTGTCCTCTGCCCCGGCTTCCCAATCCCGCTCCCATCCACCGTTGAGATCTGAAGAATGCCTTCCGTAGCTGGGATTGGAAGGTGTCACAGGCGTTGCTCGAGAGCGATGTACCACTTCGGCAGCTTCGTGCTTGAGGACGTCTTTGACAGTGACCAGTCCTGCCAGTTGCCCTTGATTGGATACCAATATCACTCGAGGGCTTAACAGCTTTAGCATATCATCTGGAACCATGTAATGTTGGACTCACCCCATTCTTCTGAAAAGCTGCATGACAATCTCCAGCGGCATCTTGGGTGAAACGGTTAAAGGTGTCTGCGCATTGTCAGTATATGCAGCCCTGATGTCCCAATCATACTCACCTCGTCGATGAACTGCCCAAAATCAATTCGCTCAATCTCGACGCCACTCCCTCTCCGTCCCATCCCAGCTCCAGTATTCAGCGACAGCCCTTCAGAGGGTGGCGGCGGTATGACGACCTCGGGCCGCTTCAATGCCTCATGCGCATTCGCGGAAATGGCCAGAGTACACTGGAAGGAGCACACAGGGTTGAAAGACAAGTTGCGAATACGTCGCGCCCTATCCAAAGCGAAACGCAGCTCGTCTGTTCGAACAAATCCGACGATAGTCCTGTCTTCGTTGCTCCTGACGACTGGGAAGCCCTGATATCTGGTATCTTGAACAATCTCGGCAACTCGTTGGAGGGGAACACCAGTGGCCTCCATGATCACCAAGTCTTGTTTCATGACATTGGCAACTGTACGAGTCAGTCATCAACATAGCGGGCATGTCTGACCAATACTCACTGGGCTCGATGAAAGATGGGTCGGCAGGATCTTCCTTGTCCTCTTGCTCTAGGAAAGGATAGCCGTTGAACCTGATCATGTGATCCGCGATGCCTCTTCCACCGAATTGATCGCTGACGGCCTTCGTCACAAGCAGAACAATCTACGCCGTGTGAGCATAACCACTTTACAAAAGACCATTCGCTTACCATGGTAGGCAAAAGATAGGTCAAGGCTCCAGTAAGCTCAAACATGATGACCACGACAGTGACCGTGATCCTCGTGACACCCCTATCATGTCCATCAGCAGGGGCCACTTCCGACATCGTCATTTACTTACCCCAACGCTGCCGCAGCTCCCAGGAAAGCATATGTTCCCGGAGTGATGCAAGGAGCATCGGGAGAACAAGCGGCGAACCAAGGTGCAGAAGGATAAGAGCTGCATATATCAGAGAGGGCCCCTCATTTGGATGGTAATGACTTACGTGCGCATTGCTTTCATCAGAATACCCACCATCCGCCCGAACGTCGCTCCGACAGCCATAGAGGGAACGAAGATACCAGCAGGCACTTTGCAGCCGTAGGAGAGGATGATGAAGACTGTTCGCAATAGTGTGGCCATGAGCAATGAGTTGACCATACGCCACTGGGACGATGTCCTAGCATAAGATTAGCTGCAGCTCGACCGTCCGTGGTGATACCTCACTGGCAAAGGCCTTCATGATCACCGCCTCCCTCGCATTCCCTGAACAGAACCGCAAGCATCTCTGTCATATCAATCCTCAAAAACATATTCAGGTATCCAAAGATAGCTGTAAGAGTCGCAAGAATGACGGCCTCGGCAACTCCGTGGTTTGCCAAGTGCTTTCGACGAAAGGCGGCCATTTGGAGGTTGAATTTGATGACAAAGGCGCCATATAGACCGCCGAAGATGCCGATGAGGATGTAGGCAGGTATTTCAAAGTAGTGCCAGTCGCGGTCGTAAGACACGTTGAACAAGACTAGTTTCCCCGTTCTGAATGGGTCCATAGACTGCTCACAATTAGTCCCGTGATGATAGGGCAGCATGCCAACTTACAGCCAAGGTGAATGTGGCAACCAAGGCACAGACAAAGCTTCTCCACATGGTCCTGTTGGAGAATGTCTGATTCATCTCCTCGATTGAAAACAAGACACCTCCTATGGGAGAACCAAAAGCTACAGCCACGCCGGCGGCACTTGACGCCGTCACGATCTCTCGCATTTTCACTGTCAAGATTAGCGAGGGTAGGTATCAGACGGTCAACAAGCAGAGCTTACGGTGACTACGCTCATAGCGACTGAATAGTTTAGCAACGGTATTACCGGCGCTACAAGCGACATGGACTGACGGCCCCTCCTTCCCAACAGCCAACCCTGACCCGATCGCCAACGGCTACAGAGCATCAGTCACGCACCAGAACTCCAATGGCCTCAATGATGGACTCACAAGAGTAAGACTTTTGATGAAGAATGTCTCAACACCCAGGAACCCCTTGATGATAAAGCCGCCCAGGATGCACTTGATCTCAGATATACCAGACCCTGCCGCATAGGGCGCAAAGTTCTTGACCAGATAAGCAGATGAGAATGAGAAGCATGCCTGTAGTTACCATGCGTCAGTAAAGTCGCTCCATTTGGTGAGCCCGACTTACTGCAAAGAGCACATATGCCATCCATCGAAAGGGTTCCACTCCTCCCCAATTCCGCCATTCCGCGCACGATTCCATCTCTCCTGACACCTCAAGACAACAGAACTTCCGAGATAGCCACCAGCCCGTCGTGCAATAACCCATCTTGATATCAGAAAGCCATGCTGTGATGATGGATATTAGAGCAGCGCTTATACCAATGATTACGCCTATTGTCATTCAGCGTCTGTGTCTGGCCTACAAGACTTTACTGACCGACAAGGGAGGTAACCACCCACGCCTCTCCTTCTTCCAATCCTCGCCTCAGGAGTTTCCAAAGATACCCGACTGCCCCATTCGTCCGATCCAGCCGTGACACAAATCGATTCGTGGGGCCCTTGGTCTGGAAAGTCCGTTCATGTAAAGAATCCTGGATCCAATCTAGATACGGTCAGCCGACTTGCACATCTTGCGATTTCGATAGACACTGACCAACAGTACTAAAGTCTTCATACCGCCTGATTATAACGCGTCAGCTGTATGACCCCTGTGGTCCGTAGTACTCGCCTGATTAGATCCAACTCCTCGTCGTCTTCTTCTTTGTTGGCATCCATGGAGTCATCGTCGGGCGGCAGACCAAGATTATTGTTCTCTATATGATCCTGTTCAGATCTGTTGTATTCCATGGCGATGACTGGCTACTGGGCTCATAGTCACGTCGATGGAGAATCATTTGAATCCATCATGCAACATCTCGTCGCGCACTCGCGCCCGGCGGGCGGTGAGAGAGGTTACGTAACTCGATATCTGCTGAGAGCAACAAACAAATGCCTTTTTGTCGTTTTCTCCCGAGGCCACCACCCCTTTTGAGCTCTCTCGTGCTCTTTCCTTGACATCACATCTCTGGATCCCATAGTCAAGCTGGCAATTATCTCTGAGCACTCGCGGACGCTTCTATTCTTTCCTTTGGATACTGTGTTAATCTAGCTGGGGACGACGCGAAGTCAGGGAACGAAGTAGCTCTCATACTGCATCACTCGGTGGAGTGTGACAGAAAGCACCACCGAGCTCGCACGTCGTTTTGCATATGGCCTCCATTGACACTCGTCGCTATCAACAGCAGTCTCCGGCCAATAGGGCTACACTCGAGTGAGTCTAGACATACTTCCACCTTCCCCTGCTGGCCTTACGGGCATGGACTTTCTCGGCTGACTCATAATGCCAATCAGCCATCAACCGCCTTATATCTTATGCGCCACAGCGACAACATCGACATTATGTCTGAACAGTATAATATCCCATCACCGAATGGCGTCAATGGGGGTGGCGTCATGCCCGACAACATCGATACTTGGCGTATCCAACAGCAACCGAGGCCCGCGCAATCGCCGCAACATGTACTGCCGCAGCAGTTGAATGTACAGACAATGTACCAATCGCCATATGCGTTATATCAGCAACCCTCTCCACATCAAGGTAAGTGGGGGATCAGATGACCCGTCATGTAGCTATAGTCTGGAATTGGGAAACAGAAAGGGGGGCGCATCTGTGAAGCATACGCGTTTTATGTACATGATCGTCCACTTCAATGGCCCTCGAGGGAGAGACTCCGTTGCTTGTGCCAGTGCTTGACGTGGGAGCAATCTGTGTAGAGTCCTTCAGCGCACTCCCATAGACGTAAGCACACCTGCGTGTCGGCCGTGTTCGGAGTTCGAAATACTTCCGTTCACGATCGGTGGGCGGCGATCACCGCATGCTTTGTGGCGGCGTGTGTGGCAGTATGATCCGGGGATAGTTGAATGATTATTTCCGCTCATGCTTAGGGTCGTTGCGGCTGGCGTGTATTTTGTATAGGGGATGGGAGCTGACGATATGATGATAGCCCAAGGAATGGCCTCGAATCCTGTCTTTGGGCAATATGTGGCCGGATCTTTTCCACCACAATCAGTCAACAATGCGCCTTCCCCTTCCGAAAAGACACCTCCGTAAGTGATATAAGCACCTCAACACTTATACGCTTGTTAATTGCCATTCAGTACCATATGCCACTCGCAGGGGTTGGGTCCCGAGCTTCCCGATGTGACATCATCACCAGAGCAGCTTCCTGCTCCTTTATCACAACTCCATCGCATTCCTCGTCCTCATCCATCCCACGCTCTGTCGCATAATATAGGCGCTTCTTCCGCATTACCCTCTCAGAGAGAGCAACTCCCGCAACAAATTCCTCCTCCCAATTCTGCATCATTAGGGCAGAAACGATCCAGCCATGTCAGTTTGTCTCCTCGTTCCTCTGCAGGGACCAAGAGACAACGAGTGGTAGTCGATATCACCGAATCCTCTCGAGAATCTTCAGTATCTACCCCACCTCCGAAGAAGCTGTCTACTTCCCCGGTGAAGAAGGATGACAGTACGCTAAAGGCCGCCCCAAAGGCTATTCAGGCTACTCTGGATGGGTACCTGAGTACTGTTGGCCAAGCACACTCGGAAACTGCGAGCATTCCTCCTCCCACTGCTGCTCCCAACCCTCCACTCACTTCTGCCACCAATCCTGCTCCCAATCCTGCACCGAAACCTGCCCCGAAACCTGCTCCCGACCCTGCTCCCAATCCTGCTCCCAATCCCGCTCTCAATCCTGTGCCCAACCCTGTCCTCCCTGTCCTCAATCCTGTACCCACTCCTGTACCCAATTCTGTCCCCGACCTTGGCCCCAAGCCTACACCCGAGCCTGCACCCAAGCCTGCCTCCCATCAGCATCCCGACCTTCCATCCAATCGTATCGCCAATCCTTCTTTCAGCCCTTTTCTGCAACCTTCTGCAGAGACCCCTTCCAACCCATTTTCCACCCCTCCTATCAATCCTCCTACCAATCTCCCTTCCAATGGCCTTCCCAACACCGCCGCGACATCAAACTTTCCTGTCGGTGTCAAAATGCAACCTGGCGCCAAACTGCAACCCAGCGTCAAATTGCAACCTGGAGTCAAAGTGCAACCTGGCGTCAAGGTGGAATTTGGTGTAAAATCAGAGCCTGGTGTTAAAGAGTCTGGTATCAACGCGGTTCCTGGAGTCAAAGTGGAGCCTGGTCTCATTGCAGAGACTGAGACCACTGCAGCCGAAAAGCAGACTGTCGATATGTCCCTCATTCGAAGTACCATCACTCCCGAGGCTTTGAGGAGGGAGATTCCGGGCAGCCTATTCAAGCACTTGCGCGTCCGGCACGACAAAGAAGACGACGATGTCGTACATCCTCCAGCATTCACGCCCAATCCTGACCAGCTCAAGGAAATCCTCTCACAGCTCAACAAGCATGCGTCAGATTTGTACTTGAAGAAGATGGCAGGGAACGGCAATTACGTGGAAGTGTGGGAGGGTTGGCTGAAAACGAGCCGTAAGGATCCAGTACGATGGGAGAAAGTACTGGTGCCTTTGTTAGAGGTAAGTACAGCTAGCTGCTAACACCGGGACATTGCTGACGAAAGGTAGGTGCTAGCAAGGACTGATATGGAACACAAAGTCGCGATAGAATTCCACATCAATAGATTCGCAAAACAGTTGATGGCAGCTGTCAAGGACAAGAGTAGGTCTATACTTCTGAAAGGACATACTTGAGCTGACATATATCAGAGCTGGAGGGCACAAATGCGATTGCAGAAGCTTTTGGCAGATTTGAAGCTCATGCCTTCGTGATGTTTCAGAAGGAGTCTGGGGCCACAAACAAGGACAAGGGCAAGGGAGAGGCTTCTGGTAAGCAAAAAATTCCTGGTTTGTGAGCGCATGCTAATGACACATGCAGGGACGAATGCAGGGACGAAGAGGAAGGCTGATGTGGGCAAAGATGGTATTAAGGCCAAAGAAGAGCCCATGAGCAAAAGGCCAGCAACTGTCGCTGCTTCCTCTTCCAAGCTCGCAAGCAATCCGGCCGCATCATCAACGGTGTCAGACATGTCTTTCTTCAGCGCTTCTTTGCCAGCGCCCGTAATGAAAGCCAAGCCCAAAGCCAGACCTGTACCTCCACCAAAGGCCGCTCCGGCTCCCGTTGCCAAACCCCAGAGCGCTTCCCTTTTGGCAAATGTCATGTCATCTTTCACAAGACAGAATTCTGTACCCGAGCGCTCTGCGGACGCCAAGAAGGAAGTTAAAGAGACGCGAAAACTTAAGAGTGGAAGAACAGTAGGGACGGTGAGGTGGAAGGATGACGCGGAATTGCGCGAGATCAGAGAGTTCACCCCTGATCCTGTTGAAAGAAGCAGTTCGGTCAGTCGCGCGATAGTTTCCTGATATCATGACCAATGCTGACCTTGCCTCAGACGCTTAAAGAGAGTGCACATGATATGGATATGGCAGAAGGCAAGCTCTTGGCTAAAAATCGCGACAGAGATGATATTGAGTGGTCAGAACCAATCCGTGAGTCAAACGTTCAACCATGCATTCGAACTTGGCTGACCAGATCAGCGTACGTGGAGGAAGACTATCTGCCGATCGAAACGGAAGAGACGAGGGCGCAGAGAGAAAGGGAACGTGGTGCACTTGCCGTCCCGTACTTTGAGGGTCAAACGCCTGCAGAACCTTCTGAGGAGGGCGTCAGAATTATCCAGCCATTCGACAGTCAAACCCGTCAAATGACTGCCGCGCCGATCCATGAGGCCGCCCATGCGGCACCTGCCCCTGCTGCTCCCCCTCCTCCTGATCAGAATCAAATTCAAGCTCTTCTAGCCAACCTCAACATCCCCATCCCGCAACCTTCCGTCCGTAATCACTACCCTGCCGCTCAGCAACATTACCCCGGACAAGAAGCATGGGCCAATGCGTCAGCGGGGCCTAGTGCGTATGGGAACGAATATGCAGGTGATAGTGGTGCGGATTGGAGAAAGAGCTCGAAGAAAAGAAAGACGCAGTGGAAGCCGGAGTTGAAGCAGACAAAGACATGCCACCACTGGCGGCGAGGAAAGTGAGTCGACAATGTGCCGCAAATATGATGATGTACTGATAGCTCGAATCTCCTAGCTGTCCATTCGGGGATAGATGTAATTATGCCCATCATCAGTAGATCTGACCCCGTTTCTGTTGTACTTTACTCGTACACTGGATAGCTACCTACTAGGACACATATGCTATATCTAGTCTAAATCATGTTTCTCCAGCTTGCGCTAGATGTTCATCATTTTCTTTGGAGGAGCTTCTTGGTAAGGTCTGAGTATATTGGTCGAAACTTCGTTGAAGCTGAAAGACGCATCACTGCTGCAGTAGCAATATCGTAGGTTCGTTGGGTGATTGTCATTTCACGGCCGAGTAGAAAATTCAAGACGAAGATGCATATATACGGCTCGATACATGACATCCTGTACACGCAGGCCGGTGCTCATTCTACCTCCGCATAACAACGATGAATTGTAGGAGGTCAAGAGCAGGTTGAGAAACTACATACTGCATCATATGGCACCCTCTTTCAATTCGCGGTAAGCAAATTGATTCCGCTATTCATAAACGGTGACGTCGCACGGGACAACTATCACCTCTTGCTTTCACCAGCGATTAAAAGCCTCTATACGCTGCACATTCCCCGAACCCCAATCACCCGACCCTCTTCTGTCTCTCCCATGTCTGGATTTGTCCTTGGTACCGGATCAGGTGTGCTTGCTGCCGCCGCGGTCTACTACACTCTGTCTACTCACTTGACAGCCACCACCGCATCCCTCAGATCAGAGTGATTTCTTCGTCCTGCTTACGCCTCTGGACTGCACTGACAATACCAACGCAGTCTTAATAACTCCTCCGCCCTCTTGAACCATTCCTTTGACCCTGTTACACCTCCTGCCCAAGCCGCCCTCATCGGACCTTCATCTTCCTCGCCTGCCCCACCTCCCTTCTCCCAAGTCCTCCGCCAGCGTTGGAACGACACCCTTACATCCTTCGTCGGCAGTGCGCGTCAGACAGACTGGCAGGTCATCGGCCAAGAGGTCGTGGAGGCTGGCCGGGGCGTCGTGGAGAAGTTTAGTGAGAGCGGTACGGCCGAGAAGGCGGAGAAGAAGGTGGATAGTATCGTGGATGCTGTCAGAGAGAAGGTCGGGGATGTTTTGAGCCCCGCTCCCAATGCTCAGGAGAAGGCGCTGGTCCTCAAGAAGCCTCTTGAAGGGATTGACCTGCATAAAGACAAGGTCGGGACTGTGGGTGGTGTCCAAGAAGAGTTGAAGAGAAAGGTCGCCGAGGCCAAGGGGCGAATGGTCTAGACAAAAGAGATGCTGCAAGATGCATCTTTTTGAGCTGGGACTATCGGGAAAGGGCTGGTGTTTGAATTTGACTGACGCCTTCGTATATCCACTGCGGGTCGAGTAACGGCTCAGTATAGGCTGACTTTGCATAATTCCAGATAGATCTAGATCGTTAAAACAATTCAATACATGTCGGTCACTGCCATTATACCCCATTCTTCTTTCGCAAATCATATCACTCCTCCGGTCTCATTTGGCCTTCGACTCATCGGCTTCTGCCCCCCATCTCTGGCTCTTGTTGATCCCGCCGTCTTGCCTTTGAAAGGTGGTATGGTTGATATAGGTCCCATCCTCGATCCTTTCGGACCACTACTGAGGCGCTCTCGAGCATTCATATTGTTCTCCAATCGAGCAGAGTTGAGTGTACTTTTGTCCGACGAGGGCGAAAGCATATCCACGGGTACCGGTTTCATCGACGGATCCGGAGGAGACTCGTCAGACTTGTCGGACAAGAACGGCAGAGAGGAAGTCTCTGCAGACTCTGGTCTATTCGAGGATTGGTAGTATGATGGTATGTAATTGCTGTGCTCGACTGATTTTCGAATGTTGAGTGGTGCTGTCATATTTGCAGGGTTGCTCGCGGGGAGGGAAGACGGCAAAGCATGCGCCTGGACAGGAGGAGCTTGCGAAGGTACGGGGGTATACGACTCTGATCTCAACAGACGTGTTGGAGGGCGATCGCGTCGAGGCGCAGATGTTTGTCCGCGCAGTGCAGGCATTGGTGGTACGTCAAGCGTATTCGGCTGTTGTTTGGAGAAAGACATGGTCGAAGTTGGTCTGGATCCTGCTGCGCCCCGAAGAGGGGCTCGAGAGTGTACCGAGGATCTCATAGCTGACGGAAGCGGCGGCTGAGGACCTCTGCTGGGTTGTCTCGAGCTGAAGGAGGACGAGACGCTCGCTCGGGCAGTGGCCATTGATGGGAGGGCAGGTTGGGGACCCCGAGGGGGTGGTCTCGTGCTATATGTTGAGAAGACGCTATCGCGGGCAGCGTTAGTGGGAGGCTGCTGATGCTGACGAGGCTGGAGGTGTCGAGGGTCTGGTGACGGATTAGAAGGATACAATTGCCTTCCACTCATGATTACGTCCTGTCCAGGCGAGCCACTGTCCCCAAAAGGTGCTTGGCGAGAAGGCTGAACAACAGAAGGTGCCGGACGAACTGCGCGCTGCGAGTAGATTGTATCTCTATTTCCCTTCCTTGGACCGCCTTTCCTCGGCAGAGGATCGAGCTCGGAACTGGATGAGTCGGTGTTATAATCGCGGTGACTGGCTCCCTTCTTTCCGTGATTCCGCCTCGCCTCTTGATATGTCGGAGGTTCATCCTCTCTCAGCTTGACTGGTCTCCAGTCATCTTCTGCTTCGCTTTCTTCTCTGTTCATCTGTCTCGCGCGTCTTCCCTTGCTGACCTTCTCGCCATCGCTGCCGCTTTCTTCGCCTTCATCTCCTTGGTCCTTGTCATCAGTCACCTTCTTTCGCTTTTTCTTGGTGAGCCAGATGCACCCGAAAGCGAGAACAAAGACACCCAGGGTTACACCGATGCCTGCACCGATCAACGCTGTGGTAGATATCTTGCTCTTTGCGCAAGAGAGGTAGTCACTGCAAACGCGGAATGAGCTTCAGCAAGGCTGAAAGTGGGACCCGCTTACCCGACATTTCCATCGTAGTTACAGTCTGTGCTGGTACTGCTCTCAGAGCTGGCGCTTGATGTTCCAGTGCTCGCTGAAGCTTGTACGGCCTCGGAGGAAGAATCGGCTGGAAGTGCGAAAGCCGAATCGATCAACAGTAGAGGTAGCAAGCTAGCTACTGCTAGAGGCATAGGCATTGCAAATGGGGAGCTTTTATATCGGCTTATCGATATAGTCGATCGGGCCGACATGATGGATCTAGGTCAGCAAAGTGGGCGAGGTGATTTGAGAGAGATCGAGCATTACGCCCTACTAGTCTGTCGTGTGTCAGAGTGCCAAGTATAAAGGATTGATAAGACTGAAAGGATAGGCACCTTAACTGAAGGTTATTGCCCATGCCACTTTGGTATGGCTTCAGCGTCTGCTCTCCTCACGCTGAGCGTCACTCAACGTATATGGAGGATGATAAAGCCGGTCAAAGAAGGACCGGGTGTTAGCACCGTGCCTTGGGAATAACCCTGGGACCTGAAGGGCTTATTATTAGTCATTCCTGTATTCTTGTCGGCGTATCCTTTCCCGGTCGTGTTTATATCCCAAAATCCACAACACAGGTATATAACGACATGCATCTCTAAACTAGCCTGGTAGGGGAGGGGGATGGTCGCACATTCTCGTCGCACATCTCTGACTCCGGCTTTTGGAACCTCGCTGTCTAGTCTTTCCAGTTCAGCAAAGAAGATGCAGGGATAAATGGGGCTGAAATACCCAGACTGCGCATCACGCCCCTTTGAGTACCCAGAATGTTGTTTGGCTCGCCTGTTTGGGCAAGTCTCTTTTCGCAATGTTCTCGAATATCGTGGGCTCGAGGGGCAAGCTTTAAGATTGCTGTCAGAGCAGGCGCAGTCAGCCGCAATGACAGTCACTGCCGCTCTCAAGCCGTGACAGGGAGTTGCACTGTGTGGGCTTTCTCACACATCTCTCTTCTTCTTCACCGTCTTACACAAACATCTACACGACAAGAAGCTCAAAGGTCACAAGACGCGCAAGACGTTAACGAGAACGCCTCTTTCATAACCGTACCGATCGGCTATTTCCACTGCTTCTTTCCAAAACAACAATAAAGAGCGACCTTCTTCAAGTACATCCTTATAATCAACAATCGCCTCCTTAGTTCCTCTCCTCACATCATCGACCGTCCAACCTCCACACCCTTTCAGCCCACGACCCACACCATGTCCTCCCAATCACACGACCTTCAGCCACCGATTAGAAGGCCGAGTTCCGCCGAGGAACTCAAAGTCACCGAGACAACAAGCAACACAGAATACACACCCGTCAAGCCAGAGTCAGCTGCCAGGGAGGGGGAGGCCGCTGCGGTTGTCGTTGACGACACGGAGGCAGCACATGATCCAATCCAAGAGCCGACAGGACCGGTGAACGATGTTGTGGTAGGTTCGATTCCTTCGGCGAAAGGCCTCACACTCACAGCTCATAAAAGAAGACGACTTGCACTCCAGACGAGTCTTCACTCGCTCGAAGCACGCCCGCCAATCCCACTCCAGCCGCCGAACCTTCGCATCAATTGGCTCCTCCAGCAGAACCCATCCGTCGACCTTCCCAGAACTCGTCCCAGAACTCCTCCGAGAAGAGGTTAAGGCTCGATTTTAGCAACTCGATGCAAAACTTGAAGAAGCGCAAGGGGAGTGAGGTCAAGACCAGAGGACGCGCTAATTCTCTGAATGAGAAAGAGAGGTCAGTTGACTGATAGACTGTATTGAAGCCAGCTTACACTGATTGTAGCATTCCTCCAGTACCTACTCTTCGCGGTCGTCCCGTCGTTGCTACAGCAGAGAAGCCGAAATCCTTCGGTTTCGCTGCATTCTTCCGCAAGCTCACCGGTCAGTCTTCTGAGAAGGAGCGATCTGAGAAGAAGAGCAAAGCCGAGAAGAGGAAGACTCTGTTCGCGTCGGCTCCCAAGGCTGTACAAACTGAGGACAGGGTGGCGCCCCAGGAGATCAAGGAGGCTCAGAAAGAGACAAAGGAGATCGTCCCTGAAGAGAAAGTGGTGGAAGACAGCAAGATTCCAATCTCAGCTGTTCAGCCGGCCGCACAAGGGCCAGTCGATCCCTGCCAGATCGCACTTCCGCCCTCACTCCTCGTGGCTCCTATCATTCTTGAGCCAGTCATCGCACCGGCTGCCGACCAGAAGGAGACCACCATCGATCCCCAAGCTCAGGCCATGCTCTCGCTTGAAGGCTTCTTCATCGACACCAATGCTCCCTCTGCTAGGTCGTCAAGCTCTGCTGCTCACGTGTCCCCTCGGCAGACCACTGAAAGAGCGCCAGAGGGCCAAATGCCTTCCCCTATCCGCATCCCCTCGGTGCCCAACTTTCGAGAGAAGACGCCGCTCTCCGCGTCGTCTGTTGAATCTACAGTCGACGAAGACCGCTTGATCACTCCCGTCGAGTCGCGTAGCAGCGCTCATGAATCATCATTGGAAAGGGCGGGTGTCTTTGCCGGAAGAGCGGGCGAGACCAAGCTGCAGCCGAGGAGGAGTCACAGCCCACCTAAAACAACTGATCTGAGCGAAATGGGCATGGGTGGAGGCCCGGGTCCTTCTGGGTTGGCATCTTCGAAGAACAAGAGCTGGCGGAGGTCTATGATTAATCTCTCGAGCGTAAGTTCTCTTTCAAAGATTGACAGTCGAAATCCGACTCACCTGATCATGTAGCCGCTTAACCGTCGCGAATCTCACAAGCTCCCACCTACATCCCACGATGCTTACATCGCTCAGCAACAGCGCATCAAGCTCAACAGGGTTTCTTGTCAGCCCGTGATCTACAGGACGGGGGCCGAAGCTGTCAGGGGCAAGATGGAAACTATGGGCATGAGGGAGGAAGACGAGGAGGTTGCCGAGACATTCTTCATGTCATGATAACGCATTCTCGGGCTCGTGGGTGATAGATGGTGTATACTCATAGTTTTGGGCTTCTTTGTCAGTCTCTGTGTTTGTTGTTAGGGGGCGTTCGAAAACGCCATAGTCAGTCTATTCTCTCTCTCTTCCTCTTATATTTGTCTTGGGTGACTTGATTGTCAAAGCTCGACTAGTTGGTGGTCTGGCGCATGTATATACAGTATGCAAAATGATATACAGTATCGTTTGGATGTTTGATCATGTTTGCGATCTGCGGAAGAATGAAAGCGGGAACCAAAGAGAAACTAGCATCGCCCCGTTCAATTCGCACGCGTTGATGATTTTGATTTCCGTAAACTCTCTACACGCCTTCCCTGCCTATCGCCCTCCTACAATGGCCTCGCCCCTCTCTCGCGCACTTATATCGCCAGTAAAGCAAGACAAGAAGGCCCGCATCACCCGCCTCTCCCTCAGCCCCCGCAAATCCATCAAGAACCTTTTCAGCCTGCCCAGATCATCGTCCTCCCCGAGGCCTAGCCCTCGCTCACAGAAAATCTCCTCAGACCAAACCGTCATCACCTCCTCGGACCCAAATGAGGATCGTGCCGAACCAACCATCAAGCTTGTTGTGAAGCAGACGCCGAGCCCGGTCAAGAGGAAGCTGGTCGTCATCAATCGTACGCCGCCGGGTGCGCGCTCAACCCCGGAGACTCTCGACAGGCCTCACACCCCCGCAAGCCCCACTCCTCAAAAAGCCCGACATCCTACAGCGCACCTTGACATGTCTGCATCTCCTGTTGCAAACATCGCAAGGCCGAGCGTTGGTCGCCGTGCCACCTCTCACACCGCCTCACATACGCTCAAAGACCATCCGAAAGACCGATCAAGTCGTCCCAAAGCCGAAGCCTCGAAATCAGATCAAGTAATACCCACTCGACAACGTCTGTTGCATGCTATCCCGTCCCGTGCGTCTGAGGTCGATGTCTTCAAGTTTCAAGAAGAGGTAGGAGAGGACGAAGAGGTGATGGACATGGTCATGGACGCTTTGGAGAAGATTCAAGAGCAGGGAAACGCCAATTGCGAGGGTATGATCGCTCAGGAGATTGAACATATAGACACTGTGGGTACTGGCTGTGAATCAACGACCTTCAACTGACGCCGTGAAAGACAGTTCTCTCAGCCCTGCTGAACCCTTCGGACGCTACAACATACCTTCAGCTCTGCATGGATGTGGCTCTCAAGCAGCTGGAAGATATGGGCGAGGAGCTGTCTGGCTACCGAGTGCGGCTTATGGTATGTTTGTGTAATGGTTTGAAAGGCGCGATACTGACGGCGCCGCGAAGTCTGTCGAGGAGGACAAATCGGTCATCATTTCAGACGCCCGGACGCTGTTCAAGAAGCGATCAATGCAGAGGAAGCTAGCCAAGGAAAGCAGGCGCATACATGAGAAGACTGGGGCGCGGCACTTGTCTATGGCCCGGATTTGAGGCGTTATTCATACCTGGTGTCGATTGAGTTTGTTAGGGTTGAGTGTACGATAGTCTTGAAGCATGCGGCACTATACATGAATTCTGCCCTGCCTACTCAGTCAGGCAGTGCCACTCAGACCTTATACCAACCTGTCTCTATCCCAGTGCATCGCCGAGTGAACAGCGCCATAATCCGCCCATGCTCATCATCAAGGCGCAATTGAGCCTGGCATCATGGTGCTCACCCCTGCGGCAAATCTTTGGATCCTAGGACATGTTTGAACATACAGACTCCCGATGTTTAGAAGGAACAACCAACTCTGTCTCCCTTTCAACGAGCATTGGAATGCTCTCTACATATTTGTCCCGACGGACATCCCACAAATCAGCAGGTCGCAATTACTTGTGGAGGCCGGTCTAGTATCTGAGAGCTAATCAAAGAGTGTGTTCGATAATTCAGAAACGTCGGGGAAATGTCGATATTGAGTTATGGACAGGACAATAGAAAGCCGAGATGCAATTCGCAATTCGACAAAGATCATGGTCGCGGACTCGCGCCGACATCCGTCTCCTTCATCTGGATCTGTTCGCTCTTTCATTCTTGAACCAACACCTGCCCCGCAATGGCTCTGATATCTCTCGTCTCCACTCCAAATCGCCAGCGCTTCACTGCCATCTCCCTCGTCCTCTTGATCGCCCTCTTCCTCTCCTACAACTTTGCGCCCTCCGCCCGCCGCCAGCTCGGCTTGTCCCCCGAGGCCGACCTATCTCTCGACGACCAAGAATACACTCTGAAAGAAGGCGCCGCCAATGCCACACCCAAAAGAGTCGCGATTGTGGGTGCGGGGGCGAGCGGCAGCTCTGCAGCCTTCTTCATGCGTCGGGCTGCTCGTGTAGCGGAACGCCGAGCCAATCTGCCAGAGGGAAGCCTGCTTGGGGACATTATCGTATATGAACAGGGAGGGTACATTGGAGGGAGGACTACCACAGTATACCCCCATGGGGACCAGAGAGCACGCCCTCAAGAATTGGGAGCGAGCATCTTTGTAGAGGCCAACCAGAACCTGATGAAAGCGGCCAAGGTAGGCCATCCTGTCACTTGTGTGCACCAAGCTGATCCGAGCAGGTATTTAACTTGACTCTAGTCAACCCCGACTTTGGTGAATCTGGAGTGGGCATCTGGGATGGACAGCAGTTCCTCTTCCAGTCATCATCATCCGACTGGCTCACCTCTGCTCGCGCCATCTGGCGCTACGGCCCTATGGCGCCCCTCCGCACTCGTCGTGCCGTCGACAAGCTTTTGCGCAAATTCAAGCAGCTTTACAACCCGGCCTGGCTGCGAGAGAGAGGGCCGGTGGGTAGTGTTGATGAGTTTGCGGAGAGGATTGGCCTGGGAGCAGAGTTGACATCGAGGAGCGGAGAGAGCTGGGCCAAGGAGGTCTTGGGGGTTGGAGAAAAGTGGATTGGAGAAGTGTGGGAAGGAAGCACGAGAGTGAATGTGAGTCGATCCTCCGCGACCTAATTCCAAGCTGACTTTGAGTAGTACGCCATGAACATTGACAAGATCCAGGCCCTCGCTGCCGGAGTGTCTATGGCCACGAATGGGGCTTCTCAAATAGAAGGCGGCAACTGGCAGATCTTCCGCTCCATGGTTGATGATGCGAATGTCGACCTTCACTTGGCCAACACCGTCAATGACATTGTGCCCTTTGACAAGGATGGCAAGAGAAAGCTGGTGGTCAAGAGCAATGCCACACAGGATGAGGAGGTAGACTCTGTCTTCTGGGCCGCCCCTTGGAAGAGTGATTCAATCATGGGCGTGTCTAGCCGTTTGACAGAACCCATACCGTGAGTAATATATAAATCAGTCCAACGAAGGACTAACGTGACGCAGCCTTACGCCCTATGTTCGTCTGCATGTCACCTACATCACCACCACCAAACCCCATCCTGCTCCTTCCTTCTTTGGTCTCCCAGAAGGCACCGTCATCCCGTCCACCATCCTCACCTCCGCCCACCCCCCTGCTCGCGGGTCTCTCAAATCCTCCCCTCTCCCTCCTCCGAGGTTCCAGTCCATCACATGGCACGGCCCTATCTTCCCTGGCTCTCCTGAATATGCCGTCAAGATATTTTCCCTCACCAGACTCACAGACAGGTTCTTGACGGAGATGTTGGGGGAGGAGCCGGGGTGGCTGGTGCGAAAGGAGTGGGATAGCTATCCGAAGATGGTACCCGTGTCGGGGTACCCCGCGGTGGAATTGACGGAGGGGGTGCAGTATCTCGGGGGCATGGAGCGATGGGTTTCTACGTGAGTTTTGTTTGTAGCAGGATGACTCGGCTGACGCGCGCAGAATGGAGACTCAGACAATATCGGCTAGAGAGGCAGTGGCGAGGGTCGTAGACCAATGGTGGGGTCTCGGTCCCGGAGAGTGTGAGAATGGCGACAGTTGGGATTGGACGTGTTGATTCGTACCCTATTAGAGTATTCGATTGTATGATGGCACACTGTATTATACATGTCTTCAACCCGTCATGTCTCTCTTCCTGCCTCGTAATCTCACTGTATCTATGTCAGTGGTTTCCAGAAGGGTCAGAGAAGCTGCTTACCGTCTTTCAACTTGAGACCGATGGGCTTCCACTTTTTCTCTCCCAGCTCCTCCTCATATGCTTCCAAGACCTACTTTATAATCAGTTCTGTCCAGTTTCGAATGGGTGACTCAGACGCACTTTGGCATGAAGCTTTCCAGACTTGGGATGTGTACTAGCAAAGGCCCTTTCTAGGACATACAGATCCACCGCATAACTCTCTGCGAACTGGGCAGTGGAAGAGAGTCCAAAGTCGATTAACACAATCTCGTATGGCTCTGTGCCGTTGGGCGTCAGCCGGACCATTATATTTGATGTCGTCAGATCGCCATGAATGATGGTGGTCTTGTGTAAGCGAGCGAGGGCTGTCCCTATTGATCTCATGAGATGTTCTGAATAGCAAGTCAGCAATGTAACCAAAGGCGTCAGACACATACCTTGGCTGACTCCAAGCTTTCTAAGCGCCACCATTCCCTCATTCTGCTCTTCCTCGTCGTCAAGCTCTTCGACTTCTTTCGCCTGCCCAGGTCCACCCTCAACCTCCTCTTCCGGCTCGTCTTCCACCACTTCAACCTCTCCCTCGGCACCACCTCCCAACACTTCTCTGACACTCCACCCCTCCACCTTTTCCATACCAATCACACCACCCTTATCGTCCACCCAGAGCACTTTCGGTACAACGACGCCGGCTTTGGCGGCACGATTCAGAGCTCGGGCTTCAAATGTGAGGCGAGTGGAAGTGAGGGAGGCGTTGAGGGTAGGGTGACGGTATGTCTTGGCGAATCGGTGCTTCAAGATGACACCTTCCTGAGGTTCTTTGGGTGATTCTGACTTTGATGAAGATGAGGGGGGCCAGTAGATAGTTGGTTCTGGCAAGAGTGAAGGGGCGAGGTAAACTTTCTAAGGGAGGTCAGCTCGTGATCATGCGCTGATGGTAGATGACTTGCCGCCTCGGCGCCCTGTTTGATAAGTTGGCCTGAGCTGAGGAGAACTGTACTTGCAGACATCCTGGATAATGTAGATGTAAGAGTGATCAGATATTCTACTTTGAAATGGCCAAGTAGTCAGAACTCGGAAGTCGCTGGCGGCGGTGGCCGACGTTCGGAGGAGCATGTTGTGGTAACGAGCTGAGCGTCATATGCAGCAACAACGAAGGCATCGAAGCATCCAACAGAAACAGAGACATCGGGGCAGTAGACACTGAGATCCCCCGCCATGTCCTCCTCCGGCCGCTCCACGTCCCAGGACGACGTCAGAGCCCACATCAACTCCTCCCTCTTCGCCCGACGTGGCCCAGACGGTACTCCAGATGAGACCCTCATCGGCTTCCTCAAGATATACGAGATAGAAGCAGACGGTGGCTCCAAGACGAGGTACCTGATACTGGCAGGTGCGTAGAGTCGTGCTGCGAGGCGACGTTCTGATGTTTGGGCAGTCAGCAAGTCGGGCAAAGTCGTCATCCACAAGGCAAAGCGTAACAGCAATCTGTCCTTCTCCAAGGGCAAGACATGGAACATGGAAGATATAAGGGTGCTGGAGGTCATCTCGGTGAGCACGACACAGTGTCGCGTTCGACCTGCCGCTCATCTCGACTCCAGCCTTCCGAGTTTGCTCTTACAATGACCTCGCGGCGGTATCGCTGGTCTACAGAACGCCCGAAAGATCAGACCAACTTTCTGTCCACCATCGCCAGGGTGTACAGATCATACACCAACGGCCGTCTCCCCGAACTCATCAACTTCTCCCCACCCCCACAGCAAGGCCCGCCCCAATCACAAGCCCAGCAGCTCTCACCAGCAGTAGCAAGCCCTTTGTCAGAACCTCCCCCTTCGGCATTCCCTGTCCCACGCATGGGCCCTGGCGACCTTGCACCTCCGCAGTTCTTGGCTCGTACCGAGAGATCTGGATCATTCTCGTCTCTGAACTCGGCCAATACGCAAAACAGCAACTACCCTCCGACAGCTGGCCGACCGTCAATCGATGATGAACGATCTCCACCTAGCTCGGCTGGTGCTGGTGCTTTCAATAGAATGCCTGATCCTGTCAGGCGGCCGTCCGGGGACAGCATGCCTTCACCGAGGGTCACTCCCGGACAACCTCTGGGTATGGGTCCGCCCCCCGCGCAAAGAAAAATGTCAGACGACCGAGCGGACAAGCTCAGGCCTAGTAACCTCCGGAACGTCTCTGCTGCTTCCGAATATGAACAAGGGGGAAACGAGGGGGTCAGGATGCGAAAGACGGAAAGCGATCTGGGCGTTGTACCAGAGGCGGAGGGCTACCAGATTCCACCGGCGTCGACACGGCGCGAACAGAGGCCACCAGCTCCTGCACCGCCAGCTATCAGAGAGCCGTCTCCCCCTCCCGAGGCTGCTCCTGCGCCCAAACAGAAAGCACTGGCTCCGCCAAAAATCATGACCACCGATCTCTCGGCACCCTCCCAATCTTCATCAGCCTTATCGCCTTCTTCGGCCACTTCAGCCACCCGCAGTCGACGCGCATCTTTCCACCCGCCCCCTCTAGATACCACCATCGCTCGAGACGTACTTCTCCAAGGACGTACTGGGTTACTACCAGGAGCCGCGAGCATGACAATCGATGATACCGAAGGCGGAGACGATGCCGTGCTAAAGAATGTCGAGGAGATGCTGGAAGGGTTCGACTGGGGATTCGGAGCTGGAGCAATGGGTGGTTCATTAGAGAGAAGAAAAAAGGGAGCGGACGCTATAGAGGGGAGGCTGCTGGACGAACTCTTGGCTTTGGAGTCTGCCAATATCCATGCGTTCTTGGAGTCTGATGATCGGACAGCACAGGTGCTCGGGCATATCGACGAAGCGCTCATGGACCTTGAGGATATTGACATTCAAATAACGGGCTATAGGATGCAGCTCAACGTGAGTAACAAAGCGGCATGAAGTGCAACAATTGACGACGACTAGGCCGTATCTGAAGATATCTCCTACATCGAGTCCCAAGGCAAGGGTCTTCAGGTACAAACGTCCAATCAACAGGCTCTGCTCAACGAGTTGCGTCAACTTCTAGTGAGTCCCCGAAGACGTCGGCAAAGACACGAGGTTGATGTGTGTATCAGCAAATCGTCGAAGTTCCTCCCTCGGATCTACAGATTCTTGCTCAAGAGTCGCCTTCAACAGATCGAGGAGTCAAATCCCTAGAGAGCGCTGCGGCGTCCTTGTACAAGGCTCTTCAGGCCGGTATGGACTCCGGTGAGTCCTTCGACATAGACAAGACGCCCGTGCTCACTTGCCCCTAGCAAACGCTGAAGTCGCAGCCACCATCGCTCGAATGCAAGAATATCGTACCCAATCTGACGCATTCAGCAAACGCATATCCGACTATCTCGACGTCACTTTCCGATATCAGTCTGACTCTACCCTCGCCGAGTTCCGTAAACAGTCCACCAAGGGTGCTTTGGCGCCACATCAAACCATGGGAGAGTATTTGATGGGGTATACGGGCCTGGTGCTGTATGTCAAAGAGATGGATGAAGCGAGGTACCAGAAACTGTGCTCGGTGAGTATACATCTATCAGGGTGATATGGCTGCTGATGATGGGAAGAATTACATGTCGACGATCAGTCAGCTGCATCAAGCAGAGATGAAAGATCTTTTGATGGGCTTTATGACGACTTTGAATGCGACTGCTGGAGACGCCGGTTCCGATGCTGGTAAGGGTGCCCCAGCCCTTATGAGTCTTCTTATTGACACATCATAGCTTTCTCCGCGACGGGCTATTCCACAACTAGACCCTCAGCCCTGCAAAAGTCCAAGACTGTCATCGGCCGTGGTCTCCATGGGGATAGATCAGCAGCCAAGCAAGAGCGCCGCGGTGACTCGTCTGGAACCAAACGTGCCTCCGAGCTCTACAACCAAGCCCTCACCGAGATCATCAATCAAGTTGTCATTGAAGAAGACTTTATCAACGCCTTCCTCCACCTCACCGATACCGACTCGACGTTTGCCGATTATATGGAGCTCGACTCTTATTTCCGACGTCAGGCCGCTCGTCACGCGAGTAAGGGAATGAGCCAGGGCATGATGCAGCTTGTGAGGTCGATGATGGATTTAATCTTTGGGTTTGTGGAGTTGGAGTTGAAGCAGTGGGTGGAGGCGGCAGTGGAGAGAGGGCCCGTGACGGTGGTCGGGATCATCGGAGTGACAGAGAGGATCGCGCGAGAAGCTGCGGATGAGAATACTTCAATGTTCTTTACTTCGTTGTTTGAAAAACAACTGGTGAAGCAGAGGATGATGCTCGACGCGTTCACGGTGAGTGGTATTTTTCACGTCGCTTGGACGATGCTGACGAGTATGACAGAATGATCAAATCAGGGCTATTGTAGCTTCCAAGCAGACCCTCACTGTCAAAAAGCGAAAGGGCGTCACCTTCTTTATCAAGCACTTCCCTGTCTTTGTCGAGCGCGTCGAGTCGCAAATGGAAGGGTTCGACGACTTGCCCATACGAGAGCGTGTCAACAACATGTACGACAGCATTGTCGAGACCATTTTCAATGCTCTTCAACAGTTGGCCAAGATGGACCGCGCGGATGGGCAGGCAACCGAAGATAAGGGACAACTGAACTACCATGTCATCATGATCGGTAAGCTGGACCCATCAACAAAGGTGATATGAGCTGATGATTACTAGAAAACATGTATCATTTCGTGGAGGACGTTTCGCAGCTATTTTGTCCCCCCTTGGTCGTGTTTTTACAGCGCGCTCAAAATCTCTATCAAGAGAACTTGACGACCTACATCAGAATGTTGATGCGAAGGTCATTTGCTCGATTCATGGTATGTCGCGGGTGTCTCTATTGTCTGAAGCTGACGTCTGCTTCAGGACTTTTTCGACGGCGTGGAGCGACTCTTGAAAAGCACGCCTGCCAACGAAGTCTCGCTACATCAGTCATACAACCGCTCAGCCCTCAAAAAGGTCCTCAAAGAGCACGGGGCAAAAGATATGCGCAAAGCCGTCGAGACCATGTCTCGCCGGGTGGACAAGCACTTTTCAGATGAGGACGACCCTGTTGCTTCGTCAGCTGCCAATGCGGTGCTCATAGGTGCAGTATGGAAGGAGGTCACCAAAGAGCTGGCGAAGGATGTGCTCAAGGCGCAGGGTATAGTGGCAAGGAGTTATGCCGAGTCGGGTTTGGGTTTAGAGTTCAGCAGTGCCGATGTGGAAGCTACTTGCAAGAAGATGAAGGGGTAGTCGCTGTGCAGTGATTGCATTTGAGTAGAACATATCTTTGTCGCTGCATGGACACAGCCTTTGTATCTGTACATAACCGCCGGCGATTGATGTGGGAGGTTGGCCTCTGATTATATGACAGAAGCGCTCGGCTTCGGCGCTGCCGTAGTATGGTGGATGGCAAATTGAATATCGTGGCGATCTGGCCCAAGGTGAGTCACGAGCACTGATTATCAACCTTTTAGGCCTATGGATCGTTACGACATCTTGATAACCCTTCGTTTGAGGCGGCTTAGCGCTACGTACGGCCACCAGGGCTAAATGCGGCCACGAGGAGAACACCGCAGACGCGTCAGGACATGCCAGGGCCATTGCTGGGCCGTGCAGCTGGTGGATATATGCACACGAGCACTTGCATGAAAGGAGGAAAAATGTACAAACTACGACGCTTGCGTCACGCTGAGTCATCAGTCGTCAGCACCATAAGCACGCTGCTTGATAGGCCGATTAGTTTGATTCCGTCCAGGGATTCCCCACGTATTCCCCACACCCACTCAGGGTCAGGTCCCATCGAAAACCGCTCTTTTAGCGCAGGAGCGACATCGATGCTGCATCCCGAATAATTATCGTCGTCTTTTCCCACTGCTCAGCCTTTCTGCCCCGCCCCGTATCACCCTCAGCCCATGGCCAAACACGACATTCCCGGGCGCCCCCAAGCACTCTGAGCCGCCTCCAGTCGACGCCTCTCGTGGACCACATTCTTCAGTAGGCGGCCATCGCCTCCAGCCAAATCAAGGCGGCTTCGAACCCAGGAGCTCCATAATAGCTGGGACATCACAAATTTTCTTCCCCTATTTCAGCAGCAAGCTATGCCGCCTCTCACCACAGACCCTCCACTGCCGCAGAAGCGATTCCAGTCCGCACACGCGTCTGGCTCCAACGCCGCCCGATCCGCTGGCGGCGGAGGTGTCTCCCAACCATCATCCGCACCTCATGCCTCTCCTTCCCATACTTCTGACAGCCACAATAAAATCTTCATCTATACCCCGCCGCTTCATATCGACGGCATCTTTGCGGGCAAGCTCATGAAGTGAGTCGCACGAAGGACTTAAGCATCATGACGGGTGCTGACCGTACCGTTTGAAAACCCTAGGTTTGCTCTTACCGTCGAACAAGAGCCACTGTTTGGGCGGCGGAAGACGGAAAAGGATCGAAGGCCTCTGTGCCCCGCCCCTATCATCAGGCTTCGGGCTGTAGAATGTCGCGATGAGCCTGACTCGCCAAGCCATGAGGGGATCGCTGAAGCGGAGTGAGTGCGACTTGCCGCATGTTGTGTGAGAATCCGCTGATATCTCCTCGTCATCCTTTTTTTTACCTTTCCACTACAGCCCTGTTGATGTTTTCCATTTGGTATGCGCTGCGGAACTATTACCCCCGCCTGATCAATCAACTCACGGAAAGCGTCACCCACCCGTCGCGCCGAAAACGTCTAGCCGTTCTGGTAAAGGGGGAAAGGCGGAGAAGAGACGGAGGCAAGAGATGGAGATGGATTCCGGAGAGGACTCTGAAACTTTGGAGAACGGAGATGCACGAGCCGGTGACATGTCTCCAGTTGAGGAAAGAAACCTATATGGCAATCTTCACGTATCTGGCGTGAGGGTCCTAGACCTGGTGGGCTCCCCGGGAACATGGTTCTTCTTCACAGTGAGCCCGGATCTAGTTTGCAATCTTGCAAATTGTAGAGGCTAATCCGGTCATAGGACCTCTACGTCCGACAGGAAGGTCGTTATTCGATACGCTTCCGGTGCTTTGATACGTCGGCTGTTACAGGCAGCAATCGTGTTGTCCCTCACCTGGCAGAATGTAGATCTCAGCCCTTCAGCATATATCCCCCGAGACAGTAAGCAACTAGCCTTTTTGACGCATCGCAACCTTGCTCATACAATGTAAGGATGCCGAGCTTGCCAAAGCCTACAGAACTGGCAGAGCATTTCGCGAATCAAGGATTTAAGCTGAACAGTCGCAAGGTGAGCCCTCCTAATCACTCTGCTGGTTGGCATACACTGATGCATGATGGCGAAAAGAACGAAAAGACAGCAACTTCGTCACCACCACCATACTTCCACTCGACAGCAGCTCGTGGGGAAACCAATAGACCTATCAAACAGATGACCGGAAATGAGCCATCTCGCCCGGAACCCAATCCCGTACAACGTGACATCACCCATGACGGATCTTCATCAGCTGCAGCCAGCCGGAGCGGGAGCACAGTGCTCACCGCTTCCTCCGCGAGCATGGCAGACGGATCTTGAGGGCCGAAGAATAGTGCTGCACAAGCACCCTGAAGAGAGGCTTGCGCTCCGAAGCAAGGTTGGACCGGAAATGGAATGGGACGACAAGATAGTAAATTGTAAAATTGTGTTTGTACACTGCCAATGTCAGTCGAAGCGTCTATGACTTATCATCTCCGTATCTCAGTCGTTATCCACGGCTCCAGGACAGAAGAGTGCGTTTCGGGTCGAAGATTCCTCTGAGTCAGCCAACCTCATATTGCGGGCGCCGCTCAGTCGCTGTGGTGGAGCCAACGTTATCCCAAGAAAGCGGGTGTCGAGGGAAGGCCTCGCTTCCGTGCAACTTACCCCCTACAAGGCCACAGAAGTCGAGGGCGAGCCCTTTGTCCTGTCGACTACTCCTCGGCGATGTAGATATCATTAGGGAAAGGAGCAATGACAAGCACCTTGCTTTCGGTCAATGCATTCGACCAGCCGATCATGCAAATGATTTTTCATGCATCTGCTATACCATTCATCAGGATGAAACTGTAGCCACATACAGCTCTCTTGCAATATAGCATGTTGCGGGCATTGGAGACCGCTCTTTCGGCTCGGTACATACGTACGTCACCGGACCATCTTCCTTCTTCTTTCCCATGAGACTCTCAGCTTCGTGATGAAAGGTCGAGAAGAAAAGGTCTACTCAGATTGTCTCGAGTATCCGCACAGTCCATTAGGCTCCTTTGACCCCCATCCATCCACCGGGCAACATCTCCCTTGTGCTAAGCTGACTTTAGCCCTTCACAACATCCCTGCTTGCCGGGAATAGAGTTGCGTTCGTACACGAATGGGGGCGTGGCAACATGTAAAGAAGAACTGTATGTTGAAAGGCTCTTTTGTGCTGCTTCTGTGAATATTGGTGAGATGAGATGTAAAGGATGGTGTTTCACCGCGGCTGGAGTCGAAGTTGATGACGTTCGGGACGTTAGTTGGCCCGACCGCAGCTAGATAGATAAGAACGAGATGGGGTTCTCTTTGTGAATTCAACAAGCTCATCCCATCTCCTCAGCCCCTTTGGACACTCTCAAGCCATCACTGCCATTACACAACCCCAAAAAGCTCTATAAAACAAGGATGAAGTACCAAATCCAAGAGACGCAGGTCCCCGTCCGTCCCATTCTCAATATCACGACCGAGGGATTGAAGAGGCCTTTAGCAGCCGAAGATAGCCCTAGAGGTCCAACCTCAGGCAAGCCTAAAAAGAGGAGAATACTTAGACCCGGGAGGTGCGCCAATTGCGGGTGCAATGAGGTAAGTGGTCGGAAATGGCATGGCACAAGCTGATATTCTTGTACAGGAAGAGACCAGTCTGTGGCGCACCAACGTCGATGCAGGTGAAGACGAATCAGGAAAGATCGTCTGCAATGCGTGCGGCCTCTGGAGATCGGAACACGGCTTTCCCAGACCCAAGAGAATGTCCAACATGTTCCCAAGGTTGACGAATACCAAGTTTGAGCGTGATGAGGTGGGAATGAAGAATCATCAAAGGTCAGCGAGCAAAGCGAGTTCTGATGATTCATCGTCGGATGAGACGGAAGTGGACGATGTAATTGATGCGGCCAATATCTTGATGGACTTGGCTGCCAAGGTGAGTAATGATGATCTCCTGGAAGTTCATGCTGACATGAATCGTCCAGTGGCGAGTTGGCAAAAGTCACACCTGATGTGATCCTGAAGGTAGACGTTTCATGTTACGTGAGGCCCTTTGCTCTAGCATGATCGTCGTCGTAATGTCCATGTGATTTGCTTGTTGCAAAGCTTGCGGCGAAATAAGACGGGTATCTTCATGCGGGATATACAACAGCATACAGCCATAAGGATTCTAGTTCTTGGTTTTCCTGTGATCGTTGTCAGCTCTCAAACTCTCGATTCATCGTAATTCTCTTCGCGACCCACCTGTAACTCCATGGTCTTCTTGTAGGCGAGAATTCTCCCAGCTTGTGTCCGACCATCTCCTCCGCTATTGTGACTGGAAGGTAGTCCTTTCCGTTGTGCACCATGAATTTGATACCGACAAAGTTTGGTAAGATGGTGCAAGCACGAGATTTGGTAAAGATGGGAGTGGAGGATTTGAGATGGTGGGAGAGGGAAGGGAAGGCAGTGAAGAAGGGACCTAGAACGGGTTAGCAGAATCCGGATGATCAAGCTGCTCACCTTTCCAGGTCGATCGTCTGAGGGCGATACCGGTGGGGTGCATGGCGACTGAGAGTGGAGTATAATCGGGAGAAGAATGGGCGAAATGTCAGAGGAGAGTAAAATCCTGACGTGTAGTGATAATGGATGCTTACATAAGCATGCACGAACGCGCTCTCGTGTCTTCCGTCGATTCTTCGCTGAAATCACTTGACTCTGAACACCCAAAAACCATAAAAATGCAAGGCCCAGGAGGAATGCCCATGGTGGTTATGAGTGAGTCCCATGTGCCCCAGGAGAGTCAGCGCTGACAGCCCTAGACACCGGCCCCGAGCGCCAGACCGGCAGAAAAGCTCAAACCGCCAACATCGTAGCTGCCAAGGTGTGTCTACCAGAAGATGGCGTCGAAAAGGCGCTGATTATCTATAGACTGTCGCGGACGTTATCAGGACGTGTCTCGGTCCCAAAGCTATGTTGAAAATGATCCTCGACCCTATGGGAGGTATCTTGTGAGCTCCATGATACATTTCATCTATGAGGGTCGATGTTAACGAGTACACAAGGCTCACGAACGATGGCCATGCTATCCTCCGTGAAATCGATGTTGCCCACCCTGCGGCCAAGAGTATGATTGAGCTCTCTAGAACGCAGGACGAGGAAGTCGGTGACGGTACTACCAGTGTCATCATCCTTGGTAAGACCATAGTCCTGATTGTTGAAGCCCACTTACGCTTGTTGCAGCTGGTGAGATCCTCGCCTACTCCCTTCCCCTCCTCGAGCGTCATATCCACCCCGTCGTCATCATCCGCGCCTTTAAGTCTGCTCTCTCAGATGCCCTGGATACTATCCAGCGTGTCTCTGTCCCAGTCGACATCACCTCCGAACAACAAATGCTCGCCCTCATCAAGACTTCTATCGGTACCAAGTTCTCGTCCAGATGGTCTGATTTGATGTGTCAGCTTGCTTTGGAGGCCGTCAGGACGGTAGCTGTTACCGCCGAGGCGGAGAACGGGCTCGTTGGCAGCGGCCAGGGTGGCGACCAGGTCAACATCAAGACTGTTGACCTCAAGAGATATGCCCGAGTCGAAAAGGTTCCTGGAGGCGAGATCGAGGAGTCCCGAGTCCTTTCTGGTGTGATGATCAACAAGGATGTGACCCACCCCAAGATGAGGAGACGGATCCAGAACCCTCGAGTGGTGCTTCTTGACTGCCCGCTCGAGTACAAGAAGGGCGAGTCGCAGACCAACATTGAGCTTTCCAAGGAGGAAGACTGGAACAGAGTTTTGCAGATTGAGGAGGAACAGATCAAGGCTATGTGCGACAAAATTGTCGAGTTCAAGCCCGACCTTGTTTTCACCGAGAAGGGTGTCTCTGGTATGTCGCATTGCCTTGTAAGAGAATTATCACTAATTTGAAGCAGATCTGGCCCAGCACTACCTGCTGAAACACGACATCACTGCCCTCAGACGAGTCCGAAAGTCTGATAACAACCGTATCGCCCGTGCCGTCGGCGCTACCATCGTCAACCGTGTCGAGGACCTCCGTGAAACCGACGTCGGAACTCAATGTGGTCTCTTCCACATTGAAAAGCTCGGTGACGAGTACTTTGCCTTCCTCGACGAATGCTCCAACCCCAAGGCTTGTACCATCCTCCTTCGTGGTCCCTCCAAGGACATTCTCAATGAAATTGACCGAAATCTTGCGGATGCGATGTCTGTGGCTAGAAATGTGGTTTTCAACCCCATTCTTTCGCCTGGTGGTGGTGCGACCGAGATGGCCATCTCGGTGGATCTGGGAGAGAAGGCCAAGGTTCTGCCGGGTCCTCAGGGTGCGGCTTACAAGGCTATTGCGGATGCTTTGGAGGTGATCCCCAGGACTTTGGTGCAAAACTGTGGTGGTAATGCCATCAGGACTCTTACCGAGCTTCGAGTAGGTTCTTCTTGCTGCCCTTTGCGAGTTAGCTAACAATCTTCAGGCCAAGCACGCGGAGGGCCACAACATGTTCGGTGTCGATGGCGACACTGGTAAGGTGGTTGATATGCAGACCTATGGTCTCTTGGAAAGTGCTAGTGTCAAGATCCAGACACTGAAGACTGCCATCGAGGTGCGTTTCCATTGCTGCTATTTGTATCGAAACTGATTTCTATAGTCTGCTACGTTATTGCTTCGTGTGGACGACATTGTCAGTGCTAGGAGACCAGGAGAGGAGGGTGGTGGTGTGCAGACCATGGGAGAGGCGGCTCCTGAAGGTATGGAGATGTAATGGGAGATTAGAAGAGTACATGCATCAAGATCTATTGTGCCGTTGCGAGACTATCGCATTTGCTAGTAGTGTACATCAGAAAGGCAAAGCTGTGACTATAAAGCTACTTTTTATCTTGCGCCAACCTCCCAAACAAATTTCCAACAGCTCCACTTTCCCCTCCCTGGCTTTTCCAACTTTCCAAAAAGTTCTTCATCATCTCATACTCCTTCCTGCCCTCTCCATCCAACATTCCCACTTCCTCCGGATCATCATCATCATCAGACAACGCATCCGGATCCACGCCCGCACCAACGAGGACGGAGCGGAGCTCACGGTCCATGGCGAGAAGCTCATCTTCGTCGAAATTGTCAAAGTCGATGTCTTCTCCAAGAGGAGCAGGGGGGAGTGGATTGGCTGAAGAAACTTTGGATTTGGACTTCTTGGGGGCTTTGGAGCCTGTTATGGGTGCGGGGGCAGGCGCAGAGGCGCGGGATTGAGCGAGGGCTTCGTCCATAGCTCGCATGACCGAGTCGAACGAGTCAAGCGACGCATTAGGCTGCCCTGGTTCAGGCGCCACTTCCACCTTCTCTTCTGAGAACTGCACCTTCTTTCCCTGACCAGCTTTTGTCGGCTTATCTTCGAAATTTCCATTTTCTTCCTTTGCTGCGATCTTCTCCTTCTTCTTGAGTTCTGGCACGAATGACCCACGTTCCTTTCTTTCTTGCAGAATCCCTTCCCACATCTCATCACTGATACCCAGCGCTTCCCGAGAGAAGTCGAGGAATTTCTGGGTCTCGTCCCCCTCCCCTTCCATTTGCACGTCCTCGATATCCTCCGGCATCTCATCATCCTCATCCTCTTCTGCTTCATCCTCTCCCCATACCCGGCGTTTCATCTGTTCTTCCAGTGCCTCGTCTTCGAGCACCAGCTTTTCCTTTCTCCCTTGCTCATCTTCGTCCTCTTCAATTTCCTCAATCTTGGCCACGCCGGCATCATCTTCCCCATCAACAGGCGGGAAATCGCCCCATTTCATTTGCGCAATCTTTCGGCCCCAAGTTCCTTCCGCAGGCAGTTGTCCGTCATCTTCATCATCGTCATCGGAATCCGAGACGACGCCGTCGAATTTTTGTTTCGCGAATCGAGGGGGACGCATGGTGGAAGGGATGAAATCCAAGGGGTTGGCCTTCTTCTCGGTCTGGGTAGGCTGAGCAGCCGCCGCGGGGTCGGTGTTGAGCTTTGGTGCAGGAGGTTTTGAAGTCTTGTGACCCCAATCTTCTACAGCAAGATTGGGTACGAGGTTACTCAGCCGGGACTGTTTCTCGGATTCGAGTTGTCTTCTGTGGGCTTTCAATTCCTCGTCCTCTTCAGAGTCAGACCCAGAGTCCATATCTTCGTCCGAGAGCTCACTAAATTGAGTAGTCAGTGTCTGATTTTGGGTAGCCAGCAATGTAGCGTTACTCACTCCAAGAATCTCGCGCCTTGCATATCACCTTGCCCCCCAACGAAATCTTGCACCTTCTTTGCCAGATCGCCAAGCATCTGCCCGTGTTCCTCTCCTACTTCCATACGCTCTTCATTTCCCGGTGCGCCTTTCGTGCCGTCCTGACCAGAAGCACGCAACATCAACCCGTCGAGCTCGTCAGGCGATACCTCGAGCCATTTGTCGTCGTCTTCGGGGGTATCGGCAGAAGCTGTCAAATCTTCGGGGAAGAGTGTGGAGGAAGATACAGCATTGTCTACCAAGTAGGCAAAAGACGGTCTCTGGGATGCCACACTGTTTCCATCAGCTAGGTAAGGATAAGGAAATGATGAACGTACTCTGCAGATTTGACCTCGGCATACCCTTTGCGCGCCTCTTCCTCACGGTCCTTCCACTTCTGACTGCCTTCCAGCTCCTCCCCAAACCAGCCCGACCTCTTCAGATCGGCCAAAAAGGTTTGATATTCTGGCCCCTGCGTGACTTCGTTGCTAGCTTGAGCGCCGGTCCGAGAGGATTTACCGCCTTCGCGGTACATGATTTCGAAACCCGTAGCGACCTTTACGCCCAAATCCCTCCATCTCCGCTGGTCGTCCAGCTTTTCTGGGGAGCTTTCTGACCCTTGATCAGCACCGTCCCTCACATGCCACTCTGGCCCAAACACCCTTGGCGCATGAAACACCTGTCCTTGCAGTTGCGCATAAGCAGCCCTCGTCAACGTGATGTTCGTAAGCACAGCAGGGGAGGGCGGGAAGTGGGTCATCCTCGAGGCTGCACGGAGTTGGGCAGGGTCGCGGACGTAGAATGCTTCGACGGCTTTTTGGACCAAGTCGGGCTGCTGGCGAAGAGCTTTGGCGACGGCGAGGGGGAGGTAGATGTTGGTGCGGTGAAAGTGGGTTCGCATGGCATCGGGATAGCCACCAATTCTTTGCCAGACAGCTCGCTCGACCGCTTTACTAGCGGGGTATTTGCCTGTTCGCACTGCACGCAAGGCGTCGGATTCGGACAAATGGACTGCTGGGTCAGAGTCCGTATCGTCTGAGAGTTGGTGGGGTGCAGCAGCCGAGCGGACAGATAGAGGTATCAGATGAAGATGAGCGCCTTGGAGCCATAACTGTATAATGTCAGATAGAACATATATTACAATGTCGAGCTTACCCGATTGTCAGCATTGTCTGGGGAAACCCAAGACGGTAGTTCGTTGGCAGCTTCGATGAGCAAGAACTCTCCATCTGTGTCTCGGATGCTTCATCGTCGTCAGCTTCCAGTCATGAGAGCCCAATGGAGCCACTCACCTGATAATGAGTTCTGGCCACTTTCTGCTGACTTCTCTCAGAAGCCAAACGACAAGCCACTCATCATCGACAGCATCTCCGACTCGCATTCGTCCCTCTAGCTTTGGCCCTTCAGAAGACCTCTCTGAGTCAAAGTCTGCCACTTTAAGCTCCCACGAGTCTTTGTTCCATAGCCAAGGGTGTCTGAGGAGAGTGTGGACGTATTGATTGATTAAGAGAGCGGTGGCGGAGGGATCTGAGTAGGATATGGGCAGGTGGATGGTGTAGTGGAGGGTGTCTTCTGGGACCTGTGGCAGGGGGAAGGCGGAGTGGGAGTGGGAGAAGGAGGGGAAGGAGGCGCTCATTGTAGCCGTCCTCGATGATGTTGCCGTGAACAGAAATTTCAAGTTGATCATTCAAAATCATGAGATCACAACGAAGTCACAACAAACATCTGGTTCCGTCGTTGGTAGCCCGAACCAAAGTTGGATTGCAACAACCAAGCAACAACATTCATTTGTTCCTTCAATCCCCCAGTATCCATCTCTCCGCTGTCCCCAATATCAAGCCTCCCTTGTACAACAGGTACAGCGCCCAATTTCTGGCCTACGCGCCGTATCTTCCTGCTCTCGGCCTTCGTTCTTGCTTCGCACTCACCTTTGCCACACCGCTCCTACCACCCTGTCTCACAGCAGTTTCGTCTGTATCCTCAACAATCTTCTCAAGTGGGATCCCCGTAACTCTACCAAGTCGCTTACAATGCTCGCCGTCAAGACGCTTTTGTCTCCCAAGCGACACCCCCCACCCTCTTACGATGACGACCTAGAGAGGTGCGTTTGAACCCCATTCATGTTGCATTGTGCTGATATTCCTTCTCAGTAATTGGGAAAACATAGATTTTTACCCCGAGGACCATGTATACTACAACGCATACAACGACGCCTCTCGCACGCTCAACCACCCCAACGAGACTCTCAACATCAGACAAGCTTCTCGATGGGGCTATAGCGCCTCAAGGGAGTCCACTCCTAGGAAACGAATCAAGATGTCCCAGTAAGCTTGGAGGAAGGAGGCTTCCTCGAGGGTGCGTTCTGATGTATCACAGCGTGCCGTGCATTTCGCCGTCGCACAAGAGGCTCTCTTCAACCTTTGTGGATGACGAGTAAGTCAACATGGCATAACCTCTGAGGCGACACAAGAGTGACATGGGCAGCGATGACCATGACAGCTATGAGTCTACTTCTTCTTTGAAGAGTCTCCTTGCTCAACAACAAGTGACACCGAGTCTAGACGAGAAAATGGATTCACTCAAACCAGGGTAAGTTGGCCTTTCCTTGCAGCACCGCGGCTAAGCACCTACAGCTTCATCCTTCCGCCTCCCCGCAAGTCGTCTATCTGCCACCAGATGGGTGCTCAGAAGACTCTCCCGGAAGGCCTCCTTGTCTCAATCGCCATCACCGACACTGGCATCTTCAACAACCAGGTCATCTTCCGCGTCCTCTACACCTACTGCCCTCTTTGGAATGAGTCTCCTCCATTTCGTGTGTCTACCTACCGGACCTTCTACGAGCTTTATGACTATCACCTCCGTCTTTACCGAGATCAGAAGGGAGAGGTGGATGAGGAAGCTCGGCGTCAGATGCTCGACTTTCCGCGGCCGATTGATGGCTTGGACGGCTGGGAGAAGACCGACTATCGCTTCAAGAGCTTGAACCTGTACTTTACCAACCTCTTGAGAGTCCCTGTGACCAGAGGGACAAGCTATTTGCTCGACCATCTTGTCACCCGACATTTCTTGGCTGTACGACCAGGAGATCGCGTCGAAATAGTCGGGAAAGCGCAGATGGGACTGGACTGGGAAAGCACGTTGGAGAGAAAGAAGATGGCGAAGAAGGGTCTTGAGAACGAATCACGCGTGGATGCCGTTCTAAGAGAGGATTTCACCATCACGCCAGCGCCTCAAAATGCCTCTCTGGCCGTCAAACCGTCAACGTCCGCTAAACACCACTCTGTACAACCAATCCTCGCCTTTCCCATCCCCTTCGCCCCCTTGTCTCCTCGTTCATCCGCGCCCGCATCTCTACAGTCTCCTATGCTTGAAGACATTCAAGGACAAGACTCGGCTCCACACACCCCAACGCATCGCTCGATCGACTACTCCGTGACCTCTCTCTCCCCTCAGACTCCTACCACGCCCACCGCCGCTCAATCCGTCATCATCATCGAAACAGCTATCCACAACCCCAGCCACGACAAGGAACTACCCCCGGTCTCTTACACCACTCAGGATGACAGATGCGTGGACGATGGTCTGGGATTCGCCCATATACTACTGGTCGAGAGGAATACGTGGAAGACCTGGCAGGTGTTGGTAGATGTTGATTTACCATGGGAAACGATCTTCGGCAGGCTTTACGAAGTCATCAGTGCTCCTCTTGGTAGCAGACTGCTCAAAGGATTGGTACATGGAGGTAGTAAGAGTGGAGAGATACGTGCGAGGGAGATCTTGCTGAGTAACGGGAAGGTCTTTGTCGAATGGGTAAAGGAGGCGCAAAAGTTCTTGTTGTTGACCATATGGGTCGAGGAGTCACGATGATCATAACTGTCGAATAGCTTGATTCACGCTGTACCTTGTTGTTCGTGATTATACTCATACAACCATGCATCGATGTCATCAGATTGCAACGTTCCCCCAGGAATGTTCTTTCAGCCACTCCGCCCCATATTCTTCATACTCTTGCCTCGTCACTCTTGATGTTTTCGCTTCTTCCGTCACACTCCATTCCGCCATACCTTTCCATGCCTCCAGTCTGGGATCCCCACCGTTCAATGATGAGACGACCTTCAGAGGCGCACGGAAGGGGAGGATGGGAGTAAGGATGTTGCGCATCTTTGGGATGATGTTGGGGGAATGAACACCACCGCCCGTCAAGAATATGCCCTGCAGAGATCATCAGCCTTTCTTCACCCCGGAGTAACAGAAGAACCCACCTGCATCAGCCGCTTCTTGTTCTCTTCGCTGAAACCATTCAAGATCCACCCCGCCGCCTCTCCCAAACCGGCATTATCAAGCCCCACGATACTCGGCTGGAACAAGACTTCCGGTACCCTGATCCTCTCTATATTCAGGTGAAGTTGATGCGCCTGGGCGAGATCTTCAGGATCATACTTTTCGGAGCTTCCGCCGCGGACAAAAGCGTTCAAGAGACGGTTCTTTGCCTCGGCTCGGCCAAACATGGTGTGTTCTTCAGAGAAGGTGGGGTCGTACTGCAAAAGACGGCTCTCGATGGATTCTAGGAGGGCTTGGTCGTCTTCTTCGGCATCCGAATCTTCGTCTCCGCCGTCCTGCGGTCATTGTCAAACGGTCATCGATGTGAGATGTGGAAAAACTCACGATCTCGCGGTATACAGCCCAGTCGGAATCGTCCATACCGAATCCATCGTCATCTGCCAAAGAATCAGCCTAGTCACTCGAAGCGAGATTCGAGACTTCTCACCTTCACCCTTCTTTCTCTTTTTGGGAGCCTTCTCCTCCTGAGCCAAGCTAGCCAGAGACTTCATCCGGTTTTGCGAGGCAGCAGACTTTCGGTCGCCCAGTTGCGCCTTCTTTTTCTCGCGGTCGCGAATGCGGTTGATGACATCCTGCGGTATTCGTCAGTGGAATTTCGCTTTGATTATGCTATGCTTACTTCGTGTTCTTCTTTGAGGTCTGCAGCCCAACCCGTCAAATTCGTTTCTCGCTCTTCCTCCTCTTTTCTCTTTTCCTCTTCCTGATATCTCTGTCAGCACAGTGTTGCCAACACGCCGTCCAACTCACCAATCGCTCCCTCTCGATTCTCTTCTCTTCCTTGATCTTCTGCCTCGCATCCCAAGCGCCCTTCATCAACCTCTGCCTCTTCTTCTCCTTGATCTCCTCCTCGTTCAGCTCTCCGTCCGGTCTCCCCAATAACGGGAACGTCGGTTCCTCCTCCGGCTCCTCAGTCAACCCGAGGTCCTTTCTCTGTTTCTTCCTCACATCCGCCTCCGTCTTTTTCACCCATGATTCGAGCTGAGCCTCAGTGTCGAATGGTGTCTCTTCGGCTATACGGTTGATATAATCGGCCTTCTTGAGGGAAGATTTATCAGAGATGAGAAGCTTGTACTCTTCGAGCTCTGCGATTGTGGCAGCGAGCTATATGATAGTGATCAGTTTCTGTAGGGTTTGGTGAGGGGAGTAGGCTCACCTTTTCAGCTCGTTTCTTGGCTCCCATTTCTTGCAGTCTCTTTCCCGACTCTTTTCTCCGCTCCGCCGCCGCCGCAAGCTCCTCTTCCGTCTTCTCAACGGTCTCCTGTAAAATCGTCAATACGTTGATATGGAGCTGTCACGATCTACCCACTGGTACTGTGTACGGGAACTGCACGAGTCGAGTCATAGCCGACAGTTTTGCCGGGTCCTCAAGGGTTCTCAGCTCCGACTCGTAGTCTGACGAAAAGTAGCATGTTTCGCGATACATGAACTAGTGCCATGTCGTTAGCTGGAAGTCATGTTGTAGGAGACTGAGATGAGCTTACTGTTGCTTGCTGCGGTGTGACTTTGGTCGGGAACAAGGGATACTTGAGTTGAGCCAGTTTCAATAAAAGCTCTGAAGCTTGTGCTCCTCCCCAAGGCAACCTTATCCAAAGTCAGCTGCTATTCCGGATCTAGGATCTCTGGGCGTACCTCTTCGACTGCCCTATCAGAGCTTTGCCGTCGAATATGGGAATAACAGTAGTCGTTTGATGACCGAGGTTGATAGCCAGGCCGTCTCTCTTCTTTTGTCGAGAAAAGGCAAAGAGAGAATCGACGCCGTAGGTGACGGAGGGGGCATTGTAAAGCTCAAACAGCAACTCCGAGGTCACTGATTACAACTCAGCTATGCATTATATCCATCTGAGAGATGATGACTCACTTGCTCGGCTGAATAAGGGATTGGTCAATCGCTCGGTCATGACGATGGGATGTTGGACTTGAGGCGTGTCTAGCCCAAGCTTGCAAAAGGTGTAATCCAACGCTCCTTCCTGTGGATTTCATCAGCAGAATACCTCGTCTGAATACAGCCTCACGTACCAGTACATCTGGTTGAGTCAAGAGATCTCCATCATACATGGACCTCGTGTTCGACCGTGATGAGGCATCGGCTTCGGCGTCCGAGCCAAATAAGAGCACATTTTGGCCAGACTTGCGGTCCTTGTACTTGGAGACCTGATTCAGAGTGTCTATATATGGACCAGGTGTAGTATTGAATCCGGCTCTCCAAGAATGAGTACCTGCAAGCAAGTATATAAGTCACGTTCTTTCGAAGAGAGCTCATGCGTACCATTGTCGATACAGATTGATGGATCTTGTCCGTCGAGCGAGTGGTAGTCAAACACCGGCAGGGGCTGGGCGCCGAAATGCGTTTCCTGTATGTAAAGAGGACCTGAGGGCCCTCCGTTGGGTGCCGACATGCTTGGTGGTGATGTATGGCTCTCGAAGACACAAAGAGGGCGTTCTTGGTGTCACTCGGGCACAACCTCCACTTTACATTTGGTTCCGCGCAACGAGATTGGTTCTTGTCTGTTTTTGAAGAAATCAATTTCAGCCCAAGTCTTGTCTTCATCAACCAACAGGGACCCTGCTCCTGCCACTCTTCCATTCAATCTGCTCCTGCCACTCTTCCATTCAATACGCATACACTTCGGCACAATGTCCCTCATTCCATCCTTCCGCCAAGCATCCTCCACAGCCACCCGAGGCTTCTCTCAATCTTTTCGCCCTTCACGAGTCGCCTACGTCCCCTTGTCCTCTTCACCACTTGCCTTCACCCGTCACGCCTCAACCGCTCCCAGAACCAAATCCAAATTGACCGAAGATCTCGAAAAGAAAGTCGAAGCGCAAAAGGCGCAGCTGGCGCGCGCGGAGAAGGCCAATCCTGCAATGAGTTTTGGCACTCAGTCATTACCTGTTTTTGGTAAGTAGTTTTGATTGCCGTGACACGAAATGGGAGACGCCATGATGACTGACTTTTGATTCAAACGTAGAGCCCTTTTTGGACCCTCCCACATGGTTGCCCGAGTTCCTGCACAGAGCCTGGAATAAAGTCAATCCCTTGATCAAGGTCGACCCCGCAGCAGAGGAATCCAGGCGTGAAAGATATTCATACACAGTTCAAACGTGAGAAGGGTTGCTCCCAGAGCCGAGCCACCGCTGATCAAACTCGCAGGATTGGCGAATTGATGGCAAAGAGAGCTCTGGACGAGTACAGAACTTCGTTCTTGGTCCATACGCCTTCCCCAGCTCGTCACATGTGGCTATGGATGCGAGGACCGGGAGCGGCGTCAAAAACCGTGAAGGCTTTTGCTCAAAAGTATTACGAGTACATGCAGTGCCAAGCTTCGTAAGTGCCTCTATCTCGCGTGGATGCGGTCCTAATCATGTCTCGTAGGGGCACTATCGGTCAAGCCTTGGCTCTCTCCAAAGATGAAGCGTACAAGACGGCTCAGCACATCATCCGCAACAGGAAGGACAAGTTGACATGGCAGTTGGTCAAGGAGAACAAGCCACCCGTGCTTCTTTCTGCTCGAATGACCATGATAGATCCCAGAGATATGAAGATTGGTGCGCAGATCGTGGTTGCGTTTGACACTCAGCAGGTAAGTAGCCACTTCCTACCTGTCAAGAAGTGATGACTGACGTCTGGGACAGGCTTTGATCACCCACAAATCAAATGGGACAGCGACCAGGCGGACCAGGCGTGTGGAGGAGATGATGGTCTTCGAGAGGTTGATTCCCCATAGGGATGGGTGGAAGATCAAGGGCAAGCTGGTGCCGAAGGTGAATATAGTGCCGCAGGTTTCGTCCTCTCCCGCTCCCAGTTACCACGCTATAGAAAAATAGGCTAGTTGGGCACGCATATAGTGTCGGAAGGCCAGGAGGGGCCCGCTTCTTTGCACCATTCATGCATATCGCACTTGGTCTGATGAGTGGCAGCTTGACGAACTAAGAGAAAGACTCGATGTTCTACGAGACAATATTGCTGCAGTCTTAGAGACTGGATGGACGCGATGGCCGACGGGCAGAGTGGTCGATCTGCGGCACTCCACCTGACGCGTCGATGAAGGCGTCATGTGCAGCGATGATGCGAACGTGGGCATCTCGGCAGTGGCTGTGGAGTCGTCACCTCATCAGCACGCTGACGCGTCACGTCATCCCAGGCCGGTATATAAGCCTCCCCCCTTGCCACACTTCCCCCAGACACCATGGTGCACCTCGCCTCCCTCCTCTTCCTCCCCCTCGCTCTCGCAGCGCCCGCCCAAGACATCCCCGAGCTCTCGCTCAACGAGTGGAAGGGCATCCAGAATGGTTTCACAAACCGTATCTCTGGCCTCGGCTCTTGGTCCTGGAACAAGGCAGAGGAAGCACTGAGCGACCTTGGAGGCCAGGACAAGACCGAGTTGACCATCTGGCAGAACCTGAAGGAGGATCCTCACAGCTTTAGCAAGCTTGTCAAGATCATCGAGGTTGGTGTCGTCTGGATTCACACGAGTAACTTGTACTGACTTGCGACTAGTTTGAAGGTCATGCCAGCAAGTATCTCGACGACAAGGACGCCCAGATCACCTTCTTTGTACGTATGTTATCACTTTCTTGCCTTCCGTACTGACATCGATCAAAGGCGCCCAACAACGATGCTCTCACGCCACCTCACCATAAGGACGACGACGATGACTTTGAGCAGGTGCGTCTTGTCCTTCCAGTAGCACATGAACTGACCATGAGCACCAGCTGCTCCACAACCCATCTCTCGCCTCGCTCTCTGCTGCCCTAGACCGCGACCCATCCCTCACTTCGTCGTCCAAGGGACACGATGACGATGACGACGATGACGAGGAGAAGAAGCGCAAGAAGGAAATCTTCCGCAAGATTGCAGGCAAGGTGTTGGCCTACCACGGTCTTCCCAAGGCCTACACCGTGCAAGAGCTCGGGCAAAACTCTACATTTGCCACTGCTCTCAAGGCAGACGATGGAAGTTATGCCGGATTGCACAGGAGGGTCAGGATTGAGAAGAACTTGGTACCTCCTTGTGCGTATATACCCCCACTATGCGATGGCCTCGACTGACCATATTGTGTAGCTATCAAGCTCAACTTCTACGCCAAGATCGTCGCTTCTGACCGCAAAGCCCGCAACGGCTACTTCCACGCCCTCGACCACCCTCTCCTCCCTCCTGGCTCTATCCTTGAGGAGCTCTTCCTCTTCCCCGACACCTTCAGCACTTTGACTTCGAGCGTGCAAAAGGTCCACGAGGCTCATGCTTTGGACTATGGCTACGACAGGGAGCACTCTGAGCCTGGCAAGCCAAAGTTCCACGGTAACCCCTTGGCTACCCTCTTTGCGCCTACCAATGCTGCTTTCCACGACTTGCCCGACAAGCTCAAGTTTTACTTGTTCTCGCCATTCGGTGAAAAGTCGTTGATCAAGCTGTTGGCGTATCACTACATCCCTCACACGCTCCTCCTGTCTGAGGCTTTCCACCAGGAAAAGCACGAGCACAAGGGCGAGCTCTTGACTGTCGGTGATGACCCTAGCTTCCACAAGCAGTTCAAGATCCACACGGGTCTGCCCAACGCTACCGTCGAGGTGGAGATTGAAAAGGTCAAGGTCCTCCCTATCGAAGGTTAGTTCATGCGACGTGGTTGTGACTTGGGCTGACTCTATAATGCAGGTGCCACCAAGACGACCATCAAGGTCAACGGCGAGCAGGTTGAAGTCATCGATGTGCCAGCTCGCAACGGCGCTGTGCATGTCCTTAGCAAGCTCCTCGTCCCTCCCCACGAGCACCATGGCCACCATGGTCACCATGACCACGACCAGGATCTCTCTGCTGAAGACTCTTGGGAAAATTGGGAGGAGTGGTTCCCTCAGTGGGTCGACGCGCAGGACGAGTGAACGTCTGGTGAACTGCTTGAGATATGCGAGTTTGGCAGCCACATATAATGTAAATTAGCTGAAAGAGAAAGGAAGTCAGAAGTTTCAATGTAATCATTACATGTGCTCGGGTCTGTTGACTTCTTCTATGTACTGTACAATCATTGATCTATGTCTAAGTACAATCTATTGCTTCTTTGCTACTGATGAGCAGTCGCTCCAAGACCTCTCCTCGTCTTCATCCGGCTCCTTCTCCTCCCCACTCTCCCTCCTCTTCCTAACCTCCTCCCAAACCTCATCCCTCTTCTCTTCCATACTTCTGATCTCCGCCTCAACCTTCTTCACCATCTCCTTTCTCGCCTTTCTCACTTCCGGCTGTCCTTCCGAGATGACTGTATCAGCTTGGAGCAACAGCTGGAGGAGAGCGTTGGTTTGAGCGTGGTAGGGGGCGTTGGTGCGGTTGAATAACAGGGGAGGGGCTTGGCCGTTTGGGGTGGAGTGGGCGAAGGAAAGGTGGGAGGGGAAGGTGAAAGACGATTTGATTTGGGCGAGCTGGGTGTCCATGTTATGGAGGATGGTGAATGCGGGGGATAAGGTCTCGGCAGCCTCAGGAGTCGTCTCAGGTTGAGGGGCAACAGGAGCGTTGGCAGTAGCGGGCGCTGTAGCCTTCACCCCCGACTTAACAGGAGCGGCCCGACGCTGGGGACGAGGATCCTCAGATGCCTCAGACTCGACATCTGACTGCTCAGAGTCCTCTGATGTGGGAGGGTGGACACCGAAGAATGCGTTCAGCAGGTTCTGTAGGTCTTGGTTATCGTGGCTAATGGGTTTAGGTTGTCTAAAGGGAAGGGTCAGGGTTGATTCGAGTGAGTGGAGAGGAGATACTGACCTGTTCTTGGCCTGGGCTTGAGCCAATCGCTGCTTCTCTTGCTGTTGACACTTCTCTGTCATAGCTTGAACAAAGGCTCTTCGCTTCTCCAGCTCTTGCTGCTTCCTCTCTTGTTCCTCCTGATTCCTCCTGTTCTCTTCCTCTTGCTCGATGGCTTGCCTTCTAGCGATAGCCTGAGCGAGCTGAGACTTGACAGAAGCCTCGTTGTCGGTGGGGGTGGGTTTGTCCGACCGGCAGCAGGCACCAGAGGTACACTGAGGGCTGAGGATGGGTACTGAGACCTCAGCTTCCTCGTGCTCGGACTCTTCCTCTTCCTCTTCGTCAGAGGGAGCCAAGTTGATACCGAAGAGAGCACTGAGGATGTTGTTGAGGTCGGTATGGCTCGGGGAGACAGGCTTGATAGCTCGGTGGTCTTGCCTGAGAACCAACGTTAGTATCTGCAGTGAACGTTGTGGAAGAGAGAAAACACACCTATTGTGCGCCTCCGTCTGCGCAAGTCTCTTCTTCTCTCGCTGTACATTCGCCTGCTCCATGGCACGAGCAAACACAGCTCGCCTCTCCTTCTCCTCCTCCCGCTTCCTCTCCTCCTCCTGCTTCCTCTTCTTCTCTTGCTCCCTCACAAGCGCCTGGGCAAGCTCAGCCTTGATCATCGCCTCGCGCTGAGCCTTGGCCTTGGCAGCACGAGCGGCTTCGCGAGCTTGAGAGGCTTTGAGCTGCTCGCGCTTCTGGCGGATGGCGGCGAGCTGGGCGAGGACAGCTTGTTCTTCATCGTCGAGACCAGAGTCGGACTCGTAGATGGGCTGTCGGGCGGGGGTGGGGGTGGGGGTGCGAGTGTGGAAGGGGTAGTGGTGGGTGGGCTCCGCGTAGAAGGGAGAGTAGGTGTAGTGGGGCTGGGTGGGGAAGGCATAGTCGAAGCTAGGCTCGAAGGTAGTGTAGAAGGGCATTGTGCTGACGTGGGTTGTGGTGGTTGTATTGTTGTTTGAATAACTTTGTGATTTGATGGATTGGTTGATGGTCAGAAGTGAGTATGGTCAGTGTCTTATATACCCTGGTCGGGCTGCGTCAGTGAATCCATGGTGTTCTCCCGCGATAACTCTAGAAACAAGTCGAATGTTGACGAACAGTGAAAGCAATTTCCAGAAACGCACAGAAAGATCTCCGTCGGGGGCCGAAATTACCGAAATGATTTCGCTGGAATGTTCTTCCGCAGTGTCGGCGTTCGCCGCCGATTTGAGCCGGTCATCATGTTACGCAACGAGGCCCTGAGCAAGTGGCGACGTCATGATCCTTCGACTTCCAGGGCGGCTGGTCTGGGCCTGCTGTGTCCGCCACTCTTCTCTTGCATGGGGCGAGTACGACGAGGACTCGAGGAGGGATATCGTGGAGCATGTCACATTGCACATCTCTGCACCCCCATCCCCATCGTGTCATCCGTCGCCATGCGCCATCTCGCAATTGGGTGTATGCAAATAACTGATTAACTTGTAGAAGCATCATGGTTCATTCCAGAAGACCGCTCAGGACTCAGTACTCAGGATCGCTGCAAGACCGATGCCAAGAATAAGCGCAATTGGAATTTGGCTCCGAGTTCTGTGTTTGGTATCAATTGGATTATTGGATAGATGATCGACAATCGACTTGAAGCATGTGGCCATGGGCCAATGACGCGAGACAACCCACCTTCCCGCTGCATGGCGAATGAGGCGATAGGATCCCGTCCGGTTGCCTCTTGGGGCTGGTTAATGTATTGCTATGAGACACTGCGAATAGTTGCAGGTCACGCATCTTGTCCATCTCTTTCCTTACCGTGCAACGCAAAGAACACCCGCACCACGTCGGACAGCTAAACGGGCGCCGTCTAGAGTCATACTCCAGCCAGTAAAAGTATTCCCCATCTCACTTGTCACGCTTTCATTGCTCATACCACTTCCCGGCCAGCCATTATTTGCTCCAAAAACGCAGCCATCCCAGCCAATCCTTTCAATCCACCACTTCACGTACATTGCGCTATGTTTTGCTAGCCCTTACTACATCCACCGTCATTCACCATTCTCGTCACTGTCCCTTCGCGACCACGCATTCAACTCCCCATCTACATCTACATTCCGGTCCGGCCTTGACGCTCAAAAGTACGTCCTTCTGTCATTCTCCCACACTCACGCTCACCTAAGCTCCAGCTACTGCTCAGAGTTCAGCACTACGCGAGTATACATAGCATCGCCGCCCGCCCGAACAAAAAAAGTCCCTTGTCACCATCTCGTCGCGGGACCCCGCGCCCTGCACTCGCCCGTCGCCGCAACCTGTGTATCGCTTGTTACGAGGTTCTCGACAACCGGTCTCGGTCTGAAAATCGTCACTTGAAAAAGAAAACAAGACACGTAGCGGTCCCTCCACGGCACGAGATCTCGCCAAACGCAAGCACCGGTTACAACGTTGCTGGCCTGCGGTCAGAGTTCCAGGCTCAGCACGACATTGCGTAGGGAGGCATCTTTCGAGGCCACTCCGGAGATACATAGCTCGGGCCATACCGCCTTGCGTTATATATATAGTCGCCTCTGCTTTCCCGGCCAACCACACCCCTCGACCACAGTGAGAAGGGTGAGTGATTTTTCCTTGCGCGTGTACTTGGTCTTGTCCTTTGATCTTTTGGCGTTTCATCGTTCTCCCGTCCCTGTGTCCCTCCCCCCTGGACACCTGGGTTCTCGAAGCTGGACGGCTCCTACTTTTGCCTGAAATGCCCCGAGGTGGGGATGATGTACCCTGCTGTCCCCCTCTGTGTGTCGTACATTCTGACGCCTTTGTCTGGTATTCGAGCAGTGGCGACATCGCGAATCCCCGTGCCAAGCTGACCTGTTGTTTGTAGCTCTGCAACGTGCTTCATATCCCTATATATATCCATAGCTCGACCTACATCCCACCCATACCCCCCACGCCGCTTTGACGCCTTTGCCCATCCGGCTATCTTTCACGCCTGCCCATTCGAGTCTAGCCCCGTCAAAACCACTAGGCACTCAGAGGTCAGAGTTCAAAAGTCCCCAGAGGCGTTACAAGTCCAGACTCCTCTATCCGAGAAAATATATCATACGTGAGTCTGAAGTGTTTCCTCGTTGTGAGCCTGGACCTATCAGCCTCATCTTTCCCAAAAAAATCATGTCCTCGTTCCTTACACACCCTGCCCTCCTTCGGGGCCTTCGGATAACAACACTGTTGTAAGACTTCTTGGGCTGTTGAACGTGCTCTCGGTTGTTTTGTCGTCCTGTCGCGGGGGTCTGTATTGTACCCGCAGGCGCTCTGCCTGGCGACTGGTCTAGTGGCGTGCACAAGAAGGGCCGGTCACCGAACACTGAAGCATACCGAGCGTTTGGCGTCAGATCCTCGTCTCCAGTCGATGATCCAGGCCGGCTTCTTCCGCCTTGTATCATGTTGAAGTGTCAGAAAGGGGTCGGTGACTATGGTGCGCTCCGAAGTGGCCGAGATTCTTAGACATCTCGTTCCATGGCGCCAGGCCGAATGTCGAGTTTTTTCGTGGATGGCTATATAACACGCTCTGGAAAGTGCGCTAACCCCACACAGTCATATCACCAGTCCACCTTGCTGTATTAGAGCCATATCTCCATCAAAGTTTCGTCCTTTGTCCCACCACGCAATCCTGTGCCACCACACTACAACAATCCTTCACAACTGCATTTCCATCATCTTGACACTATGGATATGGTAGAGCTTGGGATGGATACGGCTTGGTGCTTGGCTTGTTCAAAGCAATTGGTGAGTTCTCCCCCCACCTTTGTAAAAATCTTGTGACTGACGTGAACCCAGGACAATCCCAAAAGCACCTACTGTAGCGATGTATGTCGCCATCAAGACTCTTTACCCCTAGAAAACGCCCTCGACGTCGCCGAGATTACCTGGCCCTCAAGTATAGCTCCTCACTCTACCAAGACCAATGGCGACCGTCCCACCGTCCAGCCTTCCGGTCCTTTCGAGGAAGTCCTTACAGGGAACCAATTCCGAGGTCGTCGGGCGTACTCTTTCCCCGCCCACCAGACTCAAGAAGCTCCCCTTCTCCCTGGGTCCCGCCGGCACACGCAGACGCAAGAGACACTGCAGTTTATCCGCAAGAGCCATCGCGTATCTGCCACCTTGTCCCATAACGCCTCGCCCCACCTCGGGCCTGTTGTCGCTCCTAAAGCGTCCAAGGGCTTTGGCAAGTTGTCAAAGACGACGGGAGACAATACGCCCCTTGTGCCCGATTCTGTCTTTTGCTCAAATTCCGAGAGCAGCGACAACGAGTGCGTCGGTCAGTCGTCACGAAACATCGCTCGACGGATGTCGAGCAAGAGCGCCAGAGGCGACTATCTGTCTGAAACCATCCGGCTACCTAGAGCACCTGTCCCTCGCCGTTTCTCTGTCAACCTCATGATGGAGCCCGGCGCCCCCCGTGCTCGACCAGCTCTCGAACCGGCCTACACCCTTCCGATCGCTCTTAAACCCTCGAGCCCCGTCGCGCGCATGGTAGCTACATCCGCAGGCTCGCGGTCCCGAGAAGATATTGTCAGCTGGCTCAACGAAGTCAAGTGTCTGCCAAATCAGGCGGATGGCGATACCGACTTGTCGTTCAACCGCCACGATACGATCACTCCCACCCAAGAGCGGGTGGAATGGGTGGGCGAGAACGGGCTCAGCACGACGCCGCAAGGTCGCTTTGGCTCGGCGCTTGCTGGTTTGAGCACAATTCGGGGGTTTAGCGCTGTCAGAGCGTTTGCGAGCGCCGCAGGGTCGAACCCACCAACAACGACAGCTTCGGCTGCTATCGCGGCCGCAAAGAACCCCGAGATGCCCAGCACTATCCAAGCCACATCCTCACAGGCCGAAGTCTCGCGCGTCGCAGTCACCGCGGTGTCGACAGAGCATGACGACTCCGGCTATGTCACGAGCCACGTCGGTGCCACCCCTACGCTATCGACCATTTCGCTCTCAGAAGTCATGGACCCATTGACGGATGGTGGGGAGAATGTCGACTTTTTCAGCGACGAGCAGAGCGCGAATGGGGATTATTCGTATGTGCAGCGTCGTCTTTCCGCTGCCATCACTGGCCCCAACGCCCCCAAGAGCGGTGACGAGTCGGCCAAGCTGGCAGACCCGCCAAAGGCCTCCTCAGCCATTCGCCCATTGACAAACACGGCACGAGCCATCTGGAGCTTTTCCAACTACCTCCGTTCTTTCGCCCCACTTTCCATCTCTTCCGTGGCACCTTCTCCCCGCAAGGCCCAGTCACCAATCTCTCCCAAGAGCTCTACGCCGGCCAAACCGCCATCCCCCCGCGCACACACCTCACCCTCGTCCATCCTCCACGACCAACCCAAAGATATTTCTATCGCCCCCATGCCCACTGCCCATCAGCCCCCGCCTCCCGAGCCGGAGAGCCCGGTCAAGGAGATGGTTCGCAGCTTGCCGATGAATATCGTGCATCCTGCCGGTATGGAGAACGTCGCACTCGAGCGGCGGGTGCAGAGGGAGCAGGAAGCCGAGATGGGTATGGATGCGCATTGGTCCCCGAGCAAGTCGCGTAGTCGAGCGAGGGGGAGTGCGAAGGGGAGCAGGGTGAGGGCTGCTAGTCCTAGCAGGAGTAGGAGTCGGGGAAGGAGTCAAGGGAGGAGGTCCCGGGCGAGAGAGATGTCCAAGGTCCGAAGGAGTCACTCGAGGCATGGCAGGAAGGTGTCTTACGATGCCGATGCTAGCGGTGAGGATGAGCCCGAGGACGATGATGCGAGAGGAAGAAGCAGGCGGCCAAGGGGTCTCAGGATGGAGTCTATGGAGGATGATAGACGGGGGCGAGATAGGACTGTGAAGGCTTAGGGTCTGTTTGAGGGTTTCCGGGTTTTGGACTTTATGTTTTCCATCTGTTCACCTTGTGTCAAAGACATTTATCTGTAGCATTTTCACTACCAGTCATTACGTAGCATAGTGCATTCTCAATCTCCATTCATAGGCCGCTTGTTTGCCGCCAAAAAAAGCCTTTGGGCAATCATTCAGTAAACACATCTCCAAAACATGTAACGTTGTACCATAGCAATACACTAACATTCATTCCATACGCTCATGACAATAGACTAAAGTCGCAATCGCTGCAGGTCGAGATGGTAATACGAGTATATATGTGGTATGGAAGACGAAGGGAAATAGGCACAGGGAAAGACTTGAGAGAGGATAACAATATCGTAAAAAGGCGTCTCGCTCAAGGAAAGGAATATGTAGATGAAAAATGTCCTTAGAAACTTGGTAGTTGGGTCGGAGGCTGAGGGGAAAGAGACAGGTATGGGGTGCCGAACCTGGGATGACTTTCGACGACGGGAGTGGTTGGAGCGCTAGCGGGGTGTCTTATAGGAGGCGCAGAGAGGAGGGGGCTAATGGGAGGGACGTATGACCGGGTCTGGCCAGCTGGGCGAGAGCCGAGCGACAGGGAGGCAGGTGCCGATGGTTGAGAGTCCATAAAGTGCTTGAGCTCCGCGAAGCAGACTGTATCATTGTTAGTGTTTGCGTACATGTTTGAGGATGAGTACCTACCTCGGAAAGAAGACTCGGCGCCCTTCTCCTGAGTCAGAGTCACAAGAGTGTTGGTCTGCCCGCCAGTAGTCTGGCTGGCTCTTGAGAACTCTACTCTGAACCTGACACCTCTGGCCGTCACATTCCCGCCATCTTCCCTCACTTCATCCAACTTGCATTTGAGCGCCTTGTGCCCATCCAGTTCAACCACAGCCACCCTCGTCCCGAGACTCGACAACACCCGTCTCACCCGCTCCCTCGTGGTGGCAACATTGTCGTGTGATAGCAGACTGCATGTAGCAGGCTTAAAGTTGAACAAGTTGTTGAACCACGATCGCTTGGGCGAGTTGACGGATGAGGTGGCAGAAGGAGGGCCGAGGTTGTCGGAAGAGTAGCCCGTGGGGTCGACCGTGAGCTTTTTGTTCTTCTTGAGCATACCAAAGCCGTCCAGACCACCACGAGCCTTGAATCCGCCAGAAGATCTGCTGCCCCAAGAGCTCATGCTCGCATCCGAAGGAAGCTCGGCATTGTCAATGATGACATACGAGTTGTCTCGATGCAGCAAACTCTCGACAGGCTCGTAAGCGACAGGACTCGGCGGCAGGGGTCTAGAGGCAGAAGTAGGTGCTGGGCGGGTCGCTCTCGGAGGAGGTGCAGGGGCAGTACGGTCTGATTGGAATGCCGGTGTCTGCAGCTCCATGGGGCTGTAGCTGAACTGGGGTGACTCCATGGGCTGATAGGAGCCCGCGGAGGAACCCCTGTATGACGAGCCTTGGGAAGACGCATAACTCCACCTCTGCTGGTTGGGCCCTGATATAGGGTGTAGGCTTGGCCGGTTGGAGGGTGCACCAAGACCGAGGCCGGCAAGAGGGCTCGTGGGGGCGATGGAAGCAGTGAAGGTAGAGTGGATGCTGGCACCGTCACCATCGGTCTGGTCGTCGGTAGCATCCTCGAATTGACCATGCTCTTCAATCTTTTCAGTCTGCGCATCGGGAGTAACGGCACGGGCAGGAGGGGCACTGTTGGGCGTGATACCAGCAGCAAAAGCAAGGCAAGCTTGGTAGTCGCTACCAAGAATGGCATCACTGGTCTCGGAAGACTGTGAAGCCACGGACGACCGCACGCTGAATCGGTTCATCTGATCAGCAATCTGGTTGAGGAACGTCTGCAGGTTGACGTCCTCCACTTGCGGCGCATTGATGATGGGAGAGGAGGGGGCGATGATCTCAGAGGTAGGTCTCGACGAGGTGACTTTGGCGGTAGGAATTTCCTTGGTGGGAGTAGCGCCTTGGAAGACGATGGTCGGGGCGTGAGAAGCGGTACTGTTGGCAGAGTTGTCCCTGTTTGTAGGCGGCCGAGGACCGGCAGGACCTCGGGTCTGCTGTACGCCCTTGGTGGGCGTGGGCGACTCCATGGGAGACTTGGCACGAGACGCCTTGTTGGGCGTAGGAGCCTGGGGTCGCTTCACCGGAGTGTTGGCAACAGACTCGTTCTCGCCGAGAGGCGCAAGTCGTGGCTGCTGAGCCTGGTTCGCGGTACCCTTTCTGCGAGCAGGGGAAGGTCCAGGCTGTCTGCGGGCTTCACGACGCTCTCTAGCTTCGAGATACGCCTCTTCTTCCATGTTGTAGTTTTCAAGATGCTTATTGCGATACTTGATGAGCAGGTGGTAGATGACCTTTTCCCATGTTTTCCTGAGATGAATTAGTGGTGCTACAATAATTTACGAGATTGACTCACTCTTTGCACATCAACGCGTCGACAATCTGATCATCGGGCGCACCGGCCCATAGAGTCTTCAAGTTGCCCATGATATCGGGATCAATCTCCTCTGGCGAGTTGACGGGTCGCTCCACTTCATCAAAAGTAGGAGGCGTGACACGCGCTCTGCCGGGAATGGGTCGGGGAGGACGAGAAACATAGAATGGGTGGGTCAAGATCTCGCTCATCGTGATACGCCTCTCGGGGTCCTTTTCAAGCATTCGTCGAAGCAAGTCTCGCGCGGGATCCTTGATCTCATCGGGCATCTCAAACACTCCAGCCTTGACCTTTTGCAAAAGCGCGCGGATATTGTCGTCGTCAAATGGTAGTCTACCAGTGAGGAGAGCAAACAGGATGATACCGCACGACCAGATGTCGGATGCGGAGCCATGGTAAGCTTTGCCCTATACGACGCGTCAGTTTTTTTCCACCTCGAAGTCCGACGCGCAACGCACAGCAACAATCTCGGGACTGGCGTAATGGGGACTTCCACAACTCGTCTCGAGCATTTTGTCTCCGGCTTCCCAAGCAGCCATGCCGAAATCGGCCACCTTGATGTTCTTGTCCTTGTCAAGCAAAAGGTTTTCGGGTTTCAGATCTCGGTGGCAGACATTGAAGCGATGGCAGTAGTCGACGGCATGGATGATTTGTTGGAAATAGTGGAGCGCTTCTGATACGGGAAGTCGACCGCGCTTGACGAGATAGTCGAACAGCTCTCCCCCAGGAACATACTCCATGATGAGGTACAGCTCTGAACTTGTCTCCCACACGTCGTAGAGGTTGAGGACGTTGGGGTGGTCGATGAGCTTCATGATGACGATTTCCCTCTCGATACCGAGGAGCACCTTGTCTGCCTTTGCGCCTGCCTCTGACATGGACATGCGCGAGTTGAGGATGAGGCCCTTGGGGACGATTTTGATGGCAGCATATTTGCCAGTCACGGCGTGTTTGGCGATTTTTACCCGGCCTACACACAGTCAGTCACCGTGTATATCGTGCACGGACGGGATCGCCCGTCTGTTTGTATGTGGGGTATGAGATGAGAGGTGGCATACCTGAGCTGCCCTTTCCAATCGTCCGGCCTATTCTCCACTGGCCGATAAACTGCTTTTCATCCCTGTTATTCGACCCATTCGTGCGCTTTCTCTGCACCGTCGCCTGGCGTGATGTCGAGGCCGTCGCGTCCTGAGCGGATGACATGGTGATGGTAGTGATATGTGCGTTGACAAGAGACTGAGGGTGGATGGATGGCGATTGGGCGGGTGGTGAGCTGCGGTGTGCTGTGTTTGCACTGGAAAAGACGCGGTGGGGAATGGGGAGATGGCAGGGGTGGGCGGTGGCGGGGTGTCTCGGTGTGTCGAGTCAGTGGGGTGAACGAGTGACTGGAGTGAGGGCGGGCACCAAGAGACAAGAGACGAGACTGAGAGAGATGAAGAGGGAGTCAACAAGGGTTAGTTACGAGAGCCAGCTGTTTCTGTGCGGGATTTCGAATCCCCGCCAGCAGCAGAGCCCAAAAGTCAGCCGCGCGTTCCAGACGCACCCGCCCACTTTCGCCCCCAAAACACGTGCATTCCCTGGCAGATTCAGGGAGGATCGCGATATGCCACGGCTGGTGGTTCAGGGAGTCCGGCTCAACCCCTGAGTTGGTTTGTTTATCTCCGTCCTGGTGCGCGTCTGGCTTTGTCGTCATGGATCCAGCTTTGGGTTTGCTTTGTTTTGTACACACTAGAGCTTGTCGATTGCATCTGCATGTGATCGTGGAGTCATTTACCTCTTGTTATGCGGGGTGGCTTGGGCAAGGGCACGTAGGCGATGAATCTTGTATCTCCACAGCGCGCCGTCGACCATCCAATGTAACATAATCAGGTGTATTCATCAATGTCGTACAACGTAAGCAGGTAGAAATCATAAGAGCAAAGAGCAAAAGCAATCCCTGTCAAAGTCCATTCTATATACAAACCAAAAGTCTCCATGAGCAGCATGTAGCCAGTAGCTTGGCCTGGTAGATCGCTGGGTGCCAGATTGCAGAGTGTGAGAAGACTCTTGTTGGGGGACTGGTGAAAGTCAAGGATCGGCGAACGTGGGTCAGATGATGACCCATGAATCTCAAACCATGTATTTGTCCTACGAGCGTCGAGTGAGCAAAGTTGTCGATTGTAACTAGAGTCGACATACCTTCCAGATCCACGACAGTCCTACTGTGCTTTTGGACCCCTGCGTCACCTGCCATCATTGTCAGCTCAAAGATCTATTCATGACTCTGACAAACTCACAGCCATCCTGTACCACTTGGCAGCCTCCTTCATATCCTTCTTGACCCCGTTTGACCCCTTCGATAGCAGATATCCGAGCTCTGCTGTACATCAGCGCCATCCCCATGCAGGTCTACACACTCACGTTCTTGTGCCGCTATATCACCTAGATTGGCCGCAAACCGCAGATACTGCAATGCCACATCCGGAGCCTTCTTTACACCCACGCCACCCAAGAAGCAGTTGCCTGTTTCAAACATGCCCATCGCGAGATCTCGCTGATGCCCTTATCAGCCATACGTTCCCCCGTCGGGAATGTAGACTCACAGCCATGTGCTTCTTCTGCTGTGCTGTCAGGCGCATCTGACCCGGCGAATTGTGGAACGCAAGCCCGCCCTCAGCTAACGACTGATCGCACGCCTGCCGAAGTTCCACAAACGCCCTCCTATCATCTATACTCACTCCCCACCCATGTCTCAGTGCCAGTCCTGCCTAAAGTCAGCACAGCACGTCAAGTGAACAGAAAACCACTCACCCCAGTACATTCTTCCTGTCGGACTACCTGCTTCAGCAGCTTTCATAAAGTAATAAGCACTCTTTGGCAAGTCGCCTTTGCCTCGCGCTTCGATCCCCATATGTACCAGCTCGTCCGCCGACCGGCCTGTGATGGAAGCTGCCGGCGTCGTCGGCGTACGCGCAGCAGGCTTCGACACTGTCCTCTCGCGCACTTCCAATGCCGACGTCGGTACTTTGACATACTTTCCCTTGGGGAACACCAAGTCGCTATCACTCCCCGCTTTGGGCGTTGAGGGCGATGACTCTGTCTCACCGCCGTCGAGGTCGTAGAAAGAGTAGCCGGATTGGTACGAGTGATGCGACTGGCGCCCTGAAGATGTACCGAGCGAGGTGGAAGGCCCGTCGTCTTTCAGAGGTACTTTCATGGGGGCCATCAGAGGGGGCATGGGATGTTGCTGGGCGGGAAAGTTGGAGGTCTGCGGTGACCCCGAGGTCCCCGGCCGCTCTGTCCATCTGGCGTTGACACCCGGTCTCGCCTCATCTCGAAGCGTATCCGACCGGTTTGGCAGCCCTTCCACCTGCCTCCCATGCATGGACGGCTGCGAATTTTGCTTGGTCATCTTCCACCCGCCCTTTGTCGGCGACGGGGGTAATCTCGCGTTGAGTGGTTCACGAAGAGGCGCCGGGGCAGTGGGCGGTGGTGGCGGCGGTGCTCTCTTTGGCAGTACCAGCGGCTTCTTCAACTTCCCACTTCTCCCACTCTCGCTGTATTCGCTCTTCGACATTGCCGTCCTCAACTTTGACAATCTCTTACTTGGACTCAGGCCACGCACACCGCCCCGCCCGTCGATCCCATTCGTAGCCTGTGGCGCTCCGTCCGTGTCTAGCCATTCAAATTGACTCTCGTCGTCTCCCCAATCACTCCCCTGTTCACCATGTATACTCGCCCAGTCTTCTCCGACCTCTGTCTCTTCAGGACGATGTGGCGCCGGGGCGTCTTTCGCAAGCGCATCTGCCCGGACTTGTGATTGTGTGCGTCTGGGAGGGACAGGGCCGAGGACGAATGGTGCCGTCTTTTGTGTTGATTCGATAGTAGGGGATGAAGGGCGAGAAGAAACATTAAAGCTCCGCTTGGGAGCCAATGGGGGTTTGATAGGCACCGTAGTGGCGGTGGTCGCAATGGTATTGTTGCTCCATGCCGAAGGCATTTTTGATGCACTCGTCGCATTCGAGCTCGTCGGTGTCGCCCTTCCACCTTCAAAATACCCCTGCTGACCCGACGTAGACGCTTTAGGCGTCGCAGGGGCCTCTTCCTCTTCCTCGTCGGCCTCTGGCTCGCCCCCTTCGTCTGATTGAGGGATGGTATAGTCGCTCGCTAGAGAGGCGATGGACATGATTGAATTGGGTCGAAAGAGGTTGAATTGGAGGGCAGGGACGGGAGGGGCGATGACTTCCGACTCGGCGGACGATAAAGAAGCATTCCGACTGGAGCCAGCCTTTGCCATTAACGTTAGCTCGTACACGCCTTCCCTTCTGGACTATGCTGATCTCACGTACATGGCTCTTGGCACTCCTACTCTCCTGCTCCAGTCTTGCCAGAGGACTCTTGAAGTTGCTGACAGCGTCTCTCGCCGACGGCATCCTTCGGAGACTTGGTTGTCGAGGGTGGAACGACTCTGGCGCTTGGGACGGCAGGCGTGGCTGGGCGATGCTCGACATGATGCTCTGTCTTGTTGTCTAGAGCTCTTGCAGTAGTGTCGGCCAGGCTGATGGAGAGATAAACCAACGAGGTATACGGGCTAAGAGAGTGAGATGCGAAAAAGACAGAGATGAGTGGCGCTGGATCTGATATTGATCGTGACGTCGCGTATTTGTTTACCCTTTGCGATGCGACTATCTCGGGGCTAAAGCAGTGCCAGCGGCCGGTGGCGAGAGGGCTCTTTTCTGGTGGGGATGGTTTAGAGAAGCAGGAGTGTTAATGGCAGGGAAATAATGCATCACCAGCATCCGTCGCTGGCTGTGTTTGTCCTCCTTTCAAATTGGGTAAAATGGGGGCCAGGGTCATTTGTTTCAGCGCAATCGTTTGAGCGAGGCACAGGCCTGAATACCTCCTTGCGCCACTGTCCTGACACCTGGCCATGGGGGGGCAATGCGTTGCTGCTGGGGGCTTGTGCACTGCGTACAGTGGGATATCCTGGCAACAAGGCAATAGCGCTTGTCGCTGGACAGGAGATACGTACGCGACGCGTTTTGTTCGAGATCACAGTAGTGAATCTACATGACACGATCTGCAGGAGCAGGGAGCGCGGAATATTTCGCCATGGATGCTGGACAATCGGAGCAAGATGGACGACATGCACAAAAAAAGTGACATGCACTCGGACAAGCCCTCGGTGACTCGGGCCAGTATCACGTGGAAGCCACGTGTAAGGAACGGAACCAAACTGACCCGAGATCTTTCTGTGCGTTTCTGGAAATTGCTTTCGCTGTTCGTCAACATTCGACTTGTTTCTGGAGTCATCGCGGGAGAACACCATGGATTCACTGACGCAGCCCGACCAGGATATATAAGACACTGACCATACTCACTTCTGACCATCAACCAATCCATCAAATCACAAAGTTATTCAAACAACAACACAACCACCACAACCCACGTCAGCACAATGCCCTTCTACACTACCTTCGAGCCTAGCTTCGACTATGCCTTCCCCACCCAGCCCCGCTACACCTACTCTCCCTTCTACGCGGAGCCCACCCACCACTACCCCTTCCACACTCGCACCCCCACCCCCACCCCCACCCGACAGCCCATCTACGAGTCCGACTCTGGTCTCGACGATGAAGAACAAGCTGTCCTCGCCCAGCTCGCCGCCATCCGCCAGAAGCGCGAGCAGCTCAAAGCCACTCAAGCTCGCGAAGCCGCTCGTGCTGCTAAGGCCCAGGCTCAGCGCGAGGCAATGATCAAGGCTGAGCTTGCCCAGGCGCTTGTGAGAGAGCAAGAGAAGAAGAGGAAGCAGGAGGAGGAGAGGAAACGGGAAGAGGAGAGGGAGAGGCGAGCTGTGTTTGCTCGAGCCATGGAGCAGGCGAATGTGCAGCGAGAGAAGGAGAGACTCGCGCAAGCCGAGGGTCGCAAGAGGTGAGATTCATTCTTTGCCATATCCAATCAGTCACTGACAAGCTATCAACAGGCAACAGAACGAGGCCATCAAGTCTGATTCCCCAAGCCACGTCGACATTAACAACATACTCAGTGCCCTCTTTGGTATCAACCTGGCTCCTTCTGACGAAGAGGAGGAGGGAGAGTCCGAGCACGAGGAGGCGGAGGTTTCAGTACCCATCCTCAGCCCTCAGTGTACCTCTGCTGCCTGCTGCAAGTCGGACAAATCCACTACCACCGACAACGAGGCTGTTGTCAAGTCTCAACTCGCTCAGGCTATCGCCAGGAAAGAAGAGATCGAGCAAGAGCAGGAGAGAAAGAGAAAGCAAGACGAAGAGAAGAGGAAGGAGCAGGAAGAGGAGAGGAAACAACAGGATGATGTGAGGCGACGAGCATTGTCCCAGGCTATGGAGAAGAAGGCCCAGAGAGAGAAGGAGCGATTGGCTCGAGCTCAGGCCAAGAACAGGTTAGTTTATCTTCTTTCCATACGTCCGAATTATCACTGACCCTTTCCCTCAGGCAACCCACACATAATGAAGGTCTCCAAAACCTACTAAACGCATTCTTTGGTGTCAACCCTCCCACCTCCGATGACTCTGAGCAATCGGATGTCGAATCTGAAGCGTCTGAGGCTCCTCGTCCCCAGCGCCGGGCCGCTCCTGTAAAGTCCACAAACGCCCCTGCGCCTAAAGCTCCTGCCGCCCCTCAACCCGAGGCAACAGCCTTCACAGCTACTCCCGAGCCTTCCGAGACCCTGTCCCCTGCATTCACCATCCTTCGCGACATGGACACCCAACTCGCCCAGCTCAAATCCTCTTTCACCTTCCCCTCCCACCTCTCCTTCGCCCACTCCACTCCAAACGGCCAAACCCCTCCCCTGTTATTCAACCGCACCAACGCCCCCTACCACGCTCAAACCAACGCTCTCCTCCAGCTGTTGCTCCAAGCTGATACAGTCATCTCGGAAGGACAGCCGGAAGTGAGAAAGGCGAGAAAGGATATGGTGAAGAAGGTTGAGGCGGAGATAAGGAAGATGGAAGAAAAGAGGGATGAGATCTGGGAGGAGGTTAGGATCAGGAGAGAGAGTGGGGAAGAGGCGGAGCCGGATGAAGACGAGGAGAGGTCTTGGAGCGACTGTTCGTCAGTAGTAAAGAAGCAATAGATTGGTTGTAGATAGATAGAACACCGATTGTACTGTACTGGAGTACTCGCACATGTAGACGTCTCTTGTACTCTGATGTGACAGTTCCACCGTTCGGCGATAGGTAGCACGTACAATCCAAACTTCATGCCAATCACTTGTTAGTCAAACATATGTATACGGATCCGAGAAAGCGAAAGTTGACCGCTGACTCCAGGCTGTCTCATACCAATGTAACATTTGATGTCGTTCTTTTCTTCCTCTGTACAGTCGGTTGTCTCAGCGCCTCAACGCTACTTCAACGGCTCTGAAACCACATCGCCAGGATCAGTCTCTGATAGAACAATCCATCACATGACCTTGCGCCTCTCGATCTCATCTTGATGAAGCACCGTGCTCCCTTCCGCAGCTTCTGTCCACTCCCCGCCATCACCGTAGTGTCGTCGACAACCATGCCCCAGCATCATTGAGACTCTACTCAGCTGTGACCGAGCCTAAGACCAGAGTGCCCATTGCTCCGTCGTGACCGGAATACATTATGGAGGTATGTGCCATCGTACTGCTTCAATTGCCTCTCTGACCAAACGACACGATCATAGATTCCCTCCCGTATTTCCAGTGGTCTGTCCAGAAGGCGCAGAACACGCGTCGTCTTTCACGTGATATCAGAAATTGCCACCCCGTCCTCAGTGAACTGCATCGCTTGATGACTGCACCGTTGTCGCTGACGGTGTACCGTCCAGGAAAAGCTCTCAGACACTTTCGACGCCGCTATCCCGACGAACCGTACGTCGGTGCCGCCGACACCGCCAGGATGATCATTGCAAAGAACTCGGAATACCACTTTGATATATTGGAGGCGCTTCATCGGCAGTACGCTAGGACAGTAGTGCTGACCATCTACGATGTTCTTGGAACGTTGGATGATATCGATGAAGAGTTACAACGCTACCCTCATCAATCTCTGCCTCCATCTAGCCTCAAAACGTCCACTCTGACGCTGGATCTGAGAGAACACCTCGAGGTCAGTGGTCTGGCGTTCGTCAAATGACACCGATTGATTGCGGATGGATGAGGGGGGTGTGGCACTAATTCATATCGGAACGGCTCTTTGATAGCTAATTCATTGCCCCGGAAGCCTATCATCAGTCCCATGTTCGATACCAAGATGTGACCTGGCGTATGTATCATATCTGCATTAATTTTACTATCGTACAATTGTAATGAAGAGGATAAAAGACCGCGAAACTAAATAACATGAGAATCATCCGCCGCCAATCTAAGCATGAACCCAAGCCCCCAAGGTCTCCGCCCAAGCCGCCAAACCCTCCTTCGAGGTCTCTCTCAAAGCCGCCCTCTTGGGCACAACCATCCCCTCGCCCGATCCGGGTGTCTTGACGGCATCAGATGATTCCGAGCTGACGAGAACACCGAAACCGGGTCCACCGAGGGTGGTCAGGTGGGGTTGGAATCCGTGGCCTTCGAGGGTTTGGATGAGCTGTGTGAGAGTCTCTTCGGGATAGTCTGTATCTTGTCAGTATAGTCCATTTAAAGAGTCCAAACACTCACTGTCAGGGATCAATGTCAAGGCACAACCACCACCACCAGCCCCGGTCAACTTGGTAGCCAAGCCAAACGGCTCCTGTCCCGTCGACGCCACAATCATCTCCAACGCAGGATGCGACACACCGAGCTGTACCAAGTGACCATGGTTCTCCTTGATCAGACCTTCCAAACGCTTGACGAGCTCCTGCCTGGGCACAGGCTGGGCGCCGCCGAGGAGGGTGCGCGCTTCGTCAGAGATGGACTGGATAGAGTCGAGGATGGGGTCGACGACATGGGGCTCGGCGAGGCGTTTGTTGGTGACGCCCACGACGAGGGATTTGGTGTCTCTGGGGACGAGGGTGTTGGTGAGGAGCAGTCGGACAGAGGAGAATTGGTGAAGACCGTCCAGACCACCTTGGCGCCCACCGACAGATCTGGTAAAGGCCACAGCACCGCCCCTGACAGCGACGGCATTGTCGATGCCACTGGGGTTGCCGTGAAGCACCTTTTCGGCGAGGAACGCCCAGCTGTCAACGAGGTCGGTTTCCTCGGGGGAGCGAGCGGTCGCGGAAATGTATTGGCGGGCGATAAGGAGGGAAGAGGCGATGCAAGTGGAGTAGGCAGCTGATGAACCCAGACCCGCAGAGATGGGGAGATTGGAAGAAGCGGTAAAGGTGGCAGCGATACTGTACTTGGTCAGTAGAGCTCATTGAAGATGATTGACACTCACGCATTGCTTTCGCCACCAAAGATCACCATGTACAAGTACAGGAAAGCAACAGCAGCACCGATACCAGTCTTGCCAACTTCGACATGCTGGTTGACCGCGCCTTCTACAGCCTGCAAGAGAGCAGCGTCGAGATCCTTGTCGGCGACGCGCTTGTCGTTCCTGGAATGGACCGGCAGCAGACCCCAAGGCAAGCTGTGAATATCCCACTCGAGTTCGACACCGATGTTGGGCACATCCAGAGCCACCTTGCCGTCGCTGCGAGGAGAAAGGACAGAGAAGCATCGGAGGTCGACACTGGTGGCGATGGCGGTTACACCGTGCACAACGGCGTGCTCGCCAAACAAGATCACTTTGCCCGGGGCAGAGACGACGATATCGTCCTTGATGGACTGGTACTCCTTGGAGGGCTCGCCAAGACCGAGGCTCTGCTTGACACCAGTCACAAGTTTGTCAACGACAGTGGCATCCGACGGACGCTTGAACCCCTTGGCACGCTCGAGAATCCATGCCTCGGTGTCTTTAGCGTACAGCTCAGCTGCTTTGGAGTGGGTGACGGGAATGTAGGACGCATTGGGGACGATGGCGCCGGACTGAAGGAGAGAGTGCTCGAGATCGGTGATCAGGTCTCGAGGGTCTTCGATACCGACACAAAGACGGATCAAGTTTTCGGGAAGGCCTCGTTCGGCCCGGACGGCGGGAGAGATGGAGGCGTGGCTCATCAGACAAGGCATACTGATCAAGCTGTTGACAGCACCGAATGACACACTGATACCCCAGATACGGGTTCCGCCCACAATTCTCTCACTCAGCTCCTTGTCTCCAGTCTTGAAACTCAGAACAGCACCAGCACCAGTCGCCTGCTTGTAGTGAACGTCTCTCATGGGGTGAGATTTGAGTCCGGGATAGTTCACTTCGAAGCCGAAAGAGTCGAGATAGAGCGCAACCAGTTGGGCAGTAGCCATCTGCCTGTCCATCCGGAGTGACATGGTCTTGACACCTCGGAGGAGGAGGAACGAGTCAAAGGGAGCAAGTCCAGAGCCGACAGAGTTGATCAAGAAGGCGATGTCCTTGCAGACGTCGGTTCGGGAGGCAGCAACGATACCGGCCATGAGGTCGTGGTGACCAGAGAGGTACTTTGTACCAGAGTCGTAGACGATATCGGCACCGAGCTCGAGAGGTCGCTGAAGGTAGGGGGACATCATGGTGTTGTCCACTACGACGAGAGCCCCGGGAGATGCAGCGTGGACAGCGTCCGCAATCTCACGAAGGTCGGCGATTCGGAGCAGCGGGTTGGTGGGAGATTCCAAAAGCACCATCTTGACTCTGCAATGTGTCAGCTACGTACTTGTACCAGGGAGTGTGACTCACTTGTTGCCAGCCCCAAGGTGAGGCAGGAGCTTCTGGACCTTGGTGGTATCCACATGACGGACATCGACTCCGCCGTGGGTTCCAAGATATGTCAAAAGACGATTTGTGCCGCCATAAATGTCGTCACCCGCGATGACAGTCTCTCCTGGCTTGACGAGTCGGAGGATAGTGTCGAGACAGGTCATACCGGTTGACAAGGCGAACGCTTGGGTCGCACCGTACAGCCTGGCAAGGTGGTTCTCTGCCGACAGTCAGCTTATCTCCAGCAGCTGCAAGGCGTCAAGCTCACCCAATGCACTCCTGGTGGGGTTGCCCGATCTGGTGTAGTCGTAAGAGCCGTCCAAGCCCTTGAAGGTGGCAGTCTGGTAGATGGGGGTCGAGCTTGCGCCATACTGATCCTTGGTGTCTACGTTTGCGCAGAGGGTGGAGAAGTGCCAGTTGTGCTGTGGCTGGTCTGCGGGGGACTTTGCCGAGTAGATGGAGGTGGCGAGGGAGCTCTCGCCGGGGGTGGAGGGGGTCGTCATGTTGGATAGAAAAAGTTGACCCAGTGTATCTCTACTTATCAACAGGTCGGCCTTCCAAAATTACGAAGAGGCCACATTGCAGCATCCGCGGCCCTTCGGCTTCGATGACTCGACAGCGGCGCACGCCGCTATTCGTTATCACCCTTTACGTAACGAGTGACTACCCTCGCCAACGCCAAACAAAAGTTGCCGCATTGGGCGAAATCATCCCACTTACCCAATCCTTCTCAGCCTGGGTGTCATCTAGAAGCAGGAGAATATATTATGCTATCCCGGATCCTTCGAGCATCTTCTTTCTCGCCTCTCTCATGGGAACGATTACTCTATCAAAGCCGGCCATCTCACAAGTACAAAAGGGACTAGTCTTTGCCATCTTCTTCGCCACTATCGCATTTCTCTACCCTTTCCTCCCCAACAACTACCACAGCCCAAGCAGCAGCAACACATCAGACATGTCTATCAGTCGTCAAGTCGCCAAGACCGTCTTTGCCCACGAAGTCTCTGAAGGGGCTGGTGCCCGCGTAAGACGATCAATCGGTACGAAGGAGCTCCGGAACCTCACTCCGTTCTTGATGTAAGTGCCTTGCCCCATCCGACTTGTACTGGCTGACTCTTGGCAGGCTCGACCACTTTACGATCCACCCTGGAGCCGGATTCCCCGACCACCCTCACCGAGGGATGCAGACTCTGACATGGCTCTTTAGGGGTATCTTTAACCACGAGGACTTTCTCGGGAACAAGGGCGAGTAGGTGACTTTCACCTTCAAGGAGTATGTATATGCTGACGATAGGTCAGACTGCGAGCTGGTGATGTTCAATGGATGACTGCTGGTGAAGGTATCGTCCACTCTGAAATCCCCTGGTTCGACCCCGACCCCAAGAAGAGAGAGCCTGTCGAGGGCTTGCAGCTCTGGATCGATCTCCCCTCGAAACTGAAGTACATCAAGCCAGAGTACTATGACCGAAAATCGGCAGAGTGAGTAGTCTACCTCACAGTATGAGCGTTCATAGCTGACATGTTACTAGCATCCCCGTGGTAACCCCTGTTGAGGGTGTCAAGGCGACCGTTCTTTCTGGCGAGTCTCACGGTACCAAGGGGACAGTCACTCCCGCCGGCGGCGCTTGGTATATCGACTTTAAGCTCGAGAGACCCGGTGTTTCCGTATTCCAGCCTCTTCCCGAAGGTTACCAGGCATTCATCTACTGTACGTATCCCTCACGCACCTTCTCCGCATCATTGACTGACTATTCCCGGGCAGTGGTCAAGGGCAAGCTCCAGATCGGCGAAGACAAGAAGCAATACGACAAGTTCAACCTCCTCGTGCTATCAACCGAAGATGGTCAGTCCGGTGTCCGCCTCACTCGGCCTGCCGACGCTGGAGACGAAGACGTCCACGCCGTGCTCGTCGCTGGCAAACCCCTCGACCAGCCTATCGTCCAGGTAAGTACTTTCTTTGATTTTGCGTCATGGTGGCTAACGATCACGTAGTACGGCCCCTTTGTAGTCAATACGCAACAAGAAGCTCGTCAGGCCATCTTTGATTTCCAAACGGGCTCCAACGGGTTCGAGCGGGCGCCCGGGTGGAAGAGCGACATTGCAAAGGAATTTGACAGGCAATACAGGTAGAAGCACCTTTGTCACTCGGAAATCTGTATATACGTATAGCATAGCACATCATGAGCTCGCAATTTCATATCATGCAATTGGATCCTTCACGCCAAAGGACGTCCCTTTTTTCAATGAGATCTGTGCGCGAAACCACACTTGCTCACGGTTTTCAAAACAAGATAAATGGATTAGGGATACATCGCTGGCTCAAGCGGAAGACTAGACAGATGATATCATGCAAGAACGCCCCTTCATACATTCTCTTCTTAAGCGTCTGCAGCCTCAAGCGCCGCGTTTGCCTCATTGTCGGCCTTCTGGATCTTGGCCTCTTCTAGCAACCTAGTCGCTTCTTTCACAGTCTCATCGTCCACCACCTCACCAGTCCGCTCATTGACAAACTGGCCCTTGGTGGGGTCGAAGGCGTATGCGTTCTCGTCCTCACGCTGCTTTGCGTCAGCCCTGGAACCTCGACGGTATGAAAATGACTCACGTAGCGAGCCAACATTCGCGAGATATCCCAATCATCCTCCCCTTCATCAGCCTCCTCAAAGTCGGCGTAAAGCTCTCCTCCAAAGTCAAACATGTCTTTACCCGTCATACCCGCCATCTTGCCCGCAGCTCGCTGGGCGGCCTTGGCCTTCTCCAACGCCTCGCCCTCAGCCTTCTTCTTCTCGATACGGTTCGTCTTCCATTTGGCGAACGATTCGGGCGTGACGGGGGTGAGGGGGAGCTTGAGCTTGTGTCGCTCGACTTCGATAAAGTCGGCGAGGGATATTGTTTCCTTCTTGTTGGCTTCGTCTTGCTTCTTCTTGTCGGCTTTCAGGACGAAACCGGGAGGAAGGGCGTGTCGGTACATGCATTTGTCTCCGCCGTTAGGCTACGGGAGGGTTAGTCGGGTTCATTTGTATCATCGTTTCGGCTTACACATTCCCAGCTATGGATGTCGTCAGCTCAATCGTCATAGAAAGACAAAGGTACACTTACAACCAACCATACTTCTTGTCCTCAATAGCCTGGATAAAGTACTTGCAGACGATATCCGTAGCATTTTTCTGTCTGCCCTCACCCTGGTTGACAACGTCACGGAGCTTGGCCTCGTCCCAAGTGTCCATAGTGTCCGCTACATTTCATCAGCAAAAGCCACCACCAAGCAATCCCGCTCAACTCACCCTTGTCCTTTTCTGTTCGCGTGTCGGCGTACAGGTTGATCTTTTCAACCTTTCGCTCCACATTCCTGTCGTGCGAGAACTTGCATTTGTTTCCCTTCTCACAGTGACCCGCCTTGAAGTAGGCACAAAGAACGGTCTTGGGGTCGGTACCGAAGGGGATCTTTTGGACTTGGGCAGGTCCGGCAAGAGCCGCCTCCATCTTCTTCCTGGCAGCAACAGCGGCCTTGGCCTCGGCAGCCTTTTCCCTTTCCTTCTCCTTTTGTCTCTATATCATCCATCAGTAGAGTGTCAATGACGTCCTTTCATTTTGACGTACATCGGCCTTGTTCTTTCCGGCATTCTCTTGCTGCTTGTTGACAGTGTTGATATAGTTTTGTACCTTGGCAGACTTGTTTTTGTTTTTCATACCAAAGGTCTATACCAGGCAAGAGGTTAGCAAGGCAGTCTTTGATGAACAGGAAGATACTTGCCTTGTCTTCCTTCTTGGCTTTGGGCGGCATGATGGGCAGATGTGCTCTGGTTTAGTTGGGCGTTCGAGAGTGGTAGGGTTTGCGAGTGTACGACTGCCGTCTGGCTGTAGCTGGGGCTATCTTGGCAGGCAAAGCAGGTCAGAGATCCAGTATCCTCTTGCTCGGGATGCGGTCAAAATGGCCAAGCTTCAAAAGTGAGAGCGATACGTAAGCTTACGTAATGCGAAATACTTTGGCGTCATACTTGGGTAGAATTTCGGGAGTGGTGCATGAGGCTGGGGGGCCAATTGACAGTCTTGGAGAGTATTGAAGAGCAAGAGGGTGCATTGCCTCTCATCATCATCCAACATGGCCTCAACACGCATCTCTGCCCTCCGCCTCCTCCCCCACGGCGCTCGCAGGGCCGTCCCGAGGCCATCCCCCTCGGCAGACCGCTACCTCGCCATACACCACTTCTTCACCCAGAACGCCATTCGTCCCACTCCACAGCCCACGCTCCAAAGCATCTCCAGGCGGTGGCAATCATCCAAGCCTGGATCTTCCGGCTCAAGATGCGACGACTGTACTCGAGCACCGCCACCGAATCCCGACAACCCCTCACCTTCACAGCCAGGCCACGCGCAGGACTATGCGCCGTTCATCCAGAGACTCATACAGCAGTCGAAAGCGATAACCCCGAATTCGCCGCATAGACCGAGCAAGGAGCAGCTGTTAGATGCTGCAAATGGGTGGTGGCAGAGGATGCGGATACGGCTCAAGTGGTTCACCATTAGAGGATGGAGACGGTTCAATACGGATGACATGAGTGCTTTCGCAAGTTGGTTCTTGGTCGGGAACAGTGAGTCATTGCCACGTTATGGTGTGGACTGGGATGCTGACGATTGCTAGCTGTATGGATTCTGGTGGGAACGTGAGTGACGAGAAGTGCGCTCGCAACATACCTAACCTTGCCATAGCACAACCTTTGTCTCGGTCATCTTTGCCCTCGCAAACTCCCTCTCCCTCGCCGAATACCTGGCCCGCTGGCTCTCAGACTACATGACTGCCAATACCGGTGTTACTGTCATCTTTGAATCGGCCATCGTACCCAAATGGGGATCCTCCCTCATCACATTCAGAAACGTCTACGTCTCCCAGCGCTCGTCCCAGAGCGAGCCCACATCTCCGAGTACCAAGAAGAAGATCAAGGCTGCAACTGCCAAGCCTCCTGCGCCCATCCCCTTTCTCTCTTCCGCCCTTGCACCAGAAGCATACCTCGCTGCTCCACCCGCACCGCCCGAAGACAACTACACAATGTACGACATCAATATCGACCAGGTCGAAGTGTCCCTCAGTCTTATGCGATGGCTGGACGGCAAGGGTTTGGTCAAGGATGTGAATATCAAGGGGTTGAGAGGGGTGGTGGACAGAAGATCAGTATGGTGGGACTTGTCGAAACCGCTCGACCCTGTCGACTTTAGGCATGCTACCCAGCCGGGCGACTTTGAGTTTGAATCTTTCACAATGGAAGATGCTCTTGTCACGATTTACCAGCCCGGCGGGCAGAGGCCGTTCAACGTTTCGATATTCAACGCTGTTCTTGGATCGCTGCGCAAACGATGGTTCTTTTATGATATGATGAGTGCCGAGGGCATCACGGGGCAATTTGACAACTGTTTATTCAGCTTGCATATGCCGCAGAAGCTGGGAAAGGTTGCCGAGAAAGAGGGGAGCAAAGTCAAGAGAATGGTGAGCCATGCCCCAATAGCCCAATCATTGTGCTGACGTGGCTGTAGGCTCGTTTCCGAATCGATGGCCTTCCTATAGAACATGCCCAATACGCCTCTGGCTACGTCCCTCCCATGTCCTGGCTCACCTCCGGCAAACTCGACGCTGTGCTCGATATCAAGTTCCCTCACCACCCCGACGACCAAGTCGACCTGCACGCCCTATTTGCCGAGATTGGTCGCAACGTCGCTACCATCAGCCACGGAGTGCACCCTGATGACCCGGATGACGAAAAGCTCAAAAAGGCCATCGAAGCTGCCGAAAGTTCCTTGTTGGTGGGGGTCATCCCAGGGCAGCATAGGCTTGCAAGGCCGGCCTTGAGGGCTCCCGCAAGGGCATTGGCGCGAGCAAAGAAGGAAGAGGAGGAAAGGAGGTTGGTGGTGGATATTGATCTGAGGTTCCGTGACCTCAAGGCGGCGGTGCCGTTGTATACTACCGACCTGAGTGTCACCAATAACGCGTTGTTCAGGCCTATCGTCGCCTTCATCAAGTGGGTTGATCATACTTTTGGTGGATGACAGCTGACCCCGTATAGCGCCAACAAGACACTGGTGCCCATTCACTGCCAAGTTGGGGCAGATTTGAACGACTTTGATGGTTCATGGACCCTGTTTGAGAGTACGTCCTTTCATCATCCTTGTGACTCGCAATTACTCACAGCCATCTACAGCGGGTCTCATGACCTCCATATCTGATCAAATCTACGACGCCCTGGCACACCACGTCTCCTCCGAGGCTGCCAACCAAAAACGTCTGCGTCAAGTCAGCGTATGGGGTATCCAACGAGGAGCGGAAGCGTTGGTGGATATTCTGCGAGGAGTGGTAGACCCTCTGCATGCGCAGATGGCAAGCATATGACGAATCATAATCGATTCTGGGCTTTTGGTTGTCGTATAATTTTCGTCCCTGCATCTTCAGATATATGCGTGTTGTCTTGTAGCATTTGTATCATTTCCGTGTTCATTTCATAGACCAAGCGCATCACCATTCCATCTATGCTACACATTGAATTTTCTGTAACTTCGGAATACATATCACGGCGACGGAACCCCATGCTAAAAGTACAGACCAGTATTAGCTGTACAAGGGTATATATCATGCAAGGTATTGATTGCCCTCTATCGCAATCCTGTAGGCGCCCCTTCCATCCGCCACACCTTGACCACTCCGCTCCTGTCCCCGCTAATCACACAGCTTGAGAACGGTGTCTCTAGAGTGCCCAGCTTGGCGATAGCATCGTAATGGGGTCTGAGCACTTGCTTCTCCTTATCCCGCGGAATGGGCTGTCCTTGGCGGTGGACGTTGGGCAGAGTGTAGAACATGGTCGGCCCTGCAGCATCCGGCGTTTGTCTACCGCGAGATCAGTACAACGGCAGCCGAAGGAGATATGAAAGTCTCACCTGAATGTCACATCCTTCTCTTTCTGTGACCCACAGACAACAAAGCCACCTTGCGCCTTTACCAGATCCCAATACCTCACCGCCCTATCCTCTCCTGCACTGATCATCCATCCCTGTCTCCCAGACAAGTCTCTCTCCCTGCCCGCAGCACCGATCTCGGGCACAGACATCAACATGCTCTCTTCTGCTTTAGGCAGGCTGGCCCAGCTCTGCCCAACAATGAGATCTAAGATGGTGCGAGGAGAGGCGGGAAGAGGCGTCGAAGCGTCAAAGTCGTCGACTGTCTTCGGTGAGGGTAAGGAGGGTGGAGATATGGCAAGCTCGGCGATGAGAGATGCCCTATCGGGTGTCACCTCTTGAGGATCCGGGGCAGGATCAAGATTTTTACCAGGGCGGCGACTTCGAACTTCGTAGACTTCGACCAGGCGAGACGTTTCAAGATCGTATACCTCCACTAGTGGCCCAGAGACGGCTTCATCGGGCCTGTCTGCATCTGCGGACGGTGACGGCATGAACGAAGTCGATGGGGCAACAGAGACCATGATCCACCGATCACGGCCTCTGGCTGGGTGGATCTTACAGGCCGTCACCGCACCTCCGGCGGCCCAAGACTTGATGAGCAAACCGAAACGCAGATCCCAGAGACTAAGAACGCCAGTCGAGGTACCGAGGACCAGCCAGTGAGTAGCGGGACAGGCGGCGGTTATGATGCCCAGCTCAAGAGGGTGCTGATAGCTTTTGCTGATAGCCATGCTCCTGATGTCCAAGATGGCAATCAGGGAGGTTGAGGTGATCAGGAGCAGTGAAGAGTCTGTAGTTGCGTCAGTTATCATCGAGTCGAAAAGCAAATGCAGCTCACCGTTGAGATAGGATACGTGTTTGACATGCCCCTGACTTTCTTGCGCTCTCCAAGACCTGATGCGCTCCACTTTCCCGTACCTCGCATTGGCTCCCCCGCTACCTCCCGAGACATGTACTCGGAGTACATGTAGCTGGCCGTCTTCACTGGCCGCCGCCAGACAGTGGGTATTTTCGATTCTGCACATCGTCGAGATAGGGGCATCCATTCTGTAGACTTGTCGAGGCTTGGTGGTAACGCTTCTCTCCAGCCGAGCTGTATCCCATATCAGGATCTGACAGTCCTCAGAGGAAGTAGCAAAGAATACACTATCGGGCGAAGTGACAATGGAGGTGATGGCTTGCTCGTGATGCGTCAAGTGAGCAATCATGGTGACACCTTGCGGCGAGGAAGAGCTCGACTTCACCCGAGCACTGCGCTTCTTGTGGCTAGCAGTGACTTTGGGACCAAAGTCGAGTAGTGGTTCCCGATAATTGTCGAGATCGATCTGCTCGAGAAATGCCCGTACTCCAGGGTCATGCCCTTCGTACGAGCTCGCGTAAGGGGCGGTCCCTTTGGGGGTGCTAGCTCCGCCAGTACCCAGCTGCGGCATGGCAGCAGCATTGGGCGTTGTCCGGCCCGACATGGGATCATCATGTATGGTAGTCATACCAACCGCATTGGTGCGTGAGGCGCCTATAGCTGGGGCCGCTTTTGAGTCTACCTTCCTCTTGCTGTTGCGTGTCATCCCAGCAATATCTAGCGTTGAGGATAGCCCGGATTCAGAAGGGCTCGCGTTGGAGTCGACATACGAATGAGGAGGCTCTCCGGCGGGCTGAGGAGTCTCCGGACGAGATATCGGTTCCAAAGCCGCCAAAATCTTTCTGATTTCCTCGAGAGGATTCTCGACGGGTCCGCGATTGCTTTTACTGGCAAATGAGGTACGGCGGCTTCCAGCAATACCCGTCTGTGAAGGCAGTCGTCCAAGATCATCCCTAGAGTCAACTCCGACTGTACGGGGGCTAATGAACACTGTCTGAGGAGTGACGCCGAGATCAGTCAACGAGACGGATTTCGCTGAAGCCAGGTCAACCTCGGGGACTGTAGGTCGATCCGCTCCTTCGCGACTAAAGTAATGGTATATCAGCGCTGATCAAAGCAGAGTCCTTTAGTCAGCTCACGCTCTCGCCGCGTACGCTTGCTTGACGATAAACTCCTTCATAGCCTCAATCTTAACCTCGTCTGTAGCAGAAATGCCTCTGTCCCGGAGCTTACCCCTGCATTACTACCATGAGCCATCATCACTCGGAACAAGACGATCCGTGCTTACTGCTTCTGACTGGGCTTCTGCGCAGACTTCATCAATTCGACTTTAGTTGACAAGTTCACCGGTGTCACCTGCCAGAAGCCCGCCGGAGTGTTTTGGAGTGCCGCTGCCTTTGCTGCCGTCAAAGTCCCGCGTGGTAGCTAGATGATAATCAGACTCCGACGGACCACCCGGTATCACGAGACTTACCGGAGGCAACAGAGAAGAAACGATAGAAGCTTCAGTCATATCCGATATGTCTGAGTGAAGCATTGGGCGAACATTGGGATATAGCACACACCAGACGTCCGAAATGGGAAGGTTTCGGGACGCTGTGGCTATGAAATCGACTGCGCCTGTGATTTGATTTATCAGAGGGGCTCTAGTGCTGGTATGAGTACACACCTTGCCGTATCCAGGTGTTTGGGTGGAAGAGGAATCCCTTCACGGCGAAGAAGACATCCCACAGTCTCATCCGAGCCAGCAATCCCAACGAGGCGAGGCTCGCCATAGAGTTTAAAACCCTGGCTACCACTGCCTCTTCCGGGTCTTCCTTGCCATCAGCATGGTAAACCAATGATCGCAAAACACACCCACCTGCAAGAGCCTGGAACATCAAAGGCAGGACATACTCCTCAACTGCCCTCAGCCCGATGAACGCCCCAACACCTACGATCCCGTCGAAAAATGCCAGCCTCAGCATCCAGTCCTTGTCGTTGAGATATGTCATGATGTGGCTGAGTACTGTTTCGTTCGACTTTTGCCGTCCAAAGAACAGACACAAGTCCGATATCGAAGAGAGCATCGCTCGCTTGACGTAGGGGCTGGGGTCCACTAGGAGAGTTGTGGCTTGCTCTTCTACCACTGATTGTATCTCTAGAAGCATCGAGTCATAGTCAGGCTGAATGATGTGTCAGCTCCCGAGAACAATATCAAAAAGCTGACTTGCCTCGACGATAACCGAAGCTTCTGTACCATGAGCCGAGACACTTCCTTTGGCTGCCTGGCTCATCTCCAACATGTTGACCGCAGCATTTGCAAGCTTGACCAATCCCGTGGCATAGCTGGCACGCACGAATGTGTCATTGTCGGTCGCCAGATGTCGCATCTGCGGCAGCAAATACTCTGGGATGAAAGTGACATTTTGTGGGGTGATGGTCTCGACGTTATCCACCACCTCGACAAGTGTTTGGCATGCTTCAGCGCGTACGATCGCAATGTCATCTGAAAGCAGCTCGACGATGTAAGGGATGACTCGGTCGACTTTGTCTTCGTCAAGGAGGAATGGGAGAAGGTTGACGAATAGCTTGAGGGCGTGGAGGCGCGACGACGGAAAGAGGCAATGGCGGACAGAAGAAGTTACCATGTTCAAAATGAGAAGGGCAGGGCCATCTACAGATTTTGAGCTTTCTGCTTGTACACTTTCAGTAGCACTCACTGTCTGAAGGGCCTGCGCCCAGGTATGTAGAGATACTCTCCCACTCATCCCAAATCTTATCTACCTTGGTTCCACTCTGCCCTGCCGATCGCTGCGGGAATCCGACATCGGCATGCGCTCCAACACTGCTCGCCTCTGCAACCTCGCTGAGTGTGTTGAAGTAATCTTCCAAGAAGGTGTAAAAGTATTCGGGAAATATGATCTCGCGGAATGTCGATAGTATGAGATCGAATGATGGTCGTTTTGATGGATCTCTTGCCAACATTTGGGAGATCATGTCCTTCAAGGTCGTAAGCTTGGGTCCCTGAGAATAATCGTAGACTGCTCACCCTAACAGCTCCATCTTCGATGTGATCCAGAATTCCCTCAAGCCCAAGGCTCCCGTCCTTGTATGCATACAGCTCGCTTAGACTGAAAACGGTACGTCCGTCTGTCCACATCTCCGCCAATACACACCCAGCGCTGAAGACATCCATCTCTTCCGTGACCTTTCCATCTCTCTTCCCAAACGCATCGCCTTTGGCATCCGCTTCGCTCGCTCTCTTCTTATCTGCGACTCGAGAGGTTGAAGTATAAAATCGCTCCGGGGCGATATAGCACGTTCGCCGGCCTGATGTGTCGAAGAAGAAGGAAAAGTCGGAAGGATCGTCGAGGGGCAGGAAGGTGGGTTTGAAAGAAGCAGAGAAGTCGGTCAAGAGGACAGTGAGGGAGGTAGTAAGGAGTACGTTTTCTGATTTCATGTCACCATGGGCGACCTGAAATATCTGTTAGCACATTCCGACGCTAGGACGCAATGCACTTGCCTTGCGATTGCGAGCATCTCTCAGAGCGGTAAGCAGCTGAAATGCTATCCACTTCTTTTCTATACCGGCGAGATACGGCTGCTGGCTGAGCATATATCAGTCTCAGACCTCGACTAATATCCGTGATCGACACACCTGACTCTGTCATAGAGGTTGGAGCCGATCCATTGTCGTATCAGATAACCGGCTTTCTCTGTCTCGACGAATGTCTGGTAGGTGTTGACGTTTGGAAGACTTGCCAAGGCGTCCCGTTCGGCTGGAAGTAGATTGAGCTATAGCCCTATCCAATAGCACAAAGCACCTACTCTTAAGCCGCCGTTGAATGACTCGCAAAGACATTGCAGAATCTGGCTTGATGAATATCTTGAGGACGATAGGACCATATTTGTGTCTTGCTAGGATTGTCTTGAGGAATCGCGAAGATGACAGACTGGAGACTAAGTCAGCTCTGAAACGTACTGCAAGTATCCTTACCTCTTGTCATATGATATGTCGTTTCCGAGCTCTGCGACGTAAGAGTCGAGCGCGGTGGACCTGGACCGGGTGAGCTGGCTGCGGACTGTGTCTGGGATGGCTCACGCTCTGGCCATAGATGCTATATTCCCCATTATTCCACGCGCTTTGACTTTCTGTCAGTCATTCCTTGAGTACCCTGGCAGAAATACAACATCTACTGCATCCCGAGCATAATGACGACGACGGCAACAACAAGCCGTCAGCGGCGGTGACCGCAGGCACGGGTATCTTGCGCGTTTGACATTACGTCGGTTGACGCGACTATGTTCCATCCTCATCTCTTCTTCGACCCTTCCCCGCTTGACAGACTCTTCTGCCCAACAGCTCATCAAGCAGAATGCCGCCAAAAAAAGAAGCCAAGGAAAAGCAGGTAAAGGGTGACGAGGGTAAGCCTTTGCACTGCCGCTTCCTACCAAAGCTGACACCAGGGGTCCTCTAGCCGAAGAAGTAGGTCTCGAGAAGCTGTGCAGCGTGCATATGCTCACTCAGAGGCGGTAAGATGATACTCAACTATATGCGTGACGTAAGACCATAGTCCTGCAGCCTCGGGTGGTCTGCATACTGATCGTCACCACTGTAGATCAACAGACCATTCGCCTCTGGTAAGCGCTCGGGTCGCCTCCTCCCCCCAACGCCTATCGCTCGCATCTGATCTGACTGTATTTCAGCCGATGTCGTCGCCAACCTCAAGAATAGGGTGCCCAAGACACTTGCTGTCAAGATCCTCGCCACTCTTGCAGGTGAGTGGCTGACGACATCAAGCCCCTCATCGGTGCTCATGGGTGGTAGAGAAGGGTCAGTTGACCGTCAAGACTTACGGGAAGCAGCTGCTGTACCTCTACAATCAAGTAAGCCTTCTTGCGGTGGATGTAGCTTCGGCTGACGATGCATTCCAGTCACTCCTCAGCGTCCTCGACAGATCTGAGCTGACATCCCTCGACGAGAACATCAGAGCGGTGCAGAAGGACCTGGAGGAGGTCAGGAAGGTCTTGAGGCAGCAGCAGTCGGGTATTGACTGCGCCCCTCTAGATGATAATAGCGCTGACTGTATACAAAGAACTGTCGACCAAGGCATCTATCCCAAAGACCTCTGAGCTCGGAAAAGAAATCGAACGAGTTCAATCCGAGGTCACCCAATTCATCGCCAAACGCAACAAGAGCGCTGATTACATTGACACAGGTGCAATCCGCCAATCAGGCCCTCGAACCTTTCCTAGACACCTCTGGAGGCAAACCGGCTATCACCCCTATGTCCGCCGAAGAGATCAAGAAGATTGATCAAGATTTCGCGAAATGGAGAAAAGAATGGGTAGATCGGCGAAAAGTATACAAAAAGTGAGGGGCACCTGTTCAAGTCACTGGCGTTGCTCAATCATATTCCATAGCTTCCTCGATTTTCTGGCAGAAAACGGCCAGGTCTCCCATGTCCCCGTATTTGAGGAAGAGTTGGGCATCATAGACGACGACGAGGCCGCAAAAAAGCTCGAGCAGAGCGAGATGTGCAGACCGGCGGTAGTATCAAAGTCACTTCCTCGGAAATCGGGTCCCTCAAAAGGCAAAACGGAGTTGAAGAGGTCTGGAAGTGATATGCCTGCCGGAGAAGGGCAGAAGAAGGTTCGAAAGGACAAGGCTTGATGCGGAGAGCCTGCTACTGAGTGTCATGCTCACTACCACTATGCAGTTGTATCATATAGTCTGCTTCCGATAAGGCTTGACCCATCCATGCTGAAAGACACCACCTACACGATCGACCAATTAGTTATCGGCTTTGAGGTTAAGTTATTCGGACCGAACTCGGCGCGTAAGGCTGTACCTGAGCGGCCCAGCGCGATCTCAAACCGCGAATCAAACGAATCAGATGACCGCTGCCGTATCGGGCCTTATCAGCAGGTCAATTGTGCCGTAGCAACGTATGATAACCGACACAAATGAGCCCGGGATGCATATGCCCCGTTTGGTGTCAAATGTGAACGACAACAACATCACCGATATTGATCATCTTCTCCTGCACCACCGCCAATCTAATAACTTATCATGAGTCTCCCTTCACCGCCGGCGCCCAACCAAGCCGATCTCGAAAAGGCCCAGCCTTTCCAGTGTGCTGTTTGCCAGCGTCGCTTCACCCGAATGGTAAGGTCGCGTCCTCAAGGTCCACTCAAACGCTGATGCTTCTCAGGAAAACCTCAAAAGACATGCAAAGCTTCACGACAAGACAACAGAGCGCCCCGTTTTCCCCTGCAGCGAGTGCAAGTCGACGTTTTCGAGAGCAGATCTCCGAAGACGCCACGTCATCAGCAAGCACGGAGATGAATCTTCAAGAGGCAAATCGACCAGTCCCAAAGGTACGTGCTGCCTGTAGCTTCCCAAATCGTTGACAAATTCCCCTCGTCTGTAGACTCTAGCTATAAAGCGGTCAGCATCATCCCCGAATCAACACTAGACGCTCTTGCCACTGCTTCATACCAGCAGGAAAAATCAATAATCGACCGATTTCCACTCGCAGACCTTGGCGCCCCTTCGTCTGTCCAATACCAGGACACGAACCCCGCCCCTATCGACTTTCGCAGGCAGAGTTTGCCTTCGACATCCTCCAGTACCACCTCTCTCCTCCAACGCTTACGACTATCCCAGCCACCATCGTCGGCAATACCCATATCAGTCGAAGACGACACACTCCACCCAATGTCAATCGGGCCAGCTGTGCAGTCTTTCTTCGCATATGCTCCTCATATGTTCCCCTTCCTACATCAGCCTACCTTCGTCAGCGAATCATGTCACCCGAGCTTGCTCTTTGCAATTATGTGTCTCGGGTTGCACACGGCGGCGGATAGCTTGAAGGACCATGAAAAGGCAATGGGTTGTTACCGAGCTGGACTCAGTGGGTTGGATGGAACTCTGGAGAAGGCGGGTAACCTCAAACCTTCAGAAGTTCTTCACATCATCCAAGCGCATATCCTCTTAGAGATATACGCTATCTTGGCTTTGTGTGGGGAGCACACATCACGAGGCTTGAACCTTCATCATCAGGCTATCCAGGTACGCGCGACTCTTGGAGAGGGTGTCCAAGGTCATGCGCTAATGAAAAGTTCTGTAGATTGCACGCAAAGCTGGTCTCATGGAACCATACCCCACCCAGCCATCCTCGACCCAAGATTTGGACATGCTCTGGAGGCAGTTTATCAGAGGGGAGAGTCACAAGCGTACCCTCTATGCCCTCTATGTCAACGACTCGACTTGGTACCACTTCCTATCACGCCCCCGCAGTCTCTCCCACCTGGAAATCAAGCACGAGCTTCCCTGCCGCTCGTCCCTGTGGGATGCCGTTTCGGCAACCGACTGGGCTCATCGGTCTCTGGTAGCCTCAACCGACACAGCCTGCCCACGCTTTCTCGACACCATCCGTCGTGCCTTCTCCTCCGACCTCGATGCCTCTCTACAAGTCGACTCCTATGGTGCTTCACTCATGACTCACTTTGTCCTGTCAAGCGTGAGGGAGATGACTGGTTGGTCTACCATGACAGGCCGGTCCTGCTTTGAGAGGTTCGAGTCTTTGCATACTTCTATGGTCAAGCTTGAGCCTCTCGTGAGCGTTCCTAACCATGCTCACGAGTCGCCGACGACAGCAGCTGCTGAGGCGACCTGGCGGATGAGCATGATAGAACTGCTGTTGTGGTCACAATCGCATACCGGAGGGTTAGTGGAGGATTCGATCGATGGGGCGATGGCCGCGATGTAAGTATCTCTTTTGCTCTCGTTCCCCTGTATTCATCTTCGCATAGTGCGATGCTCGGCTCCAATCCCATGCTCGACATCAGCCCAGAAATTCTCCAGTCTGTCGAACATCACGTCAATTGGTTTCTCCTCTACCTCCACCGCACCGGTCCGGATACCCGATATGAGGCCCCCTTCCTCAGCTTCTACCTCTTCAAAGCTGCAGTCATTGCATGGCAGATAGTGAGGTCAGGCGGTTTGGGCCCGTTAGAGACTGTCGGAGTGAGCGATATCGACAGCTTGCTCGGATGGATCAGGGCGATGTTTGAGAGAAGAGTAAGGTGGGGTATCGGGAAGATCGTCTCAAAAACACTGGCGGAGTTGCAGAGCCAGAGCGAATTTGCAGTCTCACGCGACTGCTGAACTGTATGGATCATTGTTGTATACGCTCTCGGCATACATCCATCCAAGCAAATAGAAAAACCACGAAACAGAATAAAAGATCGAAAATAGTACTCAACAACGTTGTCAACATTGTTAACGTCCTAGTTCCCGGTATCAGTCAACGTGTACTTCCAGACACACAGATGACCAGAATGGTGGGGAACTAGGGAGCGTAGCTATGAGAATATATATATATGTGAGATAGAGCGGAAAGAAAGATATAAATAGGTAGGATGTACCGTAGTGAAGGTAACGGGACAAAGGTAACTGTTACGGGACCATAACGACCACGGGTCTCTATCCCAACAAACATCCCACAAAACTAGTGTACAACCTCGAAAGCTCACAATCTCAAGCAGGAGGAAGCTCAAACAGGAAGGAGAACCTTGACACCATAGTACTCCCTCGTCTGCATAAGTTTGCCGTTGACCACCACCTGGTCAGAGCCAACCCTGTTACGCTCAGTATCGGTGGGATCAGTGGCTTCAGCGATCTGAATCTCTCGCCACTCCTGATTGGTCGGTACCTAGCATGACATAAATCGTCAGATATAGGAACTCGTGACCAAGGATGGATGATACGCACAGGTACACCAAGATCCATTAGACGTTTGAACTCTTTGTAGACACCTTGTTCCTCGACACAGCCCTCGCGCTGGATGAGAGGAGATTTGGCAGCGGGCGTCATACGAAGGTCGCCAACACTAGAGTTGAATAGGACCAAAGAAAGTCGTTCAGTTTTGAGTTGATCCTACATGCCAGTCAGCACGACGCCCAACGAGGACGATCAGAACGAGACTCACCGCAGGGGGCTTGTACACCCTATGCCTGGTCGCTTTGAAGTGGCCGCCAGAAACAATCTCCAGCGTCTCGCCAATGTTGATGACAAGAGCTCCAGGCTTGTAAGGAACATAGTACCATTGCTCGTCTTTGCCCCAAATCTGGAGACAAGACACCGGCACGGAAAAGAGCAGGGTGGTGAGGCCAAAGTCGGTGTGCCCGTGCATTCGGAGTCCTTTGGAAGCCTCTTCGGTGGTCTTCTCGACAGGACGGAAAAGGGCGTGCCGGAAGTAGCCTTCGCCGGTAGGTGAACCTTGGGATTGGACGTTGTCCCAGAGGTAATCATCGTCGAGCTCGAGAACGCGAGAAAAGAGCGTGAGAAGGCGGCGGTTGACGGAGCCGGTCAAATACTACGGTCGATGTCAGCTCTCGGCATATTCATGTGGTGGTAGTACTTGCCTCGCAGAATGCTCGAATTTCATCCATGAAAGGGTGAAGACATGTGGGCACTCGACTGTAGTCGTTCCATTCGTTTGTGTACCAATTGAATTGCTCGATGCCGTCTTTGGGACCTTGGTGGCGCTGGGAATTGCGTCAGCCACAGTGGCTCAATGTAGTCTGGTCAGAACTCACTTTGAAACCATACGGATGCTTGTACCCTGCCCATAAGCCAGTCTCGGGATGGAAGAGAAGACGTTTCTTGTCTTCATCCGTGATATTGTCATACAGGTATTGGGCCAAAGAGAACTGCCTATGGAGCTACGTATGTGTATCAGCATCGACTCGGACAAGTTCGAAGGCCATCAATCTTACCTGTTCAAGGGAGATACCGTAGTTTTCGAGGAAAAGGAAACCGTCCTCACGAATGGCTCTCTTCATCTCTTGAACCAAGTTGTCGGCGACGACAGGATCGTCAGAGTCAAGAAGGGACAAGTCGATACTGGTAAGGGTGGCAAAACCCTTAGTCTCTTGAGTGACAGGAGGAGGAGCCCAAGTCTTCACAGGAGGCTTGCCCGGGAGGTCGGCAGGCGGAGGGTTGAATTTGGGAGTCGTGGGCATGTTGATCGATACTGATGATGTATGACAAGGTGCTTCAAGCGTGGAAGGAAGGATATAATAGGAAATGAAGAGACGAGCTGTCGTTCCGTTATATATGTTCCGGTATGATGTACCGAGTTCCCAGCTACTCTATAAACTTCTTGGGTACTCGGGTGAGCTCCCTGACAGCTACGGTGTCGCAAGGAGAACAAGGGGTTCAACGCTCAAAGCCTCCTCAAGTACGCATATGCATGTGCAGTGACGACTTCCCACGCCCTTCCTATTGTTCGTAGGAGCTGCTTAGACAGGCATCCGGGAGCCGCAACAGGGCGTAGGACCCGATAGCTTAATGAGCTGCATGAGGAGCTCTTTCTCGGGCGCCGGGATTACGGGATTGACTCTCGGCTTTCCCGTAAGCCCCTCTTATCAATACACCGAACTCGGCTCTTTTGACCGATCTGGGCAATATCCTGAACCAATCAACAGAGATCGAATAGCGATTGCCGACGAGTATTGGAGTATTTAGGCACTCCATGAGCCGAACATCTGCGGTGGCTCCGGACAAGATATGTCTCCGATGCGCGCTCCTCCTTGGGGCATCCTGCACCTCCTCCTCCTCTAGTGCCTCCACTATACCGTCACAGGCTGAATTCGTGATGTGCCCCATGAACGGCTCCCTTTGATCCTATATAAAGCTCGCCCCTTTGTGATACGTGATTAATCCCCTGAGGCATCATCACCGACTTCACATCTCAAACATCAAGCAAGCTATCTTATATCATGTCTCGAGAACTCATCAGCAACGAAGAATTCCCCACCAAGCCCCACAACTGTATGTCGTCGTGCTTGCCATCTTGCATAATAAGTGACTGTCCGACTGACTCTACTATAGGCCCTGCCGTCAAGGTCCCCGGGCTCGTCTTCTGTGCTGGCCAGACTGCTACTGGAGAGATCAAGCAAGCGACTGTAAGTCCACGTCTCTCTGTAGGAAGGAGATAGTCCACTGACTTTGCCTCAGCTCAAGGTCCTCACTAACCTGAAAAAGGTCCTCGAGCTCTCCGGCAGCTCTCTGGATCAGGTCGTCAAGTATAATGTCTATCTCAAAGATATGAAGGACTTTGCCGCTATGAACGAAGTGTACATTGATGTGCGTTTGTCTTTCTTCCCGCTCTAGGTGCTACGCTGACCCAATGCTCTAGTTCCTCCCCGAAGCCATGCCTTCAAGGACCTGTATTCAGGCTGGTGACCTCCCCGGAGAGGGGACTATCATCGAGATCGAGTGTATCGCCCAGGTGTGAGGGGGAGAATTGAGAGAAGTCATAGCTCAACGCCATTATCAATCCATGCATAGAATCATACAATAGCCTCCTTGTTGTTGCAACGTACATATGCCAGTAAGAATCCAGCACCTGCATTACACTTAAGAGTGCTAATACGCCTGTTGTCATTTTGTCGTGCGAATTGCGAAAATCAAATACAGTAAGTGCCTGCGGTGATACCTTCGATCACCCTGCTCCTTGAAACGTTCGCCTAGAGTGGTTATCTTCTGCTCTAATTACTAGTTCTCAAAGTACTATTTCGTCAGCTCGCATCTAGGTGTGTTATCCAATGGTGAAGATGAAGAAGACATGCCCGATCCGAGAAGAAAGTCAATAATCTAATCATTATTTGAGATCTTTGTATGAACTAGTCAGTTTACGTCTCGCTCCCATCAAAGAGACAAAGAATCTACCACTGCGATAGAAGGAGGGAAGTCGCGACAGAAGTATCTCAAAGATCTGGGTATCCATGCGCATGCATTTTGCAACTCCAAAATCCTGATGGGACACTGTACAGAATTGAACCAATGCTACTGAGAGACCGTTGCGTGTTGATGGTATCAAGATAAGGCGATCTAATAAAGCGATCTATTCCCGGACACATGCGATCTGCTGAGTGTACCAGTTTGTGATCGCCTTGGTGTCGCCGGTAATCGCCACGCTACGGGTGTATCAGCCATGTCGTAAAGTGCACAGCCGAATCATAAGACTCACCTGTCAAAAGTCTCCAATGCCTGAACAGCCAAAGGGCCATCGTTGACCAATCGACCCACCCATTTGCCGTGCTTCCTCGCGGCGGCAACAATCTTGGCGATAGCCTCGACAAAGACAGGTTCGTCGCCTTTTGCTGGGGTATACCCGAGAAGTGATTGAGCGAGGTCGTTGGGGCCGATGAAGAGATAGTCTGTAGCCAAAATCAGCTCCGGCAAAACGCAATATATAGACACGCGGAGGAAGATATTCACCGACACCTGGAACGGCAGCAATAGCATCCACATTCTCGACACCCTCCCTGGTCTCGATTTGGACTATGGTCAGGATAGTTTCGTTGGCTGACTTCATGTATTCCGGGGTGGTGAGGCCGTGACCGATAGCAGGGAAAGCAGAGCCTTGTCCTCGGAGACCTTGAGGCGGCAGCTTGGAGTACTTGACGACACTGGAAGCTTCCTCGGCGGTATTAATCATGGGGACCATAAGACCACTAAAGAGGACGGTTAGCAGTAGTACGGTGGGGAGATGTGAGCACGTACTGGGCACCGGTGTCCAAAGCTCGCTTGAGGATGTCTGGTTGAGGACCTCGTACTCGGATGATAGGGCTTACGCCCAGAGCAGAGATGGCAGAGACCGAATTGTGCATCTGGTCGTCACCGATGTGACCATGCTCGCAGTCAACGATCACACCCTGTATATCCATTAGTTAAGATTTCTCTTTTCCACGAGCAGCACACTCACATCCAGTCCAGTTAGAGCGATGATCTGCGCATGCCTGACACTGGGGATGGCGATGAAGGTCATCAAGGCAGGGACCTTATTCCTCAGGTTGTTGAGTAGTCGAAGGCGTGGGTTCTGGACGGTGGTGGTGTGGGCGGTGGGGTAAGTGATGGCGGTCATAATGATAGCGACGCAAACTTGTAATATCAGACTGGGATGAGAGTTTTGTTGAAGGTGAAGTTATGTCAATATGTCGATGAGACGCAGGAGATGATGGTGGGGCATTGTGACGGTGGTGTGCTTATATCAGTCTGGACAGCGAGAGATGGATGGAGGAGATGGAGGAGGTCAGCTGTGAAGTGATTGCGAGGAACATTGATTAGTCGCAGACGGAGGAGTGAGGACTGAATGAGTGAAGACCCTGAGGAGGAGTCAAGGAGGAGTGAACAGCGCGGGAGGACGTAAACTCTAATAAAAATCTCGGCCCGATATTGTTTTCGGGAAACGCTGCTATTGCTCAGTCTCTTATCCTACTGCGCTACAGTACTACACCGTTCCTGCAGCTCACGCACTCCTTCGCATCCCCTGCCTTAGTCGCGGGATGAGGGGTATCTTATCTGTCCTTGCCATGTGACCCCGGACTCGCCTGTAGGCCTGCAGCATTCCATTGCCGAAGCTCAACATTGGTCCACGATATATGTCTCGACTCCTCTTGTGCCCACCCCTTATATTTCACGAGACACCTGTAGCCCATCTTGAGTCATCTGACCTTATCATCTCATTCCTCTGAGATCTCATATAAAGCTTTCGGCTACCAAAAGCAGCCACAAACGCCCCGATCAACGACCGTTGGTGCTCTCTCATGATGACCACACTCAATCAACAAACGTCTCTTAAACCCAGTTTCGAAGAGGACGACAAGATCGCCGCAAGTGTTGAGCTTCAAGCAGTCGACGAAGATGCTGCTCCCAGTGTACCGGAAAACATTCGTGGTCTCACCGCCGACGAGCTCAAAGCTATCGAGAAGAGGATTATCCGTAAAGCCGATCTGATCATCATGTAAGCGTTCACCGAGACCACTCTATTCGAAGCTGACCCACGGTTGATAGGCCTGTCATGGGACTTCTTTACATCCTCAACTGTAAGTTCCACTGACGGCCGTCTTCTTATCTCAGCTGAGTCTTCCCCAGACGTGGACCGACAGAATCTTTCCGCTGCCAAGCTGCAAGGCATCATGACCGACCTCAACATGGACACTCAGCAGTTCGCCACAGCTGTATCTATCTTGTTTGTTGGCTACCTGCCTTTCCAAATTCCTTCTAATCTCCTCATATCTCGTCTCTCTCGACCCGGCATGTGTAAGTGATATAATGTGCCTGAACCTCCAACTGATGTCCTTGTCGACTTTTGCTGCTAGATATCTGCTGCGCCTGTGCCATCTGGGGTGTTCTAAGTGCTTGTACGGCTGCTGTACAGACATATGGCCAGCTTCTCGCCGTTCGAGCCATCCTTGGTGTCGTAGAAGCCGTCTTCTTCCCCGGTGCTATCTATCTCATGAGTGCTTGGTGAGTCTTCGTGTTTCATCGTCTGATTCATCCTGTTGAGTTGCTTGTTGAGCTGCTGACCCCTCTCAGGTACACAAAGAATGAATTGGGCAAGCGCATCGGCGGTCTTTATATTGGGCAACAAATCGGTAATGCCTTTGGAGGTAATCATATTTTCCTCTTACCTGTTGCACCCGTTGCTAATGACTGTTGGACTGCTAGGTCTCATAGCAGCAGGATGCCTCAAGCTCGATGGTACCCGGAACATCGCTGGGTGGAGGTGGCTATTCATTGTGTAATATCTCTTCCACGTGTTTCTCTACTTCGACTGACGAAGATGACAGCGAAGGTGCCGCTACTGTGGGAATTGCTTTGATCTCAGCTTTGATCTTGGTATGTCTCTCTCCATCGAGCCAAGTATGACTTCAGAACTAACTGGCCGTTCTTCCAGCCCGAGTACCCTTACAATGCTCGTATCCTGAAGCCTCTCGAGCGCGAAGTCGCCGTCTGGCGTCTTGAGAAGGAAGCTGGTGCCGCCGAGGGTAACGAGACCACTGGCACCTGGGCCGGATTCTTGCGCAGTTTCGAAGACCCCAAGGTCTGTCTCGTCCCTCAAATCAGCTGCCTCAGCACCGCTGACCTTTTTCCTAGCTTTACATGCTTATCTTCTGCAACTTGATGTCTCAGATGCAGGGATCAATCGCCAACTTCTTCCCCACTATCGGTGTGTCTTTCATCGACTCCTATCTCGAAACGACGGTTCAACTGACAGCGCCTACGAAGTCAAAACTCTTGGGTACAGCTCAAACATCACCTTGCTATTGACTGCACCTCCCTACGTCTTTGCAGCATTCTATTATATGGGACTCACCTGGTGGAGTGACGTAAGCATCATGTGCATGGGCCAACTTTCCAAAGCTGATAGATAATCGTTCAGAAAACAAACCTCATCTATCCTTTCATCGTTGGGAACATCTTCCTCGCCACCTGCACTTATATCGTCCCGATGGCTACACTCAATATCGGAGGACGCTATGCCGCCATGATGCTTATGCCTTGCACCAGTGGTAAGTTCTCATCAGTGTCGGCAAACAGACCGATTGCTGACGTTATCATTCTTCAAGTCGGCCCTCAGCTTCTGCTCTACAAGACCATCAACCACCACATGCCCAGACCTGTCGCCAAGCGAGCTGCCACCATTGCTATGATGAACAGTATTGGCGGTACTGCAAACATCGGTGCATCATATCTTTGGTTCGCTGGCCCCCGCTACTTTGCCGCTTTCGGTGCTTGTAAGTCTCGCTCCTGTGGATATGGAAAAGTTCCGCATCTGACCACCCCCAAGTCATTGGCGCTGCTTTTCTGTTCTTTCTTACTATCACTGGCTACAAGTTCTACGTCAAACACGAGAACAAGATGCTCGATGGAACACCAGAGCAGGTCCAAAAGGCCATGAAGAGAGGTGTCACTCAGGAGCAAGTGGCCATGGAATGGCGATACGAGAGTTTTTAGACGCTACATCCCCTGTTTGGGATCGGATGCTCATGTCTATTGGATTGTTGGTGGCTCAGGTCTTTGTATGTCAGGCTTGCTTCATATGTTTAATTTCTGCCGAGGTTTAGCTGTTGTTTTGGTTCTCTCGTTGTCTGGTGTGGTTGTGCCCTATTACTCGTACCGTACTCGTACATGCACTATCTTTGAGCGTGCTCTATGCGATGTTTGGAGGTCACGTAACCACTAATCAGCTATGAATGGTACGAAAACATACACTAGATACATGCTACGTTGCAATACTAAATTACTACTCTATATCGGTATATCGGTAAATGGAACCTAAACCCAAACATGTCGTGAGAAAGAAAATAGATCAAATGCTGAATGGCAAGATGTGGATTCTACAATCGCCCCCTTCCGACAATCTGTCGTGCTTGTATATAGCATCGGAAGTGCAGATTCTCATCATTGCTCCGCATACAACACCAATTTCTGCCCTTCAGTCCTTAGCCATCCACTCAGCTCCGCATCATCCCTCAATTCTTTATATCCCTCTTGCCCATTGATCGACACCCGGTACCTCAACACCGACACCCCCGGCCCCAGCCTCGCCCGCACCTTTTCAAATAAGTCTGCGTAGGTAACCGCCGAGTGCACTCTGATAGCAATCAGGTCATCCGTCGCCCTGTCGTATATTTTAATCTTGATATAAGGCGGCGGGCCAGCTTGCTGTGGCGCAGTGCCGGGTGTCGTGGGGACAGTAGATGCCGATAGAGGACCGTTGTTGATACCCCAAGACGAAGCGGTACCGCCAGTGGACGGCCCACCCGACACGTAGTGCGCCGCGCCAGATTGCCGGCCCGAGGTCGGACGGCCATAAGAGTCTGATCGCTGATGCGTCTCCACTTGCGGTAGAGGCGAAGCACCACGGGAAGAGACACTTCTCGACGCGGCGTGGCCTTGGTAGGCTTGGGGAGAGTGGCGGTATTGGTTGTTTGTCTGGGAATGGCGAGAGGCAGCTGATTGGGAGCGGATAGCACTGGGGGAGTAACCTCCGCTAAGCCTTGGGTCGAGCTGGACATCTGCCAGCTGCTCTTGCAGCTCCTCCACCGCGTCTTCCCGAGAGATCTTTTCGTAGTGATCACCATGTCGCGTGGCAAAGAACGTCCTGAGAAGCTCATGCCGCAGAACAGGTCCGGCACCCTTTGACTTGAGATCCAGAAGCTCTTTGACGTATACGTCCAGCTCTTCTCGGCGGTACTCGGTCAACTCGTCGTCAATCTCATAATCGACAGGCCCGGGCATATACGGCAAAATACGCTCGGGTGTTTCTCGGCCGTTCCCGGAACCAGGCCTACCGGCCTCATAGGGGAAAGTATCGAGGAGGGCTATTTGAAAGTCGTAAAAGTCCTCGTACGAGCGGTAAAGCCCGAAAGAGTAAGCAGATGCCGTAGGGTCGTCGGGTACGAAATTGACGTTGAGCCGGAACCAGTAGACTCCGTTTTCCTGATGGAACGAGAGGACTGACATGGATGTCAGGTTGCCAGGAGGGAGCATTTCGTTTTTTACCGGCACGTACGAGGCGCGTCTTGACGAGCGCTCGGTAGGGGCAGGGGTGGTAGAGGTCGTAGAGGTGGAAGAGCTACCGGTCACCGGATTGACAAGAGTAGCAGAGGTAGATCCTGTGCGCGAGAGGGAGGTTTGAGACGCGTTGGCGCTGCCAGGATTGGGGGCATACGGTGAATTGGTGACACCGGGACCAATAATGTCAAACTTGCCCAGAGGAATAGCAGCCGCCTTGTAGTCCGCCGTCTTCTTCTTCCATTCTTCAACCATGGGGATGGAATTGGGCTCTATACTAACAGGCTGGCCAGTCTTGGGATCTCTGACCTCGACAAAGGCGACAGGAATGAGACCAGGACCACCGAGTCTGCCTATGGGTTTGGCAACAAACCTTGACGCATATCAGTCTGCCGCTCAAGGTAAGATAGTGAAAGCGACATACCACTCATGATTTGATTGAGCCATGATGACAATTGGCTCTCCTTTCTTCGCTTCGAGCTCGTCGGGCCTTTCGGCTTGGAAGTCGTACTGGACGATGGCATACACCCTGTGACTGAATTAGAGAAGGAGCAGTACCAAAACGCGTGGGACGCACGGGCTTTTGGAAGAGCGAGCACTGTCGGCAGACATTGGAGGAGACACCACGCCGGTACCGGGAGACCTTGGGTTGTTCTGGAGAGAGTTTTGTAGATGCGAAGGGGTGTTTGGTCTGGAACTAAGATAGTGTCAGTATAAGCCAAGCGAACGACCGGGCGAGGACGCGATGATCCAAAGAGAGCTATATCCGACGCGATTTGTACGTCCCAGGTAGCGAGTCATTCGAACAGGAATAGCGTCCAAGGATGGGGGTGACAGAGACCAATAAAGATGGCGCAACGACGCGCCCAGCGCCTATCGTCCCGCGAGGCCCGCAATTCCCATGCAGCCTTCCGTCGGATCTCTTTGTCTTTCCCGCAGTGTCCTGCATCCCCCAGGAGCTTGAATATCCCTCTCGCGACAGCCAAGAAGAGATGTACACCAGTCCTCCAAAGGAAGCACGTGACGGTCGCGGTAACTCACCTTCCTACGTCGATTGACTTGGCCCCCGCGGGATGCTTTCCTCCTTTGACAAACTCTTCGAAATCTTGCTTGGGAACAGCGCCTCTCGAGCCAGTCAGAGGATCTGCACCCGGGTCAGCCATCCATTCGCGTCGGACGCGTTCATCGCGAGAACATTACTACTCACTTAGAGCCTCATACCAGCTTCCCCTCTCGCCCGTCACATACCAAAAGTCGCCCTTGTTATAGCTCAGCTCCGAGGGGTTGGTGCTCTGGTGAGATGCGAGGGCCTTGATGACCTTTTGCGGAGGGGCGACTTTCTCCGACGGTCTTCCGAGGACATGGGGAGTTGCAGATTGGGACGTGGGAAGAGGCGGGGATGGTTGAGGCGAGCCGTTGTTTTTTTCGTGGTTGAGAGACCGCCTGAGGGACTTCATTGCGGTGGGGTGGATGGGGCGGATAGGGGAAGACAGATGGGCGAAATGAACACAGAGGACAGCGAGAAATGAGCCAAAACGGCGAGAAAAAGAGCGCAAGTGTCGAGATTGTTTTGTCCGCGCGACTGCGGCGACGTCCGCAGAACCCGCAACTCTTTGTTGTTGCCTCTTTGGGTCGTACTTTGGTTCCCACTAGCGTGTACGTATTGGTATGCATGCATGCAGCATGCCCCCCCACCGCTGAGGTCCTTCACTGCCCAAAGAAGCGGATGAACTGTTGAAGGCAGCCTGTGGGGTGTGACCGGTGGTTGGTTACTTTTGGGTGGGGGAACGGGACGTGCCTCCGAGTCCTTCAACCCATCACGGCATCATATCTATCTCTCGGCTTTCATTGTGGGGACGGTAGCTAGTATTCACAGGTAGCCTTTACGTACTATATAGAATCCCTTCAGAGAGTTGGTTACATAGCATAAGGGCCGGAGAAAGGGGGATCCACGGCTTGAACGGCATCCCGACTCTAGTCACAGCACTCTTTTGCAAGCCACACGTAACATGTCTGATATGAGCTGCCCGCATTCCGCACTCTGACTGTCACGCTGGATAATTGCAAGTGTATGCATAGCATTGTCAGAGTAAAAGGTGTGATATCTGCCACAACTCAAAATCGCCGAAACCCCGTTAGAGCAACGCGGGGTCTTTAACAGCCATAAATGGTGTCCAAGTAGCATCAGCACAGGTCGAGTGAGAATTCGCAATGGTAAGCACAGCGTCAGGTGTGGTGCGCAGCTACTGATCAGAACTACAGAGAGTCATCGTCAAAGGCGGTGTCTGGAGAAATACGGAAGATGAGATCCTGAAAGCGGCCATCTCCAAGTATGGAAAGAACGTAAGTGGTCTGCCGGATAGCTGAGGAGGCGAATTGACTTTCTGTATAGCAATGGGCCCGTATCTCCTCCCTTCTAGTCCGCAAAACCCCCAAGCAGTGCAAGGCGCGATGGTACGAATGGCTCGATCCCTCTATCAAGAAGGTCGAATGGTCCAAGACCGAGGACGAGAAGCTCTTGCATCTCGCCAAACTCATGCCCACTCAATGGCGTACCATCGCCCCCATTGTTGGCCGAACCGCCACCCAATGTCTTGAGCGCTACCAAAAGCTCCTAGACGATGCCGAGGCCAAGGACAGCGAGGAGTTTGGTATGGGCGCCGGAGAGGACGAGGCGTCCAAGCCTGCTGCCGATGCACGAGGACTGAAAGCGGGTGAAATTGATACCGACCCCGAGACGAGACCCGCACGACCGGACCCTATCGACATGGACGACGACGAAAAGGAGATGCTGTCTGAGGCGCGTGCGAGACTGGCAAACACGCAGGGAAAGAAGGCAAAGAGAAAGGCGCGTGAGAGGCAGCTGGAGGAGGCGCGACGTTTAGCGTTCTTGCAAAAGAAGAGAGAATTGAAGGCGGCGGGTATCAACTTGAGAGCAAAGCCCAAGAAGAAGGGAATGGACTACAATGCCGATATCCCCTTTGAGAAGCAGCCCGCTCCTGGATTCTACGACGTCACGGAAGAAAACGCCAAAGTTTACTCTGCCCCTGTTGGATCTTCCCTCCGAGCTCTTGAAGGGAAGCGTAAGCAGGAGCTGGACGAGATCGACGAGAGGAAGAAGAAGCAGAAGAAGGATGAGGGAAAGGGCAACCAAACTCAGCAATTCGTTGCCGCCCGAGAAGCTCAGATCAAAAAGCTCAAGGAGCAAGAGCAAGTCATCAGACGGCGAAAGCTGAATCTCCCTGTGCCCCAGGTCGGTGAGAGGGAGCTGGAGGACATTGTCAAGATCGGGCAGGTCGGAGAGATGACGAGGGAGCTTGTTGGGGATGGCAATGCGGCCACGGAGGGACTGTTGGGAGAATACGAGGCTTTGGGTGCTGCCAAGACTGCAAGGACGCCACGAACCGCTCCTCAGAGTGAGTATGCTTTCAAATATTCGGTCAGCACTAATGTCGCTTCAGGAGACAACATTATGGACGAAGCGAGACATCTTCGACAATTGACGTCTGCCCAAACCCCTCTTCTCGGCGAGGACTCGACTCCCTTCCAGGGCGGGCGTGCAGGTACCGGTTTCGACGGTGCTACCCCTCGTCACTCTGCCGAGGCGACTCCCAACCCTCTCGCTACCCCTGCCCACGGCAACGTCCTCGGTCCCTCTAGAACCGTACCTGGGTCCACTCCCATGCGAACTCCCCGTGACAACCTCAGTATCAACGACGATGCTTCCATGTACGGCGAGACACCCATCAGCGAAAAGCAACGTCTGGCTGCGTCAAGGAGGGCTTTGAAGGCGGGCTTTGCGTCGCTTCCCAAGCCAGAGAACAACTTTGAGCTGGCCGAGGATGAGGAGGAAGAAGAAGGTGACGAGGAGGTCGAGCTCTTGACGGAGGAGGACGCTGCCGAGCGGGACGCCAAGATGAAGGCGGCGAGGGAAGAGGAGGAGCGAAGAGAACTGGAAAGGAGAAGTTCAGTCGTCAAGCTCGGTCTGCCCCGACCAATAAATATCAACCTTCAAAACGTCTTGCGCGAGCTCAACTCTGTCGAAGAAGCCATCGACGCTGAACTCGCCGACGCTTTCCAACTCGTCAACCTCGAGGTCGCCTTGCTCATGCAGCACGACTCTATCGCGCACCCTCTCCCCGGCACATCCATCCCTGGCGGTACCCCATCAGATTACGACATGCCCGAGGATGAGTTTGTGGCAGAGGCGAAGAAGGCGGTGCATGCAGAGTTGGCTGGTGCTATGGGTCTGCCGGGAGCGAGTGAAGAACAATTGAGGCTTGCTATCGGATCTTCTGCCGAAGAGGATGATGCTGCCTTTGCCGATGCTTGGGCCAAGCAGCGCGAAGAGCTCATCTACTCGCCTTCTACCCGCAAATGGGTCGAAAAGGCCTCCCTCTCCCCCGAACAGCTCTCCGCCGCGTACACCCACGCCATCTCTGCCTCCCGCGACCGCGTCATCGCCGAAGCTACCAAAGCCGCCAAGGCCGAAAAGAAGCTCGGCAAGCAGCTTGGTGGTTATCAGGCCATCAACGGCAAGGCGAAGAGAGGGATCAGCGATGTGTTGGAGGAGATTCAGCAGACAAAGAGAGAGTTGGAGACGTTTTTGATGCTCAAGGGGATCGAAGAGGCTGCGGCGCCGGCGAGGCTGGAGAAGGCGAGGGAGGAAGTTCGCGTGATGGAGAGGAGAGAGAGGGATCTGCAGGCGAGATATGCAGAGTTGAACGACAGAAGACGGGCGGCGCTCGCTTCTATCGAACAGGTACGTCTCACCATACGTCCATACTAGATTGTTTTACTGATTTGGACTTTTAGCTCGAAGAAGACAAAATCGTTCTTGCTGCCCAGGCCGAGCTCGAAGCCCAAGGAGGGGAGGTGGAAGGAGATGCTGCCATGGACGGGGGAGAAGCATGAGAAGACGCTAAAAGTCGATATCTTTAAAGCCACGAGATGCACTGTTGTCATATTGTTACGCATCGTGCCGCTCTCAAAGTCAAGCTCTTCATCACAATCTGAATTACAACCTCCAGCCTATGATAGCACAACAGAAAGTCCGCGAGAATACTTAGAGCTTTGCGACAGACGTGCTCCCCAGGAGCTCATCCTTCTTAACCAGAGACGACAAATCAAGGGGCTTTCTCAACATCCCAACCCTCGCAGGGTCTTCGAGCTTGGGCGCACGGGTCACTCGCCATTTGTGCGCAAGATGGGGGTCAAGGGTACCTTCAATGCGATCCCTAATGAGGTCGCCAATGATCGGGAGGAACTACAGGCTATGTTAGACTATACCACTTCGCGGACAGGATAGCTGCAGAATAGACACACCTTGAAAGCATGCCCAGCACCGCCCGTAGCGAAGATTAGAGAAGGATAATCAGGGGAGTAGTCAATCACCCAATCCCCGTCTACGACATCAGAGTACCAGCACATACGAGTGTAGGCTATGGGGACTATCAAATCTGGTCAGTCCAGAACTTGTTGGCAGAGAGAGGGACATACGGCTGGCGATCTCAGGATAGACGATAGCGAGCTGATTCTTCAGGGAGTCGAACGATTCTTGGGGTATCCATCCTGAGAACGCAGTCAATGCATGGTAACAATTTGAGCATATAGGAGTTTTGACTCACCAACTTCGTTGTCTTTGTGGTAAGCGACTGCTTTGGGATCGGCAGCCGTCCTCGGAATGCCTGTCTCAGATGTGTAGCCAGCCCGATGCAAGGCGAATTTGAGTATGCCATCCTCATTTGGCTGACCAAATTTTAGTTCAGGAGCCTAGCGCAGACAATGGACAACTCACAGGGAAAGAGTAGTATCCACTACCATCATGGTGCATACTAACAGGAATGTTGGCATAGCGCTTTGCCTGTTCAGGCGAAAGCTGCACAGTGGCTATAGTCTGTCCTGTAGCGGTGATCAAGCCTTCAGGCATCATTCCCTTCAGTGCCGGATGACTTCCCGACCAAGAGCCCAAGGCAATGACGACCTTGTCAGCAAAGAACTGTCGGCCATCGGCACACCGAACACCCCTGACGTCCTTTCTGTTCTCGTCGTATAAAAGCTCAACCAGGTCGGCAGAAGGCACGAGCTTACCCCCGAGCTCTGACAGAAAAGAGTAAAGCTTGAGGACAGCGGCAGATGCGTTGGCCCATCCGCCCGATGGATTGTGGTAGCCTCGGACCTCCGGAGAAGGAGGATCGACTTTGATGCCGGGGTCGGGACCCAATAGCTGGACGAAGTCTTCAGGGCTGTTCAGAACTCTGACGCGGGGCTCTTGAGATTGGACATTCTTGAGTGTCTTGTGCATGCCTTCACCATGATGGTCTTGAAGATGCAGACCGCGAACAACCACACCAGTCCTGCACCAGAGTCAGACATTGGCCTCTCAGTCAGCCGGGAACGCACTGGTGATAGATTCCCTTCCACTCTGGCTTGTTCCACTCGTCTATAGCTTTCTTGGCCAGCGCTGAATAGTCGGCATCGACATAGTCGAATCGAACCACCTTGTTGATATCACAAGACGCCGCGTCGAGGGCAGGAAGCTCCGCCGCCCTATCTATGACTGTAACCTCGCCAAACTTTCCTGTCCGGAGCAGGGAGACAGCTGTGGCAGCACCGAGCTCTCCAGCGCCAACGACGAGTACTGAGGGTTTGGTAGGCATAGTGTTGGGTGTTTGGATGTATTTTACAAGAGAGAACGTGAAAAGCGATTGTCTGATAATTCTTGTGCTGTCATGTAGAGTGACCACGCTGTCGGGCCGGAGTACTGATTAGGATGTGCTTCGGCCTTAAAGATTGGGCGGAATTGCAAGTTCCGTAGCCGACAAGTGCCGAGCGCCTATGTGCCAGCAAGCCACCCCTGCTGGCGCATGCTTCGCGCATCTCCGATGGCCATCTGATCGAGCAAGGCCATATGCACCCCAAAGATTCCGGACCGTATGTTATCTTGCACACTCAGCGAGAATGATAACCAAACAATCTGGATTCTGGACCATGGTCATTCTGCGCGTCGGCCAGGCGTCGGCGGGGTTAGGTGGAGGTGGAGGTCTCCCCTTCGTTGACATTTCGAGGAGCGAGATGGATGTAGACAGTCCCTAAGTAACGCTCATCGCCTCCAAACCTCTCGTCAGAATCGGCCGATCCAACCTGGTGGCCCCAGAGAACCGATAGTCTCTCTGGCATGCTCCTCAGACGCTGCCGTACGATATTCAGAGCGGGCTCGAGATCTTTCGCGACTTCACCCACTCGTCTCGCACCAAAAACCCCTCGAAAGGCTTCAAAGTCGGCCACGCCCAGCTTTGAGCTGTCAGAACTTCAGTCGACCATATCTGGTCTCAAATCGGAACCCTTGGCCCCTTGGTCCGATACCTCTACAGTATCACCTTCCCGACGAGCAAAAAGGGTAGCGCATGCCGACCCGCTAGAAGATGGTCAACAAATAGCCCAGTCTACCTGGCAAGTGACCGAGCAAGATGAGATTCACAATGCGATACAATCTGGTATTATTCCGGATACGGCCCTTGCCCATGAAATCTTCTTGAACTGGAAACGATTTCCAGACTGTATATTGCTCACTAGAGTGGGCAAATTCTACGAGGCGAGTCTCTTTGTGTAACGTATAAACTTTAGCTGATCGAAAGAGCAGTCGTACTTTGAGCCGGCACGCAAACTGGCCTCCATACTATCCCTCACTCTCGCCGAAAAGTCATACGGCAGCACGTCTAAAGCCACCAAACGCTCATTCCCTTTTGCCGGGTTTCCCGTCGTTGGCCTGGACAAATATCTCAAGATTCTCGTTCAAGATCTCGGACACACTGTCGTACTTGTGGAAGAGTTTGACAGTGAGGGCGCGGTAGCCCATACTGGGAAAAAGCTTACCGCCGGTGCCGGGCCCAAAGAGCGCAGGGTCTACCGAGTCGTCACGCCGGGTACGATGGTGGATGAAGGATGGCTTGACAGTAATGAGAGTCGGTACCTTCTTGCTGTGGCCATTGGCGACAACGCAAATGAAGGCGGGTGCGAGATCTCTCTAGCGTACACGGACGCTTCGACGGGAGAGTTCTTTACAAAGGATACCACCTTGTCGCAGATGGAGGACGAGCTGACACGTATCGCCCCGCGGGAGGTAGTCTTGGACGCCTCGCTCAAGCCCCGGTGGCAGGAGTTGACGAGTTCAGTGCAACCAGGCAAAGTCACTGCTGTCTCTGACGAGCTTTTGACGCTTCTTCGGTTGTTGGGTGTACACGTATCGTTTGCCGACCCCCACAACCCCCCACCTCTCTGGACTTCTGCCTCCCCCGAAGCATTCCCCATTTCTTCCACAGAAGACTTTTCCATTGCCCTCCTCCGCCATCACCTCCAGTATGCACTTCGGGACACCATGCCCGCCCTGAGTGCCCCGGACAAGCAGGTCAATTCGGCGTTCATGCAGATTGACGCTGCTACTCTACAAGCACTCGAGATCAGGCATGCTCTCAGACCGGGGGGTCTACAGTCTACAGGTGAATCGCGACCTTCCTCGTCACCTTTGTCTTCGAGAGGTACACTCTTGTCCACCGTTTCCAAGACGATAACGCCCTCTGGCCATCGGCTCCTCATCCGAACCCTCACCGCCCCCTCCACCTCCCTTCCTGCTATCAATTCTCGTCTCGCCCTGGTTGAATCCTTCGTCGACCGCGATAACCTCCGTGCTGATTTACGTGATCAATTGAAAGGGGTCGGAGATATCATGCGGATCATCCAGCGATTTCGGGGACAGCGGGGGACGGGGAGGGATATTTGGGATGTCGGAAAGTGGATCAGGGACGTACAGAAGATGACAGACGTTATCAAGATGGAGATCTCAATCGAGACAAACGATACTCGAGAGGGAGAGGCAGTGTCTGGAGGAGTCCAACGTCTGAGAGATTTTGTGCGATCTTTCAGCGCCATCGAGGACATAGCCGCCAAAATCGAATCGGCTATCGATGAATGGGCTGTCATGTCCAAATACGCCAACACCAACTTAGAGATCAATGAGGAGTCGGAAGGCTTAGGGGACGGGCTGATGGAAGGGAGCAAAGTCACCGAGACGGACGCGGAAAAGAAAGAGAGGATCAAGCGAGAAAGGGAAGAGAAAGAGAGGGCAGAGTGGTGGATACAGCCTCAGTAAGTGAGCCTGTCGGCGTGTACTGTCTGGTACTGACCTCGATTTAGGTTCAATAATGAGCTGAAGATGTGGCATAAGGAGCTCGCATCGCTGAAGTCGGAAATGCTGAAACTGCAAAAGAATCTTGTCAAGAAGCATGGTGAGTGACCGTTGGCCTTATATGCTCCAACTGACCAGGCGTCCAGGTACTCCAACTCTGACTGTTGAGAGGGGCGTCAAGTTCAGATACCACCTCCAGATGTCCAAAGACGATGCCAACAAGGTCGCCAAGGCGAGATCTCTGGAGCGCATGGGGAGCACTACAGGCAAGACGGCCTTCTTTGCACACGGAGTATGTTTTTCATTCTCATCTTTCAATTGGTACTGAAGATACTTTAGCAAGTGACCGCTCTGGGGCATAAACTAGACCTCACTACCGAGAATTTGGCCAACGCCCAACGTCGAGCGGCTCGTGACTTGCAGAACATGGTCGTTGAGTATGCCGACGTTATACAGCGCAATGCGAGTCTAGTGGACGAGTTGGATCTCAGTATGGGCTTTGCGGAAAGCGCGGTCCAGATGGGCTGGGTCAAACCCGTTCTCGATGAAGGGTACGTGCTATCGTCTGTATAGAAGTCAAGCCTGACATGGACGCCGCAGGACCGGCCTTCACATCGAGAATGGCCGCCACCCCTCTGTCGAGTCGGCTCTCCTCTCCTCTTCTCGCCTCTTCACCCCCAACTCCACCTCCATGTGCCCCCTCACCCACCTCCACGTCATAACTGGCCCAAACCAAGGCGGCAAATCTACCCTCCTGCGTCAGACTGCTGTCATCGCCATCCTAGCCCAAAGCGGGAGCTTTGTCCCCGCAGATAAAGTGGAGATGGGAGTGGTGGATAAAGTGTTTAGTAGAGTCGGGGCGAGGGATGATCTGTGGAGGGACAGGAGTACGTTCATGTTGGAGATGGTTGAGTGAGTACTTTGACAGACGCCTGAACGTGGCTGATAAGTATCAGGACGGCTGCTATCCTCAAGCATGCCACGGACAGGTCCCTGGTCATCATGGACGAAATTGGGCGAGGAACGACCCTGCAAGCGGGCATCTCTATAGCATACGCCACTCTGGACTATATACTGCAAAACATCAAGTGTCGCACCCTCTTCGCTACACATTATCACGAGCTAGGCAAAATGCTGGGATACCGGAGAGTTGAGAAAGGACAGAAAGAGTCTTTGGGGAAAGAAGGGATAACATTCTGGTGCACTGATGTTGATGAGCTTGTGAGTGTCCTCTGTCCGTCAGATTGGTCAAGAGCTGAACCATTAAAGGATGGTGCTTTCTCATACTCTTACAAATTGCGTCCGGGCATCAATTATGATTCACATGCCATCGTGAGTGTTTTCGTGCAGTATGGTTTCACCACTAACGGCCCTGTAGAAAGCCGCAAGTCTAGCAGGCATGCCAGAATCCTTCCTCCAAGTAGCCGAAGACACCCTCAAAAGCATCCAAAAATCTTCTCCTTCAAAGTAGAGCCGCACCCCGTCAATCTAACGAGACCCAAACGAAATTTCACGACAATCATAATTTATCAATCTTGCATGGCATTTGGCATCATTTCGTTATACAATACTTTCGACATGAATATGCAGTCACTACTGCTTATCGTGATTCTATATTTTAACAGTTGGAAGTGGGATTTGAAGCCATTTCAGTTTTTATCGTCGGCGTAACATACTCCCCAGTCAACGCCCTCGCGAGCAAAGTACTGGCTTTCGATGAACGCGTCAAGCTCGCAAAGACCGTGTTCTGCGAGCACAGACTGTTCACAAGCAGAATGAATGACCGGCTGGATCTTATCGCTGTCCAACTCATCAGTACAGCGTCATGCACAGAGACAGAAACTCACTTGACCAAAATCCTCACAAAACTCTTCGTCCCTTCCTTCCTCGTCTCGGGCTCTTCGTCGGGTGGATTGATTCCCCAGTTGTTCGTATCACATGATACCCGTTCGAAAGTGAGGCGCGCTCCAAAGGGCACGATATGGGAGAGGATGAAGGTGCGCTTGAGAGGGACTTCTGAAGTAGTCAGGGGACGGTGCTGCTGGGTATCCGTCAGTAAACCGCATCGCGATACAGCAGTGAAACCTACTTTGAGCACACCCAAAGCTGCTAGGGTTTCAAGCATCTCATTGTCGTGTCCGAAATCCTAAGATGCATCTCAGAATCCGTATCATCATGTATTGCATTATCACTCACCACGAAGAATCGCTGACCGCCACGAGGGAATGTGGCTTCATCTTCATTCAAAGTGCGATTAGTGATCGTACGATCCACCGGCACAGAGTCGGTCAGCCGAGCGATAACCTCGTTGACATATCCCGCCTGTACTCAACATCAGCCCCATCCCGCTGTCCCAGAACTCCACTTACACCCATCGTAGCTCCCAGATCGCTCCCCTGTCCAACCTCGTAGAACCGCTTCACATCTTTCATATATCCCATCACCTCCCACTCATCCTGATCAAAAACCGCACACCACTTGGACCACCCATCCCAGCTCAATCCCCTCACTTGGCTATCGTACCCACACATATCAGCGAGACATACAAGCTCTTCCATTTCTAGTCTGGGGACGGGTCGGAGGACGGAGTTCAGCCGGTCTAGGGCGGGTTGAAGGAGAGGATACAGTTCTGCTTGAGCTTCCTCGCCTGGTGATGGAGAGAGGGACTCGAAAGCGGGACAGGAGTGAACTGAGAGGGTGTTGTTGTAGGATGAGCCTTCGGGGATTACCAAATCGACCTCTGGAAGCTTGGGTAGCTCTTTACGGCTGAAGCGATGTCTCCGGAATCCCTGCTTGGTGGTCAGTATGACGCCAGGATTAGCTGAGGTTGACATACTTCTAGCCAATATCCTGAGGTTTCTACGATCCTTTCTCCTCCAGCAGACCGAGTGAAGACACCCTCGGCCTGTTCCAGGAATTTACGGTAGGCGCCAGAGATATGGTATCCAGAGTCCCACGCACTTGATTGAATGTCAGTCTCACTATCATACAATGGCTTTTGGACTGACGCTTTCCGCCCCTGGTCCATCAAGCCATCGAAATGCCAGTTCTCCAAGTCCAAGTCCGCTTTGTTCAAGAACGACAGCTTTGGATGGTGTCTCGATACTCTCACTTCTCTATTCTTGATCTTGCCCAGACCGCTGAGCATACACTTCCCAGCACTCGTGGTCGGATATCTCGCTGTATGTCTATGCAGCTATCCTTCTTCATCAGCGTTCTGCGCTCGTCACACCGCGCTCGTCACACCGCGCTCGAGCCTCACCAAGGTGACCTGATCCACCTCGCACCCCCTTGGAAGGCCCACCACTGCCCCTCCCTTCCCCATCCGCCTATACGGCGCATAGGGCCCCTGGTTTCTCCACCACCCCTCTTCCACGCCCCTACCATCCCCTAGCAACCGGCATAGAGGTTGGAAGTAGCAATTGCCGAACGAGGAGACGTCCCAGGCCAAGAAGGCAACAGCAGCAAAGAGGAGAACGGGAAATATGATGGGGAGGAAGTGGAGGATGGAATTCTGGCGGGCCCGGCGACGGCGGTTGAGGAGACGATGAAGGCTTTGGGAGCTGGCGCGGGAGGAGAGGAGGGGCGTTGTAGCGGTCGGAGTGGCCATCGTTATCGCTTGTCCACTGTGCAGGGTGAAGTACTATAGCATCCCAGTGGTTGCAATGCAGACGACTCGCAGCGGGTCAAGAAGAGGGTCAATGGAAGGCACAAACACATGGACGAGTAGAGGTTCCATGTCACCACTTTTGTTGTCTTCTCTTCTGCTACAACAACAGTCACGCTTTCTACCCATTCCAAACCCGCAAGATGTCGTTTGATCCCTTCAGAGCGCCAACTCCGACGCCACTAGATATCTTTCGCAACAAGCCCGGCCCCTCGTTGCGCTCCTTGATCGGACAGCCCCTCACAATAACTCTCACAGACGGCCGGATTCTGATCGGCTATTTTACCTGTGTCGACAAGCAGTGCAACATCATTCTGTCCAATGCTGAGGAGTTTCGTCCAGCGCCAGCCTCTCTTCAAGCCAAAGAGCTTGCCGCCGCGGAAGGACTGCCAATGGTAGGCGAACTCGCCGAAGAGACAAAAGAAGAGAAAGTATGGAGGAACAGAGAGCAGTACTGGCCCAAGAGCGAGCCTTTCGGGGGCTATGGGACTGGATGGGGCGGCAGGGGGCTTGCCATGGTGTGTATGAAGAAGGAGGACGTGGTCAAGGTGGAGATAGAGAAGGAGGCTTGGAAATGGATGGGTGGGCAGTGAGGTAATATGCTGCGTCGCTGGGGAGAATGTCTCGCCCGGCGGAGGTGCGGGCCGTCTGATACAGAGCTCAAAGTCCTTCATTACCTTTATGATGTGAGTAACATAAAGGAGGCATATCCCATCTGTAAGTGATCAAGCCCTTTCCCGCTTTCAAGCTGACATCTCTAGACATACCAATCTTCAGCGTTCGTAATAATACATCACAAGTACCATGGTGTCTCCCATATACATCCCCGACTCTCCCCTGGCCCGTATCAGTCCCCGCTCCCCCCATTTCTTTCCCTTGAAATCGCCTCTGCCATCCCCATTCGTCTTCAAAACCCCTGTAAAGTCTCCAGAATCCTCTCCTCGCTCTCCTGTCCCGATATCTATCGGTAACCTATGGTGCCTTCTACCATTCCTCGTGACGGCTCTACATGTGCTGCTGGCGCCGCATACGAAGGTGGAAGAAACACCTGGTTTACATGCCGTGCACGACCTGTTGAAATATGGCGTAAATCAGATCGACAAGGTGACTCATCTCTTTAAACTTGGTAGAGATGTCTAACGAGCCCTGTGCAGTATGATCACGTCACGTACCCAGGACCTGTAGCAAGGTCGATGATCCCAAGTATCATACTTTCAGCAGCCGCTTATCCTTTGTCACTTCTAACAGGGATTGATGAAGGACCCCATCTACAGATTCTGAGTGAGTATGGTCGACTTGTTTCTGAGACTTTGACTGATCTAGTCGATATAGTCCGCTTGGTCCAATCGGCCATGTTCTCCGCCGCCGTCGTTCATCTGTCAAGATCCATTGGGATGTATTACAAGTCGCCTTTGACCTCGCGTCTCTTCTTGCTCTTCTCCATGACACAATTTCATGTGCCTTTCTATGCTGGACGGACGTTGCCCAACTTTATGGCTTTGCCTTTTGGTTAGACTGGTCGCATTTGATGGAGAAAAGGTGCTGACGAGGTTGACAGTTCTGTGGGGTTGTTCCTACGTCATACGGCCGCAGCAGTCTGCTCGCGGGGTGATGCAGGGGATCTGCCTTTCAACTCTTACAGCAACAATCTCTAGACTAGAACTCGCTCCTCTTGCCATCGCCCTTGCAGGTATCAGTGTCTTGCAAGGTCGAGTCTCCTTTACACGAGGTCTGCTCAGCGGGGCAGCAGGAGGCTTCCTCGGTCTCGGTAAGCTTACACCCTCTTGAATCTGTCCAAAGACCAAAGACTGAGCGCTGACCTCAATTAGCCTTGACAAATTCTGTCGACACCTACTTCTTCGCCCCAATCTCTCACCTATACCCATACTACCAATGGCCCGAACTCTCCGCGGCAGTGTTCAACATTGTCCAGGGCAAATCTGCTGATTGGGGCGTCATGCCGGGATGGTATTATCTTGCTGCGCTGGTCAAGCTTGGGATGGGGGCGGTACCATTCTGGGGGTGCGGTGTCTACATGGGGTTGAGAGGAGAAAGGGTGGAACGGAGAATGGTTCAGTTGGTTTTGGGGTGTTTGATTGCTTCTGTTGGGTGTTTGAGCCTTGTCGGACACAAAGTGAGTCGCCATTCCTCATAATCACCACTAAAGCTGATCGTGGTCCAGGAATGGCGTTTTATAATTTATTCCATACCCCTTCTCAATATACTAGCAGCTCGAGCCGCTGCAACCCTTTGGCACGCCTACATCTCCAGTAGATATCTTAAGCTCAAGTCACAAAAGATACAAGCCCACCTATGCAAGACCATCATTATCCTCACAATCCTCGCAAATGTATTTCTGACAATCATATTCACATCCATCAGTCGACTCAACTACCCTGGTGCCACAGTCGGCAAGATCCTCGTCGAGCTCGCTCATCAGAACCAATCCTCAACCGAGGTACACAAAGTCTACCTCTCAGCTTCAGCCCTCCACTCTGGCGCCACCCTACTCACCCTCCCCTCCTCTTTCCTATCCACTGCCCTGGGCTTACAGCTAGACCATCCAGAATCGGCTTATGAGCGCTGCTCCTCGCCCTGGGGTAATAGTCCCCAGGAACTATGGGATGGGGGGTATATGTGGGTGGTAGGGGATGAGTGGGAGGAGTTTGAGAGGTCTGGGGGGTGGGAGGTCGTTGGGGAGATTGAGGGGTTTGCTGGAGTGGGGAGAGGTGGGATCGTCAGTGGTCGGAGGTTGGCGGTATTGCAACGGACTGAGGTATGAACATCTGATGCATATGTTATACCTCGGATACGTCTAAGCGTCCTACACTTTATGACTATCAGAAATGCGATTGACCCAAGAGGCCGAATTCTCAGTATTGGGCGAGCCCGGGCGTGGGATCAATGCAAAGAGCGTGTCGCGACTACTGGTGTGAGAAGACTCTGAGTGGTGTCGGTGGGAAAATGGGAGGTGTATCTCAATCTGTCCTATCTGCAGGTGGCGTCGCGTCCTTCCCGAGAAATCCAACCTTACCACCCTTCACCCTCTCCTCATACCACGCCTCAAACGCCTTCCACCCCCAAACCCCGTCCCCATATCCTCCCCTATTCAGCACAACCTTTCTAACCTCCTTCCTCTCCTCCACATCCCGAAAACAATTGCTCCACCATCCTTCCAAGCTCCCACCCCTCATCGTGCTGTTTGAAAAGTCCAAGAGACCTTCGGAGTGGAGGGCGGTGAAGAAGAGGACGAGGGGTGCGGCGTGCGGTTGGAGAGCAGGGAATTCGGAGAGGTGTTTGAGAATACGGGTCAGGCGTAGGAGGTTGTGGTTTGCTGAGCGGAGGTTGGAGACTGTTTGGGTCAGTATGTGGATCAATGAGGAGGGGGTTAGGAGCTTACGACGTTCTTTGTGGTTCTCGGCTAGTTTGAGGTGACCGCCATTGAAATCGATACCGTAGAAGGCGAGCATCTGTCTTGTAAGCGGGTATACGTCGGTGCAGAAGGAGGCGTACCATTTTGTATGACCTCAGAAGTCGTTCCAAGACCTCTGGGTCATCTTTCATAACCTCGATCTCGTGCACCTCGAGCGGCTGAGCCCTCGGATTAACACCATGCTCCCGGATGGGGAAGAACCCTACTATCATCAGCTTGTGTACAGTACCAGACTCTAGTCAACATACATTGAATATACCCACTAACCCAATGTGATCAGCCACGATGACCCGGCGACAGGAGCAAGAACTCACTGATCCCACTCTAGATGCCTCCAATCCCTTCCATGCGCCTGCACCCATTCTTCATAACGCTCCGTTCCTGGTCGACATGGGATTTCATTTCTGTAAAACTTGATATTGCTTGTCAGGTCGGGATTTGAGCTGCTGTGTGGATAAGAGTCGAGGAATTGCTGAATATCTGGTGCATGTGAGCGAGATAGTGTGAGGTATGGAGGAGACGGACCTCTGGGCTTGGACATGGTGGCTAGCCCTCTGGAGTGCGATGGTGATGAGAACAGCGGTCTGGTGGCTCTGAATAGTTTTGCGGGATTCATGGACAAGATGATGATGGAGTTGTGGAGTTGACCGACAACAATCGATCACTACCCCGGGGACCCCGCATCCACTCGGTCCGGCCATCGCTTTCGGCTTGCAAAAATCGGCAGCCATTCAGAATTCCCCCATCTCATCTCCCATCTCTTCAATACACCCGCCATGGGATCCCACAGCGACCACAGAGTCCCAGAGGAGATCTCAGACCCAGACATCTATGGTGATGGGCGGCAGGAGGTCGAGCAAGCTACGCCGGGGGTCAAAGAGCACTCGCCATATATCGGCTTTGCGGCGGGCATCTGCTCGGGGTGAGTTTCCTTGACTGGTGAGATGGGATGAAAGCTGACCTGGGTATAGATGGACAAAAGTGAGTAGCTCAAAGCCATGTGCGAGCTTTGTATAGCCGTTTCGACAGAGTCGTCGTGTCGTTATCCTCCAGCTAACAACCTCGCTAGCTCATCGTCGGCCACCCCTTCGACACCTGCAAGATCCGACTTCAATGTGCCCCTCCAGGGACATACAAAGGCGTATGGGACGTCTTGTCCTCTACAGTCACCAAAGAAGTACGCTCTTCCTCTCCGAATCCCTCTAGCACTAACAGCAACAGGGCCCGAGAGCGCTCTACAAAGGCGCGAGTATCCCGGCCATCTCTTGGGGTATCACCGACTCTATCCTCATGGGTAGTCTACACAACTATCGGGCTTTCCTCTTGACCCATGGGTTTGGTGAACGAAATCCCGGGTCGGAGGAGCAGAGGCTTTCGATTCTGGGTCATACCACCGCTGGACTCTTTGCAGGTTGGACCAAGCACGTCCCTCTAGCCTTTTGTTGAACTGTGACTGACGAATTGATAGTGCAATACCAGCCCATGCCACGGAATTGATCAAAGGCAAACTGCAACTCCAAATGATCCAGCCCGAAAATACCCCCAAAGAATTCTCCGGCCCCATCGATGTCGTCCGCAAGACCGTCGCCGAGCAAGGTATCACCGGAATGTGGCGTGGACTCGGATCGAGTTTCTTGTATAGAAGTTGTTTCCTCGCCATGTTTGGAAGTGAGTGTCACTCTTCCTTTTGCCACGAGGAAGAGTACTGACAATGGGGCAAGGTTTCGAAGCGTTCAATAGACTGTTCAAGAGCTGGGATGGGACGAGCTGGGAGATGTCGAGCGGGATGGCAAACTTTATCGCAGGTGGTATGGGATCGAACGTCTACTGGCTTGCTGCTCTACGTGAGGATACCTCTCTGGCGTTGACACTCAAGAGCTGATGTGTGTTAGCGATGGACAATATCAAGAACCGTATAATGAGTAAGGCCCTGGTCGTCCCCCTTTCGCCAAGCGCTTACTGTCGTATAGCCGATGATATAAAGAGACCGCGCTACAAGGGCGTCTTTGACGCTTACAGACAAGTCTGGCGAGAGACGTTTGACCCCTTCAAGTCGTTCGGCTGGAATTCAGCTGCAAGAGTAAGAAACTTTTACAAAGTACGCCTCCCTCCCCTCTCTCCCATCTACGTGTGTGCTTACGTCTGCTGCAGGGCTTCACGCCAGTCGTGTTGAGAGCATTCCCTACGAATGCTGCGGCTTTGGCGGTATGGGAAGGTGTGATGCGGTGGCAGACGGCTTGACGAATTGAATACGACCCAACGACGAACCTCGGTACTCGTACTGTATACCCCACTGGATTCCCTCACAAGCATCTGCATGTTCACCTTCATTTTCTGTTTTCTACAAATATCTACAACATAGATTCTAGATTTGACGATCTTCCCCACTGCACTGTATGAAATCATGAATCGTCCCTGGCGAGGCGCAAATGACGTCTTTACTCTTCGTCAAAGAAGAACTTGGTACGGTTTTCGATGGGGGCAAATGTTTTCTCCGCGGCGGGGCCGGTGGGGACACCGAAGGGAAGGAGGGCAGAGACCTGGTATGAGACTTAGTAGGTCACACATGTGAGGTAAAGGAAGCTTACCGTCCAAGTGGGGGGAACGTCGACATATTTGGTAATGTCCGCCTGGATCTCGGGAGAGACTTGAGCATAGTGCTGACCGGCCGTCAGCTTTGCCACAAGCACCGCCACAAACGACCCACCTGCAAGTTGGCACCGTGACCCTCAGCGACCAACGCAGTCCATACAATATGCTGCACAATACCCGCAGAGTTGTCAGACCACACGGGGAAAGCCTGGGCATAAGCGGGGAGCTTGGCGGCAAAGCCGTTGATGACCTCTTGGTCTTCGAAAAAGATGACGGTACCGTAGCCGGCCTTGTAGACACTGTCAAACTTCTGGTCCCAGGTCTGTTCTTTCTCCTCTGTTTCCTCGGTGAGCGCGGTTCTAACAAAGGGAAGAGGCACATACTGTCACCGCCCAAGGTGTTCAAGAAGCCCTTCTTGACAAGGTCCCAAAGCTCATCGTGCTTCTTGCCAGCGACAAGCACGGCCCTGCTCTGCTGGCCATTGAAACTGGTAGGCGCGTGCTTGACGGCCTTCTCGACAATGTCTTTGAGCTGGGCGGGGGAGAGGGTGGTCTTCTTGGTGAGGTTGTAGAAGGAACGGCGGGTAGCGACGGCGTCAAAGAAGGCGGCAGACTTGGACATTGTTGTGGATGGTATTTGGGGATGGGAGAAGGGAAGCAAAATGAGATGCGACAGAGTATAAATAGGGTCTGCTCCTGGTCTGCTCGGATGTCCGGCGGACTGATTGCGTAATCGTTGCTAAGCTTTCGCAGCACTTGTTGGTCAGCGTTGCCATGAGTGGTCGGATCCGGGATGTCCATGATGATCACTGCCTCTATGATCAGCCAACATGCTGACGCAAGCATTCTCGCATTATGCATGAGCCGAACACAGCTAGCTCCATCATGCACATACCATGTGACGGCGGACATGACCGCATTGTCAGTCGATCGTTCGCATTAACGGGCCTTCGTTCTTTGGTTCTTCTGTTACCACTATCAGCACATCTGCACCATGTCGGACATCAGAGACATCTCCATCATCTCCACCAAACAGCTCGACTCGCCCAAACCCCACACCGTCTACATCATCCAGAGTCAGTCCCCCACACCCTTCCCCACACTGACACTGACGCTTACCAGTCACAACACCTACCCGGAGCTGGACAGTGACGCGCCGGTATAACGATTTCGTCGACCTCCATACCGAGCTCAAGTCGTCTACGGGGAGCGAACCGCCTGCTGGTCTGCCGCCCAAAACATGGGGGCTGGCGTTTGGCAAGAGCAACGAGGAAAAGGTGCGTGCGGTTCTTGTGCGCATGTCTGAGCAATGAGCTGACCAGGCGGTAGGTCCGGGAGCGCAAACCCCTTCTAGAGCTCTACCTTCGTACTATCCTGAATACTAAGAACCCCCTCTGGCGTACAGCCTACACATTCTCAGACTTTCTCGCCGTCCCCTCTCACTCCACTACTGCCTCCGCCCCCGGCCAATCCGGCGGACTGAAATTCACTCCACAATCATGGATGCTCGAGCACGGCGCTATCCAAACGCTTCTCCGCACATCCCGCTCATCGTTACTCAAACGCGATGCTTTGGCAAGCATGTCGAACGCTTCTGGCTCGCGCTCTGCTGCTGTGGAAGCCAAACGCCATCTCAAAGAAGTCGACGCTAGACTGGACGTGCTCGAAAAGGGTCTCAAAAGCCTGCAAGGACTAGGAGAAGGCGAGGCGAGGAGGAGGGAAGAGATGGTGGAGGGGTTGAAGGTGGAGAGACAGACTTTGGGGAGGATGGCAGAGGCGGGGGTGAGGACGGCGGCGCCGCCGGGTGGGGCGAGCTTGGGAGGAGCGAGGGATGGGTCTTCCAACCCCTGGGCACCGGCAGGCCAGACCATGCCCGGAGCTCTTCCCTCAGGCCGTGTGTTTGGCTCCAAAGCTCCACCGCAAGAGACGGAACAAACCCGCCCGCTCGACGACCGCCAGCTCCTCCAATACCAGAATTCCAACATGGAACAGCAGGACGAGCAGCTGCGCGGTTTGAGCCGGCTCTTGCAGACGCAGAGAAGGATGGGGGAGGAGATACATGTGGAGATTGAGAGTCAGAATGAGCTTTTGGAAGGGATTGAGCAAGGGGTGGATAGGACGGGAAAGAAGGTTGGAAAGGCGAAGCGGGAGATGAATCGGCTGGGATGAGAGAGAGAGTATAATGATATCACGACTTTGACGACTTTGATGACGCTTTGTATTGTGCGAGGCGCCCTTGTATAGCGGAATGCCGAGGGTTGAGTTGTGTGACACTCAAACATGCATTACAACACTATAGTGCCGTACAAGATACTTGAACAACACAAGACTCGTTTCTCACTTTTCAGACATATCCACATACACCTTCTCCCCACCTCTTATGCTCTCCTCATACCAATCTGCCACAACTCCAAACAACCCCTTCAGCCACTCACACACTAGCGCAGGGCCCCTTGATCCCGTCCCATCCGTAGAGCTTGCAGAGAGATAGACGCCGGCGATATAGGCTTCAAAGAGGGCGGAGCGAATGTCGCATCGGGATTGAAGACTTGAGAGTAGCGTAGGGTCGGCGTCGAGACGTTCGGGCAAACCGTAGATTGAAGACAAGTGCGAGAGGGTCACGTTGGATATAATGCTCTCTTTGAGTTTCTGCCATGGCAGTGAGCTTCAGTGCACGTGCTGTGCGATTTGAGCGTACAGTGGCCAGCTTGAAGTCTAGGTGCGGTTTCGCGTCACACAACCACCCCGCAAGAAACATGACCAACACGCTCGCCCCAATATGCTCCAAATCCTCAAACCCCCTCCGCATCTCCTTCCTCTCCACATCAAACACATCCCCCACCCTCGGCAGCGCGCTCCGGTCGGTAAAGACAGTCTTCAACACGAGCGGGTCGTGGATGGGCGGCAGGGGCGGGAGGTCGAATATGGGGAGGCGCTGTTTGGGGATGGAGGCGGAGGCGGGGCGGGGCATGAGGAGGTCTGAGAGGTTGTTGGAGAAGCGGGCGATGGCTTCTGACTGTTGGCCAAAGGTGCTCCAGCGGTTGAGGGGGTGGTGGACGGTGTCGGCCGGGTGGAGGTTGAAGTGGGGTGCAGACATGGCGGGTGGCGTCGTACTCGACAGATATGCACAATACAGACAATTGGATGGCTACACTGGGTCTATATATGCACTTGACGGAAGCAGTTGAAAGCAGTTGAACGAGCAGGGCCTTCAAGGTGTGGCTGGTGGTGAGGCGCGGTGGAGGCGGGGGATCGGGACAACCGAAGCGTGCCGACGGGGGTCCCCACCCCCCAGTGCCCCGGATTTGCTTCCGTGGATTGCATCATGGACAGCGTCACTGCTCTTTAAAGGGTAATTGCATCTCTTTTCTCTTTCATCTTCCATCAACTTCTATCATTCAACATGGGCAAATCAGTATTCCTCACCGCAGTCACCGGGTACGTTCTCCCTCCCCCACCCCTGCCCACGCTCACACCTCTGCAGTTACATCGGTGGTACCGTCTTCCAGTCCATCCTCGACTCCCCCAACCCCCCTTCCAAGGTCACCGCCCTCATCCGAGACTCCACCAAGGCCGACGCCTTGACCTCGCTCAACATCGCCAAGCAAAAGGGAGTTACCGTCGTCCCCCTCGTCGGCTCTCTTGAAGAGCACGACAAGATTCGCGATGCCGCGGCCGATGCCGACGTCGTCATCCAGTCTGCCGACGCCGACGACCTCGAGGGTACCAAGGCCATCTTGGAGGGCTTGAAGATCCGAAGGGACAAGACTGGCCACAGGCCCCTCTTGATCCACACTAGTGGCACTGGCGTCTTGGCTGACGACGCTCGAGGCGAGTACCCTACCGACAAGGTGAGTCACTCCTTTTCCACGTGTTTATGCGCATGCTGATGGCGTGGGGCAGATCTACACCGACCTCAACGCCTCTCCTGCTACTCGACTTGGTCCCGAGCTTCACTCTATTGCCAAGATCCCCGAGACCGCCCCTCACCGTATTGTCGACCTTGAGATTGTCAAGGCTGATGCCGCTGGTATCATCAAGTCGTATATCGTGCTCCCAAGTACTGTCTGGGGTTACGGCACTGGAGAGGTGTGTCTATCAACTTGGTCATTGAGATCAGTGCTGACAGAATCACAGGTATTTGACAAGGGTATCTCTCACCCCACATCTATCCAGCTTCCTCAGTTGATCGAAATTGCTATCAAGCGTGGACGAGTCGGTGTTGTTGGCAAGGGTAGGCACATGCCACCGATTCCAAGTATGGCGCTGACCATTACCAGGTGCCAACATCTGGAACCACGTCAACATTCAGGACCTTGGCCGTCTGTACGGTCTCATCTGGCAAAAGGCTGCCGTTGAGAGGCCTACCATCGGCCACGGTACCTCTGGTTACTACTTTGGTGTTGCCGGCGACTACACTCTCTTTGGTGCCGCCTCTGCCATCGGCCAATCCCTTCGCAGCCACAAGGCTCTCCCTGAAAGCGCCGAAACCACCCCTTCATCATTCACTGAAGAAGAGATCCAGCAGTACTTTAAGGGAAGCTACTACTCTGGTACCAACTCTCGAGGGGCTGCCGACAGGAGTAAGAGCATCGGGTGGACCCCCAAGTATGTGGACCAGGCGCAGTTCTACCAGGACATCGATGAAGAGGTGCAGAGGTTGGGCAAGGTCGCCAAGGCCTCTGCTTAGATAGAAGGAATCATTGAAGCAATTTTATAGAGCATACTTGTAGCGAATAGGAAAATGCAAATGTGGATATAGCAAAAAGTCACATGATCTAAATGACAGATTAATCCCATCCAAACTGAGGCTCTTCATTTTCTGCCACGCCCATCTCTTCGAATTGCTCGAGCAGCTCGTCCATGTCGATCTCGGGGAAGTCTTCCTCCTCCTCTTCATCTTCTTCACCTTCACCGCCCATCTGCTCGTCGCCGTCCATATCCATGGCACTCTCGGCGGCTTGCTTGGCCAGGCCCTGTCTTCTCTTGCCTCCCCTCATGCCAGAGCCAGACTTCTTGTCGCCGGCCATCGCCTCGTCCTCATCCTGCTCACCTTCCTGCGCTTGCGCCTGCTCCTGTGCCTCAGCCTTGTACAGATTGATCGCACTACGCATCTCCCTGTCCTCTTCAAGATCCCGCAAGAACAGCTCGTAATCCCTCTCCACATTCCTCGCGTCCACACCACCCTTCCTACCCAACGCACCACGTCCAACCGTACCCTCCGCCACATCCTCCGCCTCCTTGGCGATCGAGCGCAACTTCCAGTTCCTCGCCTTGGACTTCTTTCTTCGGTTGGGGTACGTCTTTTTGACGAGTATGACATCGGGGATCCGGCCCTGCTCGAGCGACTCGAAAGACTCCGAGTTAAAGTTGGTGTGTGTCAGGTGGAAACCGAGCACCGTGTCTCCGGGCTGGATGATGGCGCCGAGGTGGGTTCGGGTGTGGTAGATCCCGTCGTCGTTGGCATCGTCGCCCGCACCCTTGTAGCTCGACCGAGTCACCTGCGCGTCGGCGAGGACGTACTTGCCCCGGACAGGACCAGAGGGCTCGACGTCGAGGACGATGAACTCGACGAGGTCGGTGACGGTACAGAGAGAGTCGAAGGGCTGGCGCCAGTAGACGGGAGCGGTGACGTCGGTTTGTTGAAGAGTCATGGGGTCGAGGAGGTGGATGGTGTTGCCGATACGGGAACAAAGCGTCAGGGGGCTGAAACCAGTGTCAGCCGGGCTCGAATGGTATGGCAAGAAACGTACGAGATGTTACCCCATGATCGGGCGAGGTTGCGAGGAAGGCAGACCAGGTCATCTTTACACACTGAAACGATTTCAACAGAGTAGGTGAACTTGTAATTGGAAGTGTTGGAGTGGGTGTCGGAAGAGATCAATTGCTCGGAAGCCTTGATCCTAGAACATTGTGAGCTTGAGTCCAGAAGATATAGGGGAAGCTTACCTGATAGGAACGACGCTGGCGAGGAAATCGCACATCCTGATGGCATTGTTACGTTCAGTGTAGAAGAAATCCAGACCATCTCTCTTCTCCGCAATGTTGATAGTGTCCCTGAGACTCGTCAGTATTCCTCCAGAATACTATCAATCAAAGCACCCACTTGTGCGCATTGTGCTTCAAGATCAATTGCTCCAACCACAAGAAAGTCCTCTTGTGCGTGACCTTCTGCCTAACCTGCACACTCGCCTTCCACGTATTCTTCGCCGCCAGTCTCGTACACGCAGGGCACTGTCCCGTTTGCACCACGAGCGTAAGCTCGAAAGTCTGCTGAAGAACAGTGTGGGCGAGAACTTCTTTCTGGATGGTGACTTTAATCTTGATACGTCGGGAGTGGGGTTCGGTCCAGATGAAGGAGGCGTCGATGAGACGGACTTTCATCAAGGGTCGAGCAATCTTTTTAAGACAGATGGCTGCGATTCGTGTAAGTGTTTGATCACATCCAAAGACCTGTTTCTGCTTACCGAGCAACTCTCGAGACTCGGGCTGGACGGCAACCCAAGAGTTGGGAGGCGACAAGAATCGCTCACACCCCCGACAGAAGTTCAAGGAAGACTCTTTGGGAATACCTTCCGTGATATCCACAGTATTTCTCAGACATCCGACACCTGCAACACAACTGCATTAGCCAAGTCACCATGAGCAAGCGTAAAGACTTACAAAGACCGGCACCGTTGGCACTGGAGATGACGGTACCACAGTCGGCACAGAGAATGTAGCTTTCCTGTCCCGCCGCATCGGGTTGATACTCGAGCTGCACCATCTTGGGATATGGCTTGTTTTGTTGTAGGGAAGAAGAACGTCCTGCTCACTGCTGCCTATAGTGGTTTCGAAACCATCGACGCTTGAAATCTTTATCAGGCGGTGGAGGCCGCTATCCGAGTGGCAAAACGCCATTGCGCCCTCCACTTTAGCGTCACTCAACGTGACTTTTTGGCGTGCGTGATTGCTGCATGGCTGCGTGCTTCAAGATATTTGCAGTGGCGGTATGGACCTATACTCGCGGGACCAGAATTTGGCTTGGCCAACGATTGTGCTCAAGCGTCCTTAGAGTGATGGCGTTCAAATCGCACCTTGGCCTATATACTCTGTGTACTATCTATGGGCCAAAAAGATTATTAGAATGACTGACATGTAATGAAGAAACGAAAAATTATCCGATGAAGAGATTGAAATTGACACAACAAGCTACAATAAATGCTACCTCGAGAAGGCCGTAATCCAACAACACTTGTACTAAAGAAGTCACCAGTCCTCAACCCATATCCTCTTCTCCGTAGCAATCCCCAGCCACCTCTCCAAATCCGCCTTGCTCTTCAGCTCCACCTCTTCATCATGTGGCACCCCCAGGTGAATAGCGCCCAGCACTTCCACGTCCCCTTTCAGACTCATACTATTGAAAGGCAAGCGAAGAGCCGAGTAGATACGGACGAGCGACTCTCGCCATGATTCTTTGGTGCTGATAAGCACAGGGATAGTGTTGAAGAAGAATCGGGTGGTGAGGTCGATAAAGATGACGCCTTCTTCGCCCAGAGCAAGCTTTTCGGGAGTCGGCTGGCTAGACATGAAAGTCGCCAGAGCTTTGGAAGCCACCACGACATGGCGCACATGCTCGTCCGCCTTGCCCGTACCCGCAAACTCTCCCAGGTCTGTCACCGAACTGTTGGGTGTTTCGTAGAGACCAGACTTGTCGGAGGAGCAGGAGGGAGAGTGAAAGTCTGAAGAGACCTCCAGACTGGCCGAAGGGTCGATGGAAAGGGCAGTAGCGCTAGAGCTGCATCGAATAGGGGTTTCTGATGATGGCGCGTGTACTGAAGTCGCAATAACTCGGACCTCGACAGGCTTGTGCTGCTTGTGCAAGGGGAAAGAATCGATGAGATCTGTGAATTCTTCACTGTCGAGGATCTCGCGCGATGGGGGCGTGTCGGTAGAAGGTTCATTCTCCCAATATCCAGACTCGACCAATTTTGATCGGGTAGGAGACTGGATATCCTCGCCGGGAGCAGAGTTGCTGGAGTATCGATTGCTCTCACCACTAGAAGACGTCCTCAAAGACTGGGTGCTTTCACGGGGAACAGAGTTGCTGAGAGATGCCGGAACACGTTGGACAGTGTCCTGACCACTGTTCGCACGCTCCCACCGCTCGATATCTATCCTTCTCTCCAAGGTATACTCCCATTCTCCCCAGGCTTCATCCCTGGTTATCCTCTCTGCCACATCTCCGTGCAGGATAGCGAAGAACTCGGGCATAATGTACACATTGTCGAGCACATACTCTTCGCCTCGAGTCCGGATACCAAACAGAAGATCAAAGTAGTGCTGCATCCGTTCTGCCCGATACTCTGTCTTTTGCGGCAGAGTGGGACCGTCGTAGGCTTTGGGGAAATCGGCAAGGAGGGACTTGAGATACGGCGTTGACCCTTCGTGGTACTCTTGGAACAAAGCATCGGCGAGCTTGCTAAGAGATCCGTACCCGCGGGTGACGTTGAGCCGAGAAGCCGGCAATCGGACGTCATTCGGCACCCAAGTAATTTGAAGCTCATACAGAGGGATCAAGCCCTGAGGAAGGATGTGGGTGAACGCCAGAGAAGCGAGATGCCCGGCAGGGAGCGGCGCGTGTCGGCTGCCAAAGAAGATGGGTTCGGACTGGACACCGGCGGCACCGTCGGTATAGGTAGAAGCATCGAGTGAGTAGGTGCCAGCAGTATCAGGGGCTTGAGGGTTCGGTGGAACTGGGGCGTCGTCGGACTCCAAAGTATCCTCGGACACTTCCATAATGGTCTCCAGGCGGGCGTAGTTAATCCTGTTGATTTGGCGTCAGCTCGCTCTCCTCGTGTGCATTCTGACTGACATTGGGACTATCTCCGGCCTCTGCTGAGGCTCCTCATCCCCCGGACTGTTGGGAGTCGTGGGCTGCACTGGAGAGGGCTGGGAGGCAGTAGAAGGAGAGCTCAAGTATAGCCTAGGGCGAGTCAGCACTGGGCGTAACGATATCCAGACCTACTCACTTGGGGATGGTATCCATGAAGGAAGAGTCGTCCTCGGCGTCGTCAAACCGACTCATTACGTCAAAGGAAGTGCGAGGTATTGAGCAGAGCCTGTCAAATAGGTCAACCGACGTAATTCGAATAGCACCATTTGACTCACTCAAAGCCCGAGAGACTGTCCTCTGATACGCGCCTAGGTTGTATGTGCGGCCTGGGGGGACTGGAAGATGCGGGGGTCGAGGCCGGCATAGAATCGCTAGTGTCAAGTCAGCTGGGAACAGAGTACACCGCGGTGATGAATTACTCATCATACGATTGCTTGTTATCTTTGCCCTTCTTGCGATTGATCTTCTTGATGCTCTTCAAGAAGCCTTTCCTGTTGGGCGGTTGCACGAAAGAAGATCTGCGTCACACCATGAGCACGCAGCACAGCTGTCATGAGACCCAATCGTACTCTGATTTCGAGCTGTCTTCCTTCTCGTGGCTGAGACGCCGCAGAATTTTGAAAGAGCTACAAGCGAGGTCAGCGCGGAACATATGTTCAAGCCAGCCAGTATCACCTTTTCTTTCCCGGACCCTTTTTCTCTTTCCCAACGGTGTTAATCGAGGAGCTAGACTTGAATCCCAGAGAATGCAAAGGCGACCAGTCAAAGGAGGATGTATCGGACTGGAAAGAGGCAAAGTCATCGTGGAGGAGCGAAGGAGAGCTGCAGAGTTGGTCGATCAGCCATATCGTTGACGACACTGGGCACAGCTCACCGGGTGATCATCTCCCAAGTCTCACACGCGCTGGCAATGGAGGAGGTGTCGGAAGCGTCGTCGGACATGACGGTGTTGGTGTGGATTGCAAAGGGTGTGGCAGTGGCGGTGGTAGAAGAGGTTTGTCGGGCGCGAATCAAGATACGGCGAGTGCTAGATATAAATCTCTTGAGAGAGAGCATAAACCAGAGGAATATCGGTAGAGGGGCGTGGCAGTGGGGGCAAAAGAGTGTCGGGCTGTAAGAGCTGGGAAGCGGGTGAGAGGGTAGGGGACCAGCGGGGAGGGAGAGCGACAGCAAGGGTGAGCGTGTGAGGAGGGCCGGGGGGATAGATGGAAGATGGTGTAAGAGAGAGAAAGGCGAAAAGATGGGAAAATGAAAGCTATATACACCGGTGCGAAGGGACTCGCACCAGCTCCCGCCAAGCGGCGTAGTAGTAGTCAGTAGCTGGCCGAGCTTTGCAAGCTCAGCCTTGTCACGAATATCCGCGGGTTTGTTGGTCTATCCAACCTAGTCTAGACCCCGCATCCATATTCCACTGATCATACATGGTCTTGAGGGGAGTTGAGGGACATCGTGAGTGGGCGAGGAGACAAACGGCGAGAGCTGGAAACATCTTTTCGCCCTAGAGGGCCGGCGGCCGGAGGATGGTGCCGTGTTTCTTTCCATGCTTTAGCGCGGGAGCCGTACGCTGGGCGTGGCTGGCCAGATGAAGAGGGATGGGCGTATGCAGCAGTAGACAACCATTTATACCTTGGCCGGCACTGCTGCCAGCAGTTGGCCAGCAGAGCAACGGACATATCGCAAATGATGATGTCACAACTCCAAGCAAGGATCTATTTGGTTCGGGAGGGCAAATTCGGTTCTTTGTCTTCTTCACGTTCATAACCAGAAGGCTAGTATAGTGTGCATGCAGTACATTCAAGTCACTACTTCTCTACGATATGTTTGTCCATCATCCTCGCTCAATCTCAAGCTTCATTCTGCAGGTTCTGGTACTCGACAAGACTCCCATTCGCTCGGGTGTAGATGACATTGGTACCTTCCACATGTGGCTTCCACACCTTGCTGGTATCCGTTTCAGGTGCTCCATATCCACCTCCCCCGGGAGTATTGATCACGACGCTATCACCAGCCTTGATACTGAATGAAAATCAGCATTGCCCTCTCAACAGTCTCGCAGAGCACTTACTCGAAAGCAGCAGCGGGCTTGAGCTTGATCCTGCGCCTAGGGGCCCCGGGAGTCGCAGTCTGTCGCAGCCAGTAGTTTGCTCCTCTTGTTCCAGGCTGACCTCCGTGCATGCCATACGGCTGAGTAAGTCGCCGTTCTCCACCGAGAGAAGCCTAAGCAGTATCAGTCAGATAAACCACAGAGCTTGAAGTGCAACTTACTCTCATGTCAACTCTCGCTTGGTAGATACGCTGCACACCATCGCCTCCGTTGTTTCGCCCCTTTCCACCGGTACCTCTGCGGATGGAGAACTCCTTGACAAGAACCGGGAACCCTTTCTCGATCACCTCGACATCGCCTATACGAGTGTTGGTCATCTGTACGGAATCAGCATGAGAACGTTGAAATGCTCGAAAAGGCACTCACGTTGATATGCACAGCAGATTGGCCCTTCCAGCTATGTCCTGCACCAGCACCACCACAAATGGTCTCTCCATAACCATACTGTTTGTAATCAAACCCAGACACATTCATCGTACCCTGAGACGCGGCGCAAGCTTCGAAGGCCTTGAAGATGACATCCACCACCCGCTGTCCAGTCTCTGTATTGCCATTGCACACCGCAGCATCGTGACTCGGAGAGAGGACAGACAGATCAGGGATGGTGATCTTGATAGGTGCGAGGACGCCAGCATTGAGGGGCATGTCGGTGCCGATAAGGCAACGGAGAGAGTAGATGATGGCAGAGCGGCAGACGGCAGGAGGGGCGTTGAGGTTGGAATAGGTCTCTTCCGTCGTACCAGTGTAATCAAAATGTGCGGTCCCATCGTCAAAGATGTCAATTTTGAGGCGGATGATGGAGCCGTCATCTGCAGCAGTATCAGTACGGCTATTGCACGATACGAAAGGACCTGCCAAGGTAGTCTTCGGCACTGATTGTTTTGCGACCATGTTCCTTGAAAAAGGCTCTCACGGCGAGCTCAGAAGTAGTTCTGATAGCTCCCATGTATTGAATGACAACGTCTTTGCCAAACCTGCGAGATGTCAGCCTCTGCCTCCTGAATCCCCATTATCAAACTCACTCATCAAACAAGCCAATGATTTGCGCCGACCCGACCGCACAAGCCGAACACTGCGCCTTCAGATCCGAAATGTTGATATGCAACTGCCTCGCCGACAGGCAGTTGGGATACTCCCCAGCAGCCTCAAAGATCTTTGTGATCTCGGCAATGTTGAATTCACCATTTCGGACGAGGAAGGTCGACATGATACTGGCGCCTTCTTGCCAGGACTCGACGGATTCGGGGTGCATGCTCTGACCTTGAAGACCCCCGATGTCGGTGTGATGACCACGGGCGGCAACCCAAAAGACGATGTCGGTGGTGGATCCCTTCTCAAAGACTGGTTGGATGACCTAGGAGGCGTCAGCTTCGCTTTCGAAAATCTAGATTGCTCACAGTAATGTCGGGAAGATGGGTACCTCCAGCTCGAGGGTTGTTTGAGATCAAGATATCTCCTGGTTTCAACTGCCCCTTCCTCACCTCCGCCTGATACTGGACAGCATACTGCATACTTCCAAGATGCACAGGCACATTGGGCGCATTCGCAACAAGCTGCCCATCAGGGCCAAAGATAGCACAGCTAAAGTCGAGACGCTCTTTGATCATAAGAGAGATGGCTGTCTTTTGGAGGGCGCGGCCCATCTGCTCGGCGATACCCATAAAACGGTGAGCGAAGATGGAAAGCTGTACGGGGTCGACAGTAGTAGGATCAAGCTCCTTTCGGGCTTCGAGACCGACGTCAACACTGGAAAGGGTCAGCGTGAGTCTACTTGACAAAAGCGATGAACGTACTAGACACAGTTGGTCAAGATCCTGGCGGTGTTCCCAGGGTGAAGAAGGATAGTCTGCGTCTTGTCGAGTAAGACAGCAGGCCCCTTGATGACCGTGCCCAGAGACAATGAGCCAAGCTGGTACAGAGGCGAAGTGACAAACTTGTCCTCTGACTCAAAGTAGATCTCATTCGTGGCAAAGTGAGCGTCTTGAGCCACAGCAACCTCTGGCAAGGTCTCGAGGTCCTTCACGAAGGGTGATAACTGCTCTTCCTGCTCACTCTTTCCAACAGCTCGCACGCGAACGTTCTCGATGAGCAGAGGAGAATCCAAATTGAACGCGAATTCTCGCTTGTGTTCGACCTTGAACGCGCTGGCGAAGTCCCGATCTTTGGGCTCTTGAATCATAATGCGGGTGTCGGAGCCTTGGTAGCGCAAGTTGAGGTACTTCTCAAAGTTGATAGAAGACTCTGGAATGCCTTGAGCGAGGAGCTGCTCCAAGCCAGTCTGTTTGAGAGCTGCGAAACGCTGCTCGACGGTGTCTTTGATTTCGGGACCATAAACCACGTTTAGAGGCTCAGAGTTGTCGACTGCTACGTCGGCAAGAGCCATCCCGTAAGCAGACAAGAGTGAAGAGTACCTATAGAGGACGTCAGAGTGGATGTTAAACACAGGTCCAATTTGCGCTTACTTGTGAACAATGACTCGAGGGATACCGAGCACCCGAGCAAGAGCCGTCGCAGATTGGCCGCCAGCACCTCCAAAGGAAGCCAAGATATGTGTACTAGCGCCAAAGCCACGTTGATCTGTAAGAGCCCGGATGGGACGAGCCATGGAGTTGTTGGCGACGTTGATGAAGCCGGAAGCTACTTGCGCAGCAGTCAACTGACTGTTGTTCTCCTTGTTGATGGTCGCGGCGAGCTCCTCAAACTTTTGCTTGACAATGTTGTAGTCGAGAGGCATGTCCTCCTTTGGCCCAAAGACTGTTGTGGGTGTCAGTATATAGTACCAATGGAAGCTGAATGACCTACTCTTGGGGAATGAGTCGATGTGGATACGACCCAAGAAGACGTTGGCGTCGGTGACGGTCAATGGTCCACCCTTCCTGTAGCAAGCAGGTCCAGGATGAGCGCCAGCACTTTCAGGTCCAGCAGCAAGTAGACCGTTGCTGTAGGAGAGGATGGAGCCACCGCCAGCGGCGACGGTGTTGATGTCCAGCTGTGGAGTTTGGATAGTCACGCCAGCGGTGGTGGTCTCGAACACATGCTCGTAAGAGCCTCCAAATCGCGATACATCGGTCGACTGCGATAAGGTCAGTAATGACCAAGTTCTGGCTCTCGCAGCTACTTACAGTGCCACCCATGTCAAATCCGACTATAGGGGAGCCGTCCAAGGGGTCATACGTAGTCTTTGCGAAACCAACAACACCACCTGCAGGGCCAGCTACGCGATCGTCAGCGACTGAACATATGAGAGTCATCAGTACTTACAAAGGATAGCCTTGAGTCCCGTGAAGGCTCTATGGTCACACAAGGCGCCGTCACTCTGCATGAAAGACACGCGACACCCATTGCTTCCGTCAAGATCCCCGACGAAGCCTTTGGAAAACCCATCGGCATACCGGCGTACCTCTGGAGTGAGGTAGGCATCAGCAGTGGCAGACCCTCCTCGGGACACGAGGTTGACCATTGCTTGGAGGCTGGAGGAGACCGAGATCTGCTCGAATCCAATGCTTCGAGCGATATTCTCGATCTTGAGTTCGTGCTCAGGATAGATGTAAGAGTGAACAAGTACGATGGCGATAGATCGGTACCCTTCGTCGTACAGAGATTGAAGGTCGGTTACAGCTTGATCCTCATCTGTTGGAAGTCAGTATTGGCCAAGACGTTTTCGAAAAGTGCTCACCCAATGCCTCAAGAAGTTGAAGTTTAGCCCCATTGACACCAGTCACAACACTTCCAGCCTGGAGATACGTCTCGGGGGTGCTTTCACCTTCTCCGAAGTCTTCCCAAACAGGTGCCACTCGTTCAGAGATCTCAACGACCTTGGAGTAGAGGACGTCGGGCTGTTGCCATTGTCAGAGAAGTAAGGAAGGTATGGCGTTAAGTGAATTACCTTCTTGATAGCAAGCTGGAAGAGGTGAGGACGAGTCTGCGTACCGATCTCCAGAGCGTCCTTGAAGCCTTTCGTGATGACCAAGGCGCACTTCTCTCCCTTCCTCTCGAGAAGCGCGTTGGTACTGGGGCTCAAATCAGCTCGAGTACATCTCACATGGCTGATAACACTCACGCGACAGTTGTACCCATGCGGAGATACTCGATCCTTGAACTGTCGAGAGGCTGGTCGCGGGGAATTGTCTCACCGGTGAACCATTCGAGCACCCTTCTGACTCCTTCTCTAGGAGCATCAGGATAGCTAATAATCGCGTGAGTGGTATCCTCGTGATTGACAGGATCGAACTCACTTGGCAGGGTCGACTGAGAGCAGCTTGACAAGATGATCGCCCTTAGAAGCACTTCGAGCGATGACATCCTCGTGACTGCTGTCAGCCGGATATTGTTGGAATAGCAAAGTACTCACACAGAAAGTGCCTCCCCGGTCGACACATATCTGAACCTTCTCCACGGGCTCTATGTCGGTCTTGATAGGCATTACTGGGGAGGATAATGAGTGAGAATGTAGAAGTAATGGAAGTTGAAGAAGCAGGTTGGCGATACGAGCCTGCTGACCTTGACTGCCCCATCT